ATAATCATAACACATATTTTATGTGTATATTTATTCTTACAAGCAGTATTATCGCATAGTAGAATATATCGGCCGTAAGAATGGATTTTGTGTAGCAAAATATGCCAGATTAGTGCAAAGTGTATCGCCTGTAGTAATAACATCTGTGCTCTGTGCATACTCAATACAATAATATTCAACACAAAAAGAGAGTTATGTCCAAGGGAGCATTGGAGAATCACTTTTCTGTCCAGTTGGACTCTTTCTTCCAACTTCTCTCGTATCCGCTGCTCCGCAGTCGCCTAGCACGACCGCGAGTCTGATTGATCCGTGTACGTGTGTATCATGTGTACGTGTCCACATGCCAAACGTGCGCGCATACATGTATATGTATGATATGTCACACGTGATTTATCGTGTGTAAGAAATATCGGCAATAAGAATCAAATGTCGTTTTTCAAACACCCACGCTATAACCGATACCTACTGTACATGTATTTCTTTGCCTTTCATGTGTCGATCGAAAAAAGAAAAAAAACGATTGTATCGCATATCATTACCCACGTGTATTCGGGAGATTGAACACCCCGGCAATTCCGTACATCCCTCATGCAAGAATTTTCTACTTGTATGTATTCTGTTTCTGGTATACCCGCTTTCTCCCGACAGTATTGATTAACAAGCCATACACTGCACTCATCTCCCTTCCTCCTCTCTTCCTCCCTTTCCTTACACAGCACACAGGAGAGCCCCTCGATAGGCCTCTGTGGCCTTTGGACAATCCTTACGATGAAAATAAAAATCAATCAATGCGATTAATAGTATAAGTGAAGCGGACATTACAAAATGATGAATGAGAATACATGTATCTAAAATGGTTGTTCCTAATCGATTTTCTTGAGACTATCATCAGGGAAAATCGTTGGCGTGGCGAGAATGCCACGGAGTTAGTCTACACGTTCATGTCATGTTCAGTTGCGATTTGCTTTCTCTTCCTGATTGCCATTGCGGTCATGCTGTCGGTTCTCTGTGATTTGACCTTTATCTCCTGGCATCTTACTGTCTTCATGTGCTCCCCTTGGGGGCACCTTGATGCCTGATGTAATATCGCAGTTGTACAGCGGGCTACCTTTTAGGTTCCGCTGCGGTCGGTTTTGCTGAGCCAGCCTTGGCACCGTGTAGCCTTTTTTGGTTGTTGTGTTCTTGTGCGTGCGGCATGAGGTTTTAGCTGTACCTTTGTTTGGCTGCGCTGCCTTTTTGTTTCCCGAGAGTTTTTCTTTGCATGTATTGTAGTTTGTTGGAATAATCGAGTGCTCTTCGAGCCAACACCACAGCGATTCAGGAGTGTCGATCCTCGCCGAGGTGTATGATCTGTAGCCGTCAACACATTTGGTAGCAGAGGACGGTTAGTCGTTAGGTTAGGATCCTCGCCTGAGAATGGCATCCTCGGAGGAATGCCATGATTTGGAGCGTGAGATCGAGCTCCTGAAGCTGCGGAAGTCGGCAGCGAAGACGCAGCTCACGAATGCGAGGCGGGGGCTGTTGGTCTTGGTAGATGTCGACACGCGACCTGTGCCGGACAAGGCAACAGTACTGAAAGCAGTTTCCTTGCTGCAAGGAGCCATGGACGAACTTGCAGGAGTCACCAGGACCCTGGCGAGTTATGTTCAGCAGACCCCAGACTGTCTGGGAGAATTACGCAAGTTATCTGAGGATGCGGAGCAAACAGAAGAGAAATATACGTCCGCGATGGAACGAAGTGCGGACTTCTGTCGGCAATACAGCAGTTTTGTCACGCCCAGTACACGTTTTGGAAGTCCGTCCAGAAAAACTCAAATCTACAAACTGCGAGCTTACCTGGATAGGCACACTGCTCTTGTCGATGAGAACAGCGCTGATGAACGCGATGAACATGCTGGTGGAGCACGGGAATTTGAGTACGGAGTGGAGTCGCTAGCGCTGCAGACAGATAGTAGTAGTACTGTGGATATGGAGCACACAGCGATCAGAGAAGCTGGTGCTCAGCCCAGTGCCAGTGAAGTGAAAGTTAGAGCAGACGTAGCGGGCCTCAGTCTCGGAGACCAAGCGCTTCAGTCCAGCACTAGCAGTAGATCTGCTAGTACTTCTGCCACTAACACTAGTAACAGTACAGTGTCATGTAGTTGTAGTACATGTACCAGCACCACTGCAGGGTTGTCACCTGCAACCACAAACAACCTGTCACCACCACAGGCCAGTGTGACAAGCATTAGTTTCAGAAGTACAGGTGCCAGTTTCAGTACCAACTACTTGGCAGCATCCAATGCACCACCACCAGGTTACCTGCAGGCCAGGCCAGTGATAGGTATGGGAAGCACTGTGACAGTCAGCGCTGCCACTGGGACCAAGACTAGCAGCAGGACTAGCAGCAGGCATGCACCAGCAGTGCCTAGTACAAGTACAACTGTGCATACCACTCTGCCAGTGTCTGGGATGAGCTTGCCAACAGCCAAGACCAGAGTAGGCCAGACTGCCACTCAACCTATAGCTCTGCAATCTGCTGTACCTACACCAGCAATGTTTTCAGCCGCACCAATGTCAGCAGCATGGGCTGCTCCAGTACCAGTATCAGCAGCTCCATCATGGTCTGCTCCAGGATCAGCATTTCCAGCAGTCTCAGTCTCAGCAGCACAGGCTGCACCTGTGCCAATGTCCGCAGTGCCAATGTCCGCAGTGCCAATGTCAGCACCACACGCTGTGCCAGCTAGCGCAAGCTCGATGCCGAGGTCTGTGACAGCATCGCCCGGACCAGCGGCGTTGGGAACAGACATGTGGCGACAACTCAAGCGTGTTGCGGTCCCAGAGTTTTCCGGCGACAAGCGGCAGTACAACGCGTGGCGTGCAGCTTTTGTAGCTTGTATTGACCAGGCACCCGCTACACCTGAGTATAAACTGTTGCAGCTTCGCCAGTACCTGAAAGGCGACGCGCTGAAAGTTATTGACGGACTCGGACACTCAGCAGCGGCCTATGAGGCAGCCAAGCGGCGACTCGAACGGAAGTTTGGTGGACAACGTCGTCAATTAGCGCTCCACTTGGATGAACTAGAAAGTCACCCCAGTGTGAAGAGCAGCAAAGACCTCGAGCATTTTGGTGACCTGCTCGACATTGCCATCCTCAACTTACGCGAGGCAGGCCGAGACCAAGAGCTCGGAGATGGCACCCTGTACAGAGTTTTACAGCGAAAACTGGCAGAGTCGATGCTCACCAACTACCAACGTTGGTTAGTTGACCACCGACAGCAGCCAACGGTAGTAGCGCTTCTTGAGTGGACACTGCAAGAAGTGGAGTACCGTACAGTGGCAGCCGAGGCGGTACATGGCGTGGCAGCAGCAGTACCTGCAACAGCACCAGGCACTGCCCGTCACTTTGACAGCAGCAGACCATCATTCCGGCCAAGTAGCCATCGCTCGTTGCAGCAGAGCAATGCTCATACACACTTGGCAGACGGACAGACGGCACGAGACGAGGAGACTTCTTTCATATCCTCTCGCGCCACTTGTCCAGAATGCAGCGGGAGCCATGGCATTTGGGAATGCTCCACCTTCAAAGGACACGACACAGGCCGACGGTGGACAAGAGCAAAGGAATTAAGCCTGTGCTATCGCTGCCTGGGAACAGGGCACAGAGGCGACAAGTGTCCTCGAACTCGCACTTGTGGTGTCGATGGTTGCCAACGGAATCATCATCGTCTACTACACGGCTTGGCACGATCAGATTTTGAGATCAGGAAGAAGCCGAGAGCCGATGGCAAGGAAAGGAATTATGACAAAGCAAACACCAAGGCTGAACAAGGACACTGTGGCGTCGCAACAGCGCATGAGACTCCAACGGAAGGGGAGTCCCCCCAGCAATGCAGCAATGCAACAGCCGAGAAGAGCTACACCAGTTTACGCACTGTGCCTGTCGCTCTCAGGTCCGGTAGTAAGCGGCTCGTCGTCAATGCGCTTCTGGACGACGGAAGTACCAACACCTTCATCCATGAAGACGTTGCCACAGCGCTAGGAATGAGTGGTGAGCAGCATGACATGACTATCAATATGCTGAATGGAAAGCGGAGCACTTTCAAATCCATGGAAGTGGAGTTCGATATCGCCAATATTAACGGTCAATCAGGGACAACCGTAGTCGGACTCACAACTCCCAACCAAGTAACAGGACGTCTGCAGCTAACGGACTGGAGTAGCAAGAAGATTGGCTATGAGCACTTGGCTGATATACCGTTTCCGGAACCGGCCACCCCTGAAAGGATCGAGCTGCTCACATAGCCAGCAATCGCATGTCATCTCGTACATTGAAAATCAACAAAATTTTGCGAATCGACCTTTTTTTTCAGGATCACTTTTCAACGAGGACGAAGCAAAGTCGGCCGAACGAAGCCTAGAGGAAGAAAATCACCCTCTCCACTTCACCATCACGATACTGACATAGATACGAGATGAAACAACTAAAAAATTCACAAGAAAACTGTACGACCATCATCGCGCTGACTTTGGTCTGACTTTGGTCTGAGAATTTCTATCACGATCAAAAATGTACGAGGAGCACTCAAAAATCAGCCACAGACGTACCTTTATCGCTCTCTACGCCTTTTTCAAGGCACAAAAGTCGACTCTCCACTTTCAAACCAGGAACCAGACATACCAGTGGTCCTTTTCAGCTGCTCCACGAGCGCAGGAAATGTTCACCAAGGGGCGCAGAGCAGCATCCATTCCAGAAAAATAGCTAAAATACGAGTGAGACTGCATGCCTGAGTACATGAGTACATGTATGAGTACATGCAGAAAATAGTCAATTTCAGCGTTTCTGCTCCAAACAGCAACCAGCTTCGACTAGAAACAAAGATTACACCAAAGGATCAAACAACAACGATTTTCTGCAGTTTTTTTGCAGTTGGCTTCCTTGTGCTTGGCCCAGCACGCCAAAATTCACACCTCGGAGGAGTACAAAAATTACAACTCTCAGATGTCCTTGATTGCTGGCCATGATTGGCGTCGACAATGCCGAGCTTCACCGTGCGTTGTATGAAGTGTCTGGACCAGCCGGAGAGCCCATCGCGCGTCTCACACCTCTCGGATGGACCTGCGTCGGAGCAGGGGTTAGCCGTGGCGGGGGCACAAACCACTGCTGCAGCGCTATCATCGCCAGCAGCGAGACCCTTCTGAGTGTGGATAAGACTTTGCGACAGTTCTGGGAAATTGAGCAAGTGACCAGCCCAGAACACCCCATGTCACCGGAAAACCTGGACGTCCTGACAGCGACAAAGAAACGAATGACGTTCACCAATGGTCGCTACTGTGTCGGGATGCCATGGCGGGCAGATGCATCACGGCCCACCAACAATTACGACATGGCAGCGAAGAGACTTGCGCAAACACAGAAGAGGCTGAAACGGGTCCCAGAAGTTGCAGAGCGCTATGCAGAGACCATTGAGAGTTACGTGAGAAAAGGGTACGTGGTGAAGGTGAATGCAAACCCACATGAAGCAGGATCGTGGCTCCTTCCACACTTCCCGGTTGTCCGACTGGACAAAAGTACGACGAAAGTTCGCATTGTGTTCGACGGGTCAGCTAAGCATGATGGCACCGCCCTCAATGACCTGCTGCACACCGGTCCGAAGTTACAACGTGATCTATCGGCTGTTCTGCTCAGATTTCGGCGGCATCCGATCTGCATTGGCTGTGATGTTACGGAGATGTATCTACAGGTTGAAGTCAGAAAATCAGATCGGCCATATCTGAGATTCCTGTGGAATACAGACTCGCAGTCAGCTCCAGATGTGTACGAATTCAACCGGGTGGTATTCGGTCTGAACTGCTCCCCGTTCTTAGCGCAACTGGTCGCGCGAGAGCACGCTAAGACACTAGATCCAGAATTCGCCCGTGCAGCCGAGATGATGCTCGAATCAACTTACATGGACGACGGTATGGACTCAGTCTCTACAATTGCCGAGGGTGTGGCCCTGTACAAGAGTGTGACAGCAGCATGGAAGGGAGCAGGCATGGCAGTGAGGAAGTGGCTGTCGAATGCTCCGGAGCTGTTGGGTCACATACCCAGAGAGGATCAGGCAACGCAACTCAGCCTGAACGGAGACGGCCCATCCCAGATTAAGACTCTAGGGATCAGTTGGTTGAGCGACAGCGACATGTTCAGCTTTCAGGCTGTCATACCACCTGACGATATGATGATGACGAAGAGGAACATCCTCCGAAAGATCGCGACGATCTTCGACCCGCTAGGATTTCTGGCACCGGTGATCATCCGTGCCAAGATACTGATGCAAGAGATCTGGGCTAGCGGTGCAACTTGGGACGAAGTGCTTCCCGTCGAACTGAGCTCACGTTGTAGACAGTGGTTCCAGGATCTCCTTGCACTGAGCTCAATTCAAGTGCCACGCTGCTTGCAGGCCATTGCAGGCGCTACACCGCAAGATGTCGAGCTTCACGTATTTGGCGACGCATCAGAGTTAGCGTATGGTGCCGTCATCTACCAACGTATCCGCTACGCCTCCGGCGAGATCAGCACCGTATTTGTGTCTGCTAAGTCACGAGTTTCGCCAACTACCGCCACAAGCATCCCACGGCTCGAATTGATGGCTGCTGTGCTGGGAGTCGAAATGGCCAACGAAGTAGCCAAGGTGTTGCAGATCAACCCGCAGAACATCATCTACTGGACTGACAGTATGGACGTGATCTGGTGGATCCGTGGCCGGAGTCGCTTGTTCAAGACGTTCGTTGCCAACAGAGTGAGCACGATTCACCAGGCAAGCAGCCCAGATCAATGGCGGTATGTCCCTACGGCAGAGAACCCGGCTGATATTGTGTCGAGAGGATGCGCCCCAACATCGCTCACGCCGGACAGTATGTGGTGGACCGGTCCTAGCTTCATGGCCAAGCCGTCTGATGACTGGCCAGTACGACAGTTACCTACAGCCCAAGCAAAGGAAACAAAGTCCATGAAGGAGACCGTTCTGATGAGCAGCACTGAGACGGGTACTGATGATGAGGGCACAGGCGCAACGGAGCCCAGTGTTTGGCGACTGGAACCGCAGCGATACTCTGATTTGGAGCGCTTGATTCGTGTGCAGGCGTGGGTGATGAGATTTCTTCACAACGCTCGAGCGCCACATGAACGCCGCGAACTGGGTGAATTGACAGTGGACGAATTGAGTGAGTCTGAGTTGATACTGGTGAAATCAGCGCAAGAGTCTGAGTTCCGAGATGAGATCAAGGCCATCAAGAAGGGACAACCTGTGAGTTCCCAGAGCAAGATTGCAGCACTCCATCCACAGTTAGATGACAGTGGTTTGCTGCGTGCAAGGAGTCGACTTCAGTACGCGGACTTCTTGCCCTCTGACACGATCTCACCGATCATCCTTCCCAGGACGCATCCAACGACTAAGCTTGTGATCACGCGGATCCATGGCAACGGTCATCACGCACTCGGCAACAATCAAGTTCTGAACGAGTTAGTAAAGCGGTTCTGGGTTGTCGGTGCACGCGAAGCAGTCAAGGAAGTGGATCGTCAATGTCCTGAATGCCAACGCCGAAAGGCCAAGCCTGCTAAGCAGCTCATGGCGCCACTGCCAACACTCCGGATTGAACCCGGCACCCGTGCGTTTGAAAGGGTTGGAATCGACTTTGCAGGACCGATGTACACCAAGCAGGGACGCCGAGCGCAGGCAAAGAGATGGCTGTGCATCTTCACCTGTCTTGCCACACGCGCTATCCACATCGAAGTAGCGTATGGTCTTGATACTGGAAGCTTTCTGAACTGCTTCTTCCGAATGGTCGGACGACGTGGCGCCCCACACGAGGTGCTCACTGACAATGGCACGAACTTTGTTGGTGCAGTAACCGAGCTACGCGAGTTGAGAAGAGAACTGGACGAGAAGAAGATCATCAAGGCAACCAACGGTCAACGGATTCAGTGGCACTTCAACCCACCCGCAGCACCGCACTTCGGAGGACCATTTGAGGTCATGGTGAAGGCTGCCAAACGAGCACTGTACGCCATTCTGAAGTCAGGTGACATCACAGATGAGGAGTTAGTGACGGCAACGATTGGAGCAGAACACCTGATCAACAGTCGGCCCTTGACAACGGTATCTTCAGATGCCAGAGACTGTACTCCTATCTCTCCAAGTGACTTGCTGCTAGGCGACGCGAGCCACAGTATTGATGTACCCGGTGATGACCCAGCAGCTAGCCTGAGGAGACGCTGGAGACGAGTCCAGGAGCTGGTCAGACATTTCTGGGCAAGATGGATGCAAGAATGGCTGCCCATGCTGAGTGGTCGTGCCAAATGGAAGAAACCCTACAACAACGTGCAAGTCGGTGATGTCGTTATCCTACTCGCCAAAGACACACCACGTGGTCAGTGGCAGCTGGGACGAGTTGTCGATGTTCACCCAGGACGTGACGGGCTGGTACGAGTCGTGGACGTGAAGGTGAAGAACACCACGCTACGTCGCCCAATAAGCAAGATCTGCCCGCTGGAAGCATGTCAGTGAGTTACTGAGTGGCAACAGCATTGGACCATCGCCATTGACGTATGGTCATGTCTTTTCACTCTCTTGCTTCTCTCTTGCTTCTCTCTTTTTTTTTGTTTCTGTTTGCTTGAGCACTAGCAACTCAGGCAATCTTTTCTGTTTTTCTTTCATTTTTCCACTTCGAGTGTTGGTGATGTATCTCTCCGTAGACACATCAGGAAGGGGAGAATGGCGTGGCGAGAATGCCACGGAGTTAGTCTACACGTTCATGTCATGTTCAGTTGCGATTTGCTTTCTCTTCCTGATTGCCATTGCGGTCATGCTGTCGGTTCTCTGTGATTTGACCTTTATCTCCTGGCATCTTACTGTCTTCATGTGCTCCCCTTGGGGGCACCTTGATGCCTGATGTAATATCGCAGTTGTACAGCGGGCTACCTTTTAGGTTCCGCTGCGGTCGGTTTTGCTGAGCCAGCCTTGGCACCGTGTAGCCTTTTTTGGTTGTTGTGTTCTTGTGCGTGCGGCATGAGGTTTTAGCTGTACCTTTGTTTGGCTGCGCTGCCTTTTTGTTTCCCGAGAGTTTTTCTTTGCATGTATTGTAGTTTGTTGGAATAATCGAGTGCTCTTCGAGCCAACACCACAGCGATTCAGGAGTGTCGATCCTCGCCGAGGTGTATGATCTGTAGCCGTCAACACAATCGTCTCACAATAGAGGCTATACGGAGAAACAAACTCATTCATCATTTTGTAATGTCCGCTTCACTTATACTATTAATCGCATTAATAAAGTTATTGTCTCCTCGTCGCCTTTTCAAAAATCAATCAATCAATATAGTGATGCATTGGTTATAGTGATAAAATCACGGAAATCAAAAGGGTACGCTATAGCCGATACAGACTGTACTCATGTACTCAGCTGGCATGCAGTCTCACTCGCATTTTAGCTCTTTTTCTGGAATGGATGCTGCTCTGCGACCCTGGCCTTGGTGAACATTTCCTGCGCTCGTAGAGCAGCTGAAAAGGACCACTGATATGTCTGGTTCCTGGTTTGAAAGTGGAGTCGACTTTTGTGCCTTGAAAAAGGAGTAGAGAGTGATAAAGGTACTTCTGTAGCTTATTTTGAGTGCTCCTCGTACATTTTTGATCGTGATAGAAATTCTCAGATCAAAGTCAGCGCGAAGATGGCCGTACAGTTTTCTTGTGGATTTTTTAGTTGTTTCGTCTCGTATCTACGTGTGTATGTCAGTATCGTGATGGTGAAGTGGAGAGGCCTCGAGGGTGATTTTCTTCCTCTGGGCTCGTTCGGCCGACTTTGCTTCGTCCTCGTTGAAAAGTGATCCTGAAAAAAAGGTCGATTCGCAAAATTATGTTGATTTTGAATGTAGATCTACGTGAGGACATGCGATAGGCCTTGAAAGTGCTACGTCACAGCATAGCAACAATTTCAAAAATTCAAAAACTGGATCCAGTTTTTGTATGGATCCAAGCACATTTCAAGCGGTCTTAGGGGCCTATTATATGTGCAACTCCAGCCCGGGCTGGAGCAAGCGGGCCAGCCCGCCAAGGGTGTTTACATGTGCAAGGCCGGGCTGGTCGCCAGCCCGCAGTGAGTTTATATGCGCTGAGCACACGCCAGCCCGTTGTGAGTATGTAGCAAATACACTACGACTGTAGTGTGCTGCCCCGGGCTGAAACGCAGGGCTGCAGGCCATACTCAGGTTATAAACCTAAAAACTTTTTTTCTCATACAATGTACTTTGAAGTATTCTTCTGCTGATTTCTTTTCGCGCTGTGGCACATGTTTGGTGTGTTGTATCACCTCGTTTCTTTCAAGTTCCCTGTTTTTCACATTTTTAGCTGTCCATATCAAAGTATTTTGCAAGTAGTTCCCCTTCCACTTTAATGTAAATCATGCATGTCGACAAATAAACAGTGCTCACTGTACGTCCTTCTTGTTGCTGTACAAAAAGCTTCATAGATTTTCAAGACAATATCGGGAATCCTCTTTATAGCTACCCTCAAAAGGTAAAAGTACCTATTTTGTAGTATGAACGCAGTGTAGACACCATAATAATATAACTCTGGCCCGGGCTGGTCTGTTTATATGTGCTTTTTCTGGCCCGCCTAGCCGGGATCCCGGGTGCCTCGAGGCGGGATCCCGCCTCGCCGGGCCAGCCCGCTTGCCATGTAAACGCACCACAGGTTTTGTGTGGATTTGTGTACAACCCCGAGATCCCGTTGCAGGCGGGCTGGCCCGCCTGTCGACCAGCCCGGGCTGGAGCTGCACATATAATCACCCCCTAACCCACAGAATGGTGATGTAGCCAGTGAAACTGACTGATTTGGCTACTGGGGGCAGGGTTACAACTGGTGGCAAAATAAAAGTCACACCTGCATGCCACATGAGTGGGTTGCTATGCACCCACATACTTAGGCAATAGCAAAGTCACACCTTAGTGGATCCAAAAATAGAAATCTGAGGTCAACTTACTACTCCCTGGCTGTTTTGACGTCATCACTTTCAAGCCCTATTCCTGGCGAGCTATGATCCAAGCTTCAGACATGGCACGTGCTTGTTGCCAGGAGACGGCCAATGAGCGGCCAGAATAAGCAGTCAAGATCAGTCGATCTTGACCGCTTAGCCGGTCAAGAACAGCACTTACAGCATCGCGCCGCACATGCGCATTTACCATTTTTCGAAGTCCTTGCCTTGGGCAACATCTCCGACGAGGACTAAAAATTTGTCTCCCTTCTCCAAAATTATGTACTACTGTCTTGAACGTCTGCAGGGAGACCAGAAACGCCAACCGACCTTGCAGCCGGTCCTGTTTCAAGTTCTCGCGGCGAAACGTACACAAGGGAAGCAGACCTCCACAAGTACATTTTGTACCTGCCCTAAGGCTGCAGCTTCTCAGCACCGTCGCATTTGAACCTTACTCTGGCAATCATCTAACTCGAAGAACGGGTTTATTCCGAATCCGTCATATTACTGGTACTAACGTTACTACTGCCTTCACTGTACTTGAATACTTTCATCTCAAAACTGGAAAGTCCCGACCAAACAAATAGCTGTTTGTGATGGTCACTGCACACAATGTGACATCAACTCATTTGCCGTCAAGGCTTTCTTTCTGTTTGAATCTCTCTACTGTACTGGGCCTTGTTGTTTGTGAGGTGGGCCTTGTCTGAAGCGCAATCCTACACAGTTGCGTCGGGCATGCCGCTCTGATCAGGCCCTCGGTCATGTGAGTGATCTTGCCGCGGGCCTCGGTCGCGACGCCCTTGGGCGTCGCGACCTCGGGCAAGATCACTCACAGACCTCGGGCCTGATCAGAGCATCATGCCCTCGCAACTGTGTAGGATTATGTATATCAGGCATCGATTTTACCCAACATCTCGATATTTTGCTCCGATTTTGCTGGCAATTTCCGCTCTTTCAATTCTTCAATATTTTGCCCAAAGGCAAAGGGCCGGCAGGATCTGTCTGGCCGGGCCTCAGTGACAATTTTTAGTAGGGCTGAAACGATTATACCGAATCATCGAGTACTCGTTTGATAACTCTAACGATCGAGCAATCGTTTAGACTACCGATTACGATTATTTTGCTTTTTTTTAATTTGTGTCCAGAAAGTACTGTAAACCCTCGTTTTGTGAAGTTTGAATCAGTTTCCGCTGGGAGTATGCAGTTGCCAGGGGTATGGTTCATGTTCTGAGGTTAAATTGACTTCAAAACTGCCATGTTTCGGAGCTACCCTTTCACTAATGCAGATTTGTTGGTATTATGAAGGCATAGTTGTGGAAACAGAGTAATCTGGTAATGTTTGCACAGAATTATGACTCTATTTGCTAACGATTATAACCGATTACTCGATCGTTAAACTAAAGAGTAATCGATACGTGAAAATCCACGATCGTTTCAGCCCTAATTTTTAGTACAAACCAAACGCGACCGAAACAGAGCTACATTTTGTACAGTACTAGCTGTCAGTACTTTGTAGAGCAGATCACCTACGAAAATAATTTTCGTCACTTGGAGTACTAAAATGCTGATATTTTACAACTCCCTAAAAATTTATCGCAGAATATCGAATGATCGTAAAAAAATGATTGTTGGTTTGCAATTATTTGGCGCGGGATATCTTGAACGCGGGAAACCACTCGCAGTACCCACATGCCTCTGGAAGCAATTTCAGTGCGTCTTTGTAGTAGATCTAGGTAGTATTTTATTATTATATAGCCTTCTGTCTGAAGTGCTAGTGTGGCGCTGTATTTACCTGCCCAACCCTGACTACAAACGATTTTGAGCTGTTGCCTCCTCACTTATTTACTTTCTGCGCCCCGCTGCGCTCGTAGTTACGCAACAAAATGGCAACCCAAACCAAAGCTTTTGGGTATAAAGGAACCCTGGCGATTTCGCAGTGCAACTCGACTAGAGTCAGTCCGCCAAGAACTGGAGAGTTGTCTTTGTTGGACAAGGGTAGTGGTTCGTATGCGCTCGAGTTCCAAGCGTCTTGTGGCCTCCAGACATCGTACCTGGTTAGTGTTAGTGTTACGCTCTGGTTTTATGGACTCGGATTGAGAGCCAAGGATTAATTTATACAAAAGAGAAAGGACCAAGGAACACTACAAGTTACGCTATACTGTCCACTAACACCACATTGTTAACGCATGAGCTGATTGTTTAGTAACTGGTGGTGTTAGTGGACAGTATAGCGTAACTTGTAGTTCCTTGGTCCTTTCTCTCTGCTTTTATACTTCCACACAAAAGGCACAATGGAGTTTTACAGAGTTGTCGCAACTCGGAGTTTTTTGCTCAATGCAATCATCAGGCGACTATTACATGCTCAGTGGGACTTGGCCAATATAAAGCATAGCCTAGCGATAGCTGGTTGGTGTCTGATTCAGCACAGAAAATATTGCCATGATGGCCGTGTGGATGGTTGCTTAGGTGAGGGAGATAAATATGTGATCGAAAGTTGTGCCATTGTCCACAAAGAATTACATCTTGTGTGACATGTTGACAAGAGTATCCGTCTACACATGTTGACGTTCATGTTGACTGCATCTTAAGCTCTCTTTTGTGGGGGTTTGCGTTTGTGTTTGTGTTACAGCTCCGTGCAGGGGAGTCCTTCAAGTTACAGTGCGTGCAGAGCAAGCGTGCGATATTAATGACCTTTGGAGATCCTCTCCAAACTCTCAAGTTTCAGTCTCGTGAAAATTTAGGTGTGCTGCATGAGAAGTTGCTAACGGTGCAGAGCAAGACGAAAGGTATGTGTTTTTTTCTGGTGCTACCATCGATTGTTTGCTTATGTTCTGCATCTTCATCTTGTCTCAACGTTTTAACTACTTTCAGAGGGCAAGTGCCCCGGTCTGTGAATCTACTCTGCCAAACTTTTGTGCATTGTGTGTACGAGTTCATGGCGGGCCAAATGTTCTTTGCCACAAGCTTGTGGGCAGTACGCTACTGGTATGCAAGTACAGTGTGTGCTGTTTGTTTGCCGGACGTTGTGCCAAGCGGCATCCTGTCCTGACTGGACGAACATAATGCATTGCCGCACAGCCAGTCACTACAGCAAGCATCATTCTGTTAAATTTGGAATGCGGAAAGGATTTATTGGGCTATGTCCCATGTTAGCCTGTAACAGATGACAGTTTGACCGATCCATTGTTTCAGGCCGCTTTCTATCTGGCTTGCAAGCTTGCATTAGATCAATGTTGACTCCCTAGTTTCCATTTTCGTTAAGTATTTTCCGCTCTCCCTCGTCTTGCCTCGGTCTACCATTGTGTTCAAGCAGTTCTTCGCTCTAGACGAAAAGGTTCCGCTAGGTTTCCATCATCCATGCTTTGGCACAAGCTGCTGGTTTCTTTTCTTTTAGACTTTTGCACAAAAAAAAAGAGAAAAAAGCATCGCTGAGCATCGCCAAGAGGATGCTTGACGCGACGGAATGACAACAACTCTACTCAACTCAAGTGTGCATGGTGGTGTTGACGTAGCATTCGGACTTGCAGCAGAAAGCCTAGACTGCCTGTCCGTTGTCCCAGAAGGCAGAAGCCTGAATGTGAAGCCTTTTTTTCAGAATTCAGCATCAAGCCATCAGAGAAGGAGGGCGACTGCAACGTGGACGTCGTGTTGTATGCATCTAACTTCTCCATTGCACTTGGGTCATATGCTGGTGGTTGACATATATTGTTGAACTGTGAATAGGCAGCGGTGGTGGTGTCAACGTAGCATTCAGATTACTCAATGACAACAACTCTACTCAAGTCAAGTACAGTACTTATGTACTTATGAACTTGTGAACGTAATGGTGAAAGTAGAATAAGTGGTGAGGCTTGCGGGAAAAAAACCCGTTCCCGCACGTTGTGAGTGTGTTTACTCTCCTTGTACGCAGACATTGATAATGCTGCGACGTCACGCAGATCAATTTGATACGTATGTTGTGAGTCGAAAGTGCCGCACCTCCCTGCATCCGTGCGGGAGGAATCCGTCACATCTGGAAAGTTTCCGCTGCACCGAGCCTGACCGGTAATGGCAGGTTTTACTGCACATTGTGCATAGGTCAACAACAGCCTGGAGATACGTTCATAGGTCAACAGCCTGGAGATACGTATGTTCCGCCCAATCTGGGATTTTACGCAATCTACAAATTGCGCTGCGCAATCTGAGAATACCCAGATTACCTGCACGATCTGCCGATTAATTTAGAAAGAAGAAGGGACCAATACGTGACGAGCTTTGACTAACAGTCCACCAAGATAACGAGATACTATATAGTCAGATAATGTGGTTGGTCCTTTCTTCTTTTCTGAAGTATATATTATGGCATGGTTAGGAGGGCAATAATGGATTTTCAGTGCCCGACAAGTGAGGGCACTGGAAATCCATAATTGCCCGACCAACCATGCCATAATGGATTTATTACTTTCAGCCTAACATTGCTGAAGACACTAACCTGAAAGAATCAAAACTAAAGGAGAAAGTCGACATCGTGTGAAACAACACTTGAAAGGAAAGAAAAAGAAAAGCTGAGATCGCCACTTTCAAACACTCATTCACATGTACACTGCACTGACTCTGTACACAGTCACCGTGTTGAAATCCCGTAGATTTCACGCGTCCAGTGTCACTGTCAGGGTTGTCACGGACGATGGGCTCTGGACGCGGGCGTTGGACCGATTAATTGCCCGCTCATACAGATCAGTGATTGGCCCGATCCAAGGAAACAGTCACGTGACATGTGCTAATAATTAAAACTATTGGCTCAAGATCCGAGTTTTAATCTGCAGATTGCTTGCGCATTCTGCCTGGAAATTTTCAGATTGCGCAGATAATGATGGCTCGCATATCCTGGGAGTGTTCAGATTGCGCGGCACAATCTGAGGATTCCCAACAGATCCGTGCAGGGTTGTGCAATCTGGGATTTTCCAGATAGACAATTTGATTTGAAGATTTCTCCCCACATGGATTCGCTGTGCTCTGGATGTCTTTTAGCGAAATCCACAGGTTGCACCCCACATGGATTCGCTGTGCTCTTCATGCTTTTCAACAATATTCACAGATTGCGTCCACAGATAGCGCCCCACACGGAAATCACTGTGCTCTTCATGCGTTTCAACAAAACACAGATTGCGTCCACAGATTGAACCCCACATGAATTTGCTGTGTTCTTCAGGTTTTCAGTGAAATGCACACATTGCATGAACCACACACGTGAATTTTGCACCACATGTACTTGGGTGTGTTCCCAGAAGTGTCAAGGAAGCTCAGAGATCGAGACGCGGATTACCGTACCAGGTCTCGTGCCTGTTGTGAACTACCCCGTATGCACTGCCAAAGATGCAATACTCACAGCCCACTCGACATTGGGCTAATTACTTGCTTTTGCACAAGAAGAACTCAAACTAAAAGAGCTAGAGAAAAAAGGATAAAGGCTCGCGCACCAAGATGACACGGACGAAATCGCGACCTACGTCATCGTGTGCACGCACAATATTACTGGAAAAAGGAAGAACGTCACGAACACAGCCTGAATAAATAATACGAAGTTCAAAAGTAATAATACGTAGTGATCAACAGTAAATACGTTAGATATCACGGAAGGAATAGAGATAGAGAGAGAGAGATGAGGTGGCGTCGACAGTTACTAGTCAATCTATTACACCTCTCCCTCCAGACACCACTACTCAGGAACAATATCGCATTGGGCGTCGACGGCTAGCTGGCCCTGGGGCACGGAGATCATAGCGTGGGACTGAATCACTGTCTCCGCCGTCAAATTCCAGGCCAACGGCTCCGCCATCACTTGCGTCACTCTCCCTATCACTCTCGGCAGGGTTCGGCTGGGCGCTGTGGACATCCTCAGAGTCTGGTATTACAGGAGCTGAGTCTAGCTTCAGCAGGTCAATGTTGACCACTTTCTCTGCGCCATTGGCATGACTGATCACGACAGTAGATGGTGACACAATCTTTTCACATTCCAGCCAGGCTCAAATGGTGGGAACAGCTTCTGGTGACGCCTAGGCCTCCGCGGAATGTGCCGGCATAATTTCGGGAATTATCGGTGTGATTTTTAAAACGGGAATTATTGGCAATTTTTGTGGAATAATCGGTAAAATTTGAGCAATGCCCCCCTTTTTTCAATTTACTTGAAGTATTTCCATTTATAACACCCTGATTTGTACCAAAAAGCTTGTGATCCTGAAGTTGATCGCCCGGTATTTCAAAAAAGAAAGAAAAAAAAGCTTCCAGCCGAGTTTCACGCGAACCGTGATTGTTTTTGCCCGTACAAGTGGCAAAAAAACCGCACGCGGTACGGTATCTGCAAAAAAGGGAAGAAAAAAAGCATTATTGTGAGAATTATTGGTGGAATTACGGGAATAATCGGTCGAAATTTTGAGCAATGCTCAAAGGAATTATCGGTAAAAATACGAGCATATTCCGCGGAGGCCTAGTGACGCCCGGGGCGTCGGAACAGTACTGCATCACCGGGAACGTAGGGTGATTGGGTGCTGCTGGGTGGTTGTGGAGGGCTCGATGCAGACAACTCTGTCTCCACAACATCGTGTACACGGGCAGCCGGTTCATTCAGCTTCTCAACCCAATCTCAGCAGCTGTATCGGGTCTGCACCACTTAGCCCAGTGCACCGGAACACGAGTCAGTTGGTCAGCTGGGTTCTTCTCAGTGGGCGTCCACTCAACACGCACATTCAGGCGTGCGGTCTCCATCAGGTTAGTTGCCACTTGTAAACGACGGCCAATGAGCACCTTATGCAGGCCTCCTACGCGACCATGGCACACATTCTCAGCACCTTGACGTAGCCATCCAAATACAGCCTTGGAGTTAGTAATGAGCCGCACTGATTCCAGGCCCCACTCAACAGCCAGTGACAGACCACGCATCGCCGCGTCGAGTTCTGCGACGTTGATGTGTTTCCTGTCGTCTGCATCACGTAGCCACGTGCCATCCTCAATGATGTCTCCATTGCGTTTCAGCACAACGCCAGTTGCCCTGTCAGACGCGTCACAGTAGACTGCCCAGTCGCCGTCAGACGTTGACGGCACACGCCAAACTCACGACCGGGGCAGCAGTCCCTGACTTGCGTTCCAACCAAGCTTTCCGCTCAGGACAGTTGTGCTTCGTATGACCCGGTTCGTCACAAAAGAAACACACTGGCTGGTTTCTGCTCTGCCGGTCAGTCTGATTCCGTCTTCCATCACTGTCAGGACCCTTTCGATTGCGCCGCTTCGGGCACTGCCTCCTGATGTGGCCAACTTCGCCACAATCATAGCAAACTTCAGCGGTCTTCTGGCTTGCGCCACCTGTAGCTGCAGCAGCCACAACATGACTAGTGCTGCTGGAATCTCGCTCTGCACTACGCAGGGCACGCACTATCTCTAGGCACCCGGACACGGTTAGGTCCTTCCCGGCCATAGTGAGCCTCAGCTCGCGCTCATACTGATTGAACAGTCCGGAAATAACTTGCTCCACCAGCAACGAGTCCTTGTCATCAGCATTAGGGTGACCTGACAACGCGTATAAACGTTGTAGATCTGCCACGTAGGCATCGGGCGACTCATCTATGCGAAGTCTCCTCGCCGTGAATGCTGAGTAGGACTGCGCCTTCGTCAGGCAAAACGACTGCCTGAATTTGTTCAACGCTTTATCTTGGTCGGCTCGATCACCAGAAGCCAACCTGGAGTATACTAGAAACGCATCTCCCTCCAGAAACAGGGGAAAGTTCTTCATTCGTTTCGACTCATCGTCCCACTTCTGGATATCTGCCAGCACTAGGATTTTCTCCCAAAACCGTTCGAAGTCGTCTCCACTTCCTTTGAACGATCGAAGAAAATTGTCCAACTTCAACGACATCGTGCAGTTGGCAACAAAGCCAGCTCACAAGACTAAAACGTTCCTTCAACAACTCCCGGGTTTCGGCACCAGATGTTGTGAACTACCCCGTCTGCACTGCCCAACATGCAACACTCACAGCCCACTCGACATTGGACTAATTACTTGCTTTTGCACAAGAAGAACTCAAACTAAAAGAGCTAGAGAAAAGGATAAAGGCTCGCGCACCAAGATGACACGGACAAAATGGCGACCTACGTCATCGTGTGCACGCACAATAATACTGGAAAGAGGAAGAATGTCACGAACACAGCGTGAATAAATAATACGAAGTTCAAGAGTAATAATACGTAGTGATCAACAGTAAATACGTTAGATATCACGAAAGGAATAGAGAGAGAGAGAGAGAGAGAGAGAGAGAGAGATGAGGTGGCGTTGACAGTTACTAGTCAATCTATTACATACCACAAATATTTTCGTGTCACCCCAGAATGCGCAGGCAATTTGGAAACTTCAGATTGCACGGAACGTGTACACTCTTTTTATGGTTATTATGTTCCGCGCATTCTGTGGATTTGCGTAATCTGAGAATTCCAGATTGCCTGCGCATTCTGGGATTTCTGAAAATAATTTTGGCACGAAGCCAGTCATGGAGAATTCACGTCCCTGACACTTCTGGAAACACGCGCCACACGCAAGTATGTGTGGTCCAACATTCACGTATGCTTCATGCACTCTGTGTCTGTCTTTCTCTCTGTCTATATGTCTCAGCCTGTCTCTCTCTCTGTTCAGTCTCAAAATGCTCAATGCCAGTTTCAGTCGGCTCCACCACATTTAGTGATGACTTTTCCAAGACCCACAGTTAATTGGGAACTCGTGGCCTGGCACGAGGAAAACATGGATGCAGTGAATGGGATTTCGGTTTTTGACCACATGCTGGTGAGCTGATCTACTCACCTCCCACCGCTTTAGGAGCTGCATCTGTGCCTTGATCCTTGAAGGGTGGTGGCGTTCCTACGGATGCGGAAAACTTGGCCTCTATATAGAGAAACCGAGTCTCACGCGAACCGTGAATTTTTTTTCGAAGAAGAAAAAAAAGCCAAGGAGAGGAGCAAGGAGCTGAAATGCCTCTCAAGCTTTGAGCTCGAAGATGGACTATTCTGACCAGAACTCGTTTTTTTTCGGAAAGGCCACCCCAAAAGCAGCAGTTACTATGGAGACAGCGCATTCTGAAGTATAATAGCAAAATGGCCCAGAACACACAGTGGTTACCAGCTATTCGCGATTAAATGAAGAATGTGATGTCGAACATATCAACGTCCCCACCCTGACCCTCCCTGTGTCAGTCTATTCATTTGTTCCCAGGCTCGCTATCCGAAATGCCGGAGAGCATAGAAAGAACCAGGGCCTAGATCAGTAGAAAAGTGCCGTTCACCCATGCACGAGCTCGAGCACTAACAACAAAACCAAAATACATCACAAAAACATGATTTTCAGTACGAAAAAGCTGGCAAGAGTTAGGAAACTAGGGCCGTGATCGTTTGGTTGGATCTAGATCCAGATCTAAATGATCGATTGGTCGAATCGCGATCCACATCCCTCGGATTTGGATGCGAGCAACCCTGCCCCGGGAGCAGGGTTGACTGGCTCCAACGGATTCATTTTTGCCAAATATGACGTTTGTACGTGTTTGGCAGGTAAGAATCATTGTTATACACATTTGGTACACATGCACGTGGAAAAGCGTTGCACCATGCACATGAGTACTACGCGTACGAACCTGGAGTAACTTTTTGAACGTGTTTTTTTTGGTTTTTTACCTCAGCATGGTCACGGTAGCAGTGTGTTCCAAATGTGATCGGTTGATTCAGAGGGTTGCAGTGGATCTGGGACCTGGATCTTGATCCGGATGCGACAAAACGATCACAGCTTACGCCAAACATGTTGATATGTTTGACATCACATTCTTCATATAATCCAGAATAGCTTGCAATCACTGCAGGGTCCGAGTCATTCTTTAACTTTCTGTTTTTCTTTTGCATCCTTGTTTCTTGCCTGTGTTAGCTTGTAAGAAGCCATCGGCAAGTAACAGCCCGTCGTCTTTGTCCAATCCTAACTGTGGAAGTAGAGTGAGTGAGTAAGTACTCGTTTACACCAGGTTCCCCCCGTATACTGCTTGTAGGGTTCGCTGTCACTAACTGGACCAACACGATGAGCGTCGATCTCTACAGAATCAAACTTTGGCGTTAGCTTGTTCACTGGTCACTCCCTGTGCACTGGCTTGTGTATATGTTGATCAGCTTGTGGCCAGTCAGCCTAGCGAATACTGACCCTGGATTAGGCATGGAAAAGTGTTGCTATTTGTAAGTTGTCACTATGCCTCATGTAGACGCCTGTTTTGAATACGAGCCTGGTTTCAGGATGTCCGACTGCCACATAACCCTGGTCTTTGTTTTTATCATACATATGAGTGCTATATCTAACTGTTCTTTGGTGACTAGTGGCTGATTGGTGGCTACAACTATTTTCCTATTTTCCTTGTTCACCAACATCTTCTTTTGCTGCTATTCTTCTGTAGATACCGCAGCACGAACTCTCGTTCAATGAAAATATTAGCCAACTCCGCCGCTGCCGCGGCTTCTACCCCGAAACCTGCTGACAGGCAATGTATGTTGGTGTGTGTGTGCGTATGTGTGTGTGTGTGTGTGTGTGTGAGGGTGGGGGTGAGAAGTGAGCTTGCATGAGCTCTCAACTGTTTCTCCCTGCCAGCAAGAGTATAAACTTCCGCCACGGCTCCTTTTCAGCATTATGTCATTTCTGGTGATGCAATTTCACTGTACGAAACAGCGCACTACACTCGGTTGACCTCGCATCTAGAATTTATACGTAGAGCTGGGTACACTATGTACTTGGCCTGATTCTGAACAAGAGTCGGTACAAGCTTTGCATAGGCGCATGCCCACTGTTGTGGCTGATATACTCTTCTGTATTGAACAGTGTTTGACTGCAGACTTGTATTGTGCTTCCCAATACGTTTGGCTAATGGGGAACCAGAACGTTTGGGAAAGCACCCATGGCGGTTCAAACCGTCTGCCTTTGTTTTCGCAGTACATTGCCCACTGTGAGTATGTCATCTATATTATTATCCATCAGCACTCGGCCGAAGGCCGGAGATTGGCACCCACCGGGCTAGCATCCAGCAGCCAAAGGTGGGGTCATGCATCATATGAATGTTAAAATATGATGGTAGGTAAACAACGGAGAGAAACAAACAATATTTGTTATCGATCATAGGGAACACGAGAGGGTTTGGAGGAAAATAGAACCGAAAGAACTCCACCACCCACCCCACACAAATCAAGGACCTTGCGCAGGATAGCTGTCGAGCCAAGGAGAGCATTCCTTTGCAATTCTTCTTCTTATTATTATTATGTATTAAAGAAGTGATAGCATTTCAAACATATTTTCTGTAAAGAGTGATGGCATATCTGCTTCATCATCTGACCAATGCCTCTCTGTATTTGTTATCCTATCCATGCAGCTAGTCCAGGTGCTGATTCGTCTGGCGTCGGGTTTTATAGCACTTACGGTTGCAAAACGCCCTCAACCCCAAGGAGATCACGACTGTAAGGCTTGTTCCGTTTGTTGTTGTTCGAACCAACCTGGTAGGCCTTGTTGTTAATTAGGGCAGATTGGAGTCCCTGTGTACCTTTTCACTGACTTGAATATAATATCCACGATTACACTGGATCACCCGAGTTCAACAGAAATTAGAGGCAGGGTTATGTTGCTATGTGGTTACATCGTAGTCGGTTTACTGCCCAGACATTAACAGTGTGTATGGTTTGTTGTTGGTAATACGCGCAGCAAAAACAACCTGGTCTCTGGCATAGGTTATTTCTGTACCGGCGTATGGACTCTGTAAATCGTAATACCACCTTTCATGCTTGTTGTTTTAGGCCAACGGACAATCTGGCTGCGTACAACTCCCAGCCCACTTTGCAATCACCCTCCTTCACTGATGGCGTGATGCAGCATTCTTCAAACGATTGTTTCAGACGTTTGCCTTCTGAGGCGATCCCCAGTGAGTATCGGCCTTCTGGTGATCTGAAGGCGTCAGGACCACAGCTGCAGCTCAAAAGGCGCCGTTTGCTGAATAGTAGTACCAGTGAGGAGTGTTCGTCATCAGCGCTTCATGCAACTCCCCAAAGTCCTCCATTGAAAATGAGAAAAAACAACTCACCGTCCAATGGTCCAGCGGCAAGTGGTACAGCTTTTTCAGCTGCTCCGACGAACGTGCCTGGCCATCGTGCCAGCACCTCGATGATGCCTCCTGGTATTGCCATGCCAGCAACCAGCGTACAGAATGGCGTAGTGGGGTGAGTTCTACGTAGGATATATTTTCCTAAACTCTTTGCTTTTGTTTCCGTCGTAATAGCGGCCTCTTCCACTTGTGCTTTGTTGTAGTTTTCCGTTGACCGTGTAATGGTGCCGAGATAGTCCCGGGGGCGTAAATGAAACACTGATCTGGGTATGATGAAATTGCCTAGACTGTTCTTTGACTACTGTAAATATACAAAATTTCGGCACTTCACGATTTTCGGCGTGGGGTAGAGGGCATGGTATAGTGCGACAGATGCTGTGAAAAATTTCATCGGCGTTTTAATTTAGCCGTTTTGGGTTGGTGCCGAATATAGCCGAAATTAAAGGGGAAGTGCATCGATTTTTCGAGTATGGTCCAGAAGAAAGACAATTTGATATTGGTTCGAATGGCATATCTCTCGCTTCCATGCGATAAGCCAAACTTGCCAAATCGCCGATTGTATACTCACGTTGCCATAGCGACCAGCGCAGTGATGGCATACGAAAGGCTTAGCTCCACCACAGAGAAGGTCAATCACTGCAGAATTTGGTCATTTTCAATTGGTTTATTGTATTCACGAAGTGAAAGAAGGGCTGTGTTCAATGCTGTAAGTGCAGTGAACTGTTTGTTAGTACAGTAAAACCTGTAATGGCGACCACTCGGATATGGCGACCACTCGACCATGGCGACCACTTTTCCTTGTCACGGACGCATTTACATTCTAAACACCTCGGATAAGGCGACCACTCACTCAACGCAACCGACGACCACCCACCCGCGACCGTGTTGCACAGTGCTAGTCATGTAAATGTACGCATTGCATGGTGCACCAGGCATGGTAGATCTACACATCAGTGCAGGAAGTGTAGATGTAGATGTACATGGTGCATGCACGGCATTTGACAGGTCTGAGGACCCCAGGCACATGAGTCGTGCTAGTAGAGTGGCATAGGTGTGTGCACTGTGATGCACTGATCAAAATGATGTATCACATGTGGATATGGTCACATGGCCCACTGAACCTGGATAAGAAGACCACCTGGCCACGGCGACCACTTTTTCTCGTCCCTTGAGGGGTCGTCCCTTGAGGGGTCCCTTGAGGGGTCCCTTGAGAGGTCCCTTGAGAGGTCCCTTGAGGGGTCCCTTGAGAGGTCCCTTGAGAGGTCCCTTGAGGGGTCCCTTGAGAGGTCCCTTGAGGGGTCCCTTGAGAGGTCCCTTGAGGGGTCGCCTTAGACCGGTTTCACTGTAGTCCTCTCGCTTGTGTACTGGGACATGACATGACACCGACAGGAGAAAGCTGGAGTGCGGAGACACCAGCAGACAAGCGAAAAATAGTAGGAGTGAAACAAGTATCTATTTTGACCAATCGATCACTCATTCATAATATTCGATCGAGTATTTTATCAAAATTCAAAAGCGCTAGATTTGTGAGTTCTCGACCAATTCGGAAGAAATTATCTGTGAACATAGAACAAAAGTCGCCAACGTCTTGTACAGAGTGTAAAGTAACGATTTTCACCAGTGCTTTTATTATTTCATATTAACAAACTACCGTTACTTGCCGTGGTGATCGCATCGTCCAAGTCATAAAATACTGACTCAAAGGCATGCATAATGCATGCATACCAGTCAATGAGCGGTACAACAGAAGTTTTTGAAAATAGAATGCCAATACTTGTAGTCAACTAGTCCATCACAATGTCATGCATGAGGAGTACTGTAGGAGTTTGGCTTTCGGCTTGTACAATTCGTTTTCGCAAAGCTTCCCCTTTCTTTACTTATCTTTGATATTTATGACCCACCCAAGTTGGGTGGTGTGCTGCTTTGCTGCTTCGAATTGTAGTTAGACCGCTTTGTCAAATATCGTACTGGTATCGTCATCGTCCAGTAACAATCGACATTCTTTGTTCCGTTGGGACTGTAGCTTTTGCTCGTTTTCGTTGCACTTGCCTTCCCCTCTTTGGTCTTTTCATAACCTTGAACCTTCCAAGTTGGAAGGCTGTCGGTTAGCGCTACGGAGATGTGTTGAAGCTAGGTGTCAGGACGTCGAATGTCTCAGCACTCTGTCAGTTTTGTGCCTAGTTGTTGCACTTTCTGACTGTATCTAGTATCTGGTTACAGTGATGGAGAGTTACTCTTAACTCGTATCCATATGTCCTTTTCTTTTCTACAATACTAAAAAAACAAAAACAAACAACCATCGAGTGCAAAATTTCGAATACTCACTCGTTTGAAATTTTCGAACGAATACTCGAATATTCGAACTAATCGTTTCACCCTAGAAAATAGTGACGAACAAAATGCTGAATCTTGGTTGGGACAAATCAGACGTTCAGCATTTCCCCCAACCAAGGACCATGCCGTTTGCTCTTTCCACTTCCTGAAGATGAATGTGAGGCTTCCTGGCGACTCTCCTATCTCTCGTAACATCTTCTGAAGCCAGGTGAGACGACGGGTGGTGGAGATTGACGAATGAAATAATGTCGTAGGTTTGAAAGTTTGCTGAAAATGTCTCAGGAGAGATTGCGAATTCTAAGCATCTTGTCCTGGAGGAAACCATTTCCTAGGCACAGTCAGCCTAGGGAAATGCATGAGAAGGGCGATAAATAGTTCACGGCACTAACAGCATTGAACACAGCACTTCTTTCACATTGTGAATACAATAAGAAAATTGAAAATGACCAATTATTTCTGCAGTGATCGACCTTCTCTGTGGAGGAGCTAAGCCTTTCATACGTCATCACTGCGCTGGTCGCTATGGCAACGTGAGCATACAATTGGCGATTTGGCAAGTTTGGCTCATCGTATGGAAGCGAGAGATATGCCATTCGAACCGATATCAAATTGTCTTTCTTCTGGACCCTACTCGAAAAATCGATGCACTTCCCCTTTAATAAATAGCTGCCGAAAATGTGTATATTTACAGTATGTGGAATACAGGCGAACAGAAGCTGAAAAAAGCACAAGGAATTGTGTACAGCGGAGATGGAGATATGCTAGACATGTGTAGAGCGGAGATGGAGATATGCTAGACATGTGTAGAGCGGAGATGGAGATATGCTAGACATGTGTAGAGCGGAGATGGAGATATGCTAGACATGTGTAGAGCGGAGATGGAGATATGCTAGACATGTGTAGAGCGGAGATGGAGATATGCTAGACATGTGTAGAGCGGAGATGGAGATATGCTAGACATGTGTAGAGCGGAGATGGAGATATGCTAGACATGTGTAGAGCGGAGATGGAGATATGCTAGACATGTGTAGAGCGGAGATGGAGATATGCTAGACATGTGTAGAGCGGAGATGGAGATATGCTAGACATGTGTAGAGCGGAGATGGAGATATGCTAGACATGTGTAGAGCGGAGATGGAGATATGCTAGACATGTGTAGAGCGGAGATGGAGATATGCTAGACATGTGTAGAGCGGAGATGGAGATATGCTAGACATGTGTAGAGCGGAGATGGAGATATGCTAGACATGTGTAGAGCGGAGATGGAGATATGCTAGACATGTGTAGAGCGGAGATGGAGATATGCTAGACATGTGTAGAGCGGAGATGGAGATATGCTAGACATGTGTAGAGCGGAGATGGAGATATGCTAGACATGTGTAGAGCGGAGATGGAGATATGCTAGACATGTGTAGAGCGGAGATGGAGATATGCTAGACATGTGTAGAGCGGAGATGGAGATATGCTAGACATGTGTAGAGCGGAGATGGAGATATGCTAGACATGTGTAGAGCGGAGATGGAGATATGCTAGACATGTGTAGAGCGGAGATGGAGATATGCTAGACATGTGTAGAGCGGAGATGGAGATATGCTAGACATGTGTAGAGCGGAGATGGAGATATGCTAGACATGTGTAGAGCGGAGATGGAGATATGCTAGACACACTCTAAAGCCGAGTAGTGAGCAGCAGCTAGAGAGAAGGAAGTAAAACACATCGCACACTGGCTTGGTTTCTTCACACTTGCACCTTCTGTGTGTTTCCTGCTCGGTGTACTTCTCTCCTGTTCTGCTTGTGCTCACTCTTCTTTGCACTGTTGTTATCACATCTCTGCTGGATACAATTCAGTGTGCTTGCTCAGTTTCTTTTGCATGAATTCTGCCTGATGAGAAGACAATGATATGTACTCGTTTAAAGTTTTGAAGATGTTGATGGTGAGGATCCAAGAGGATGGTGGCGTTCCTGCGGATGCGGAAAACTGGGCCTTTGGTCGAGTCTCACGCGAACCGTGAATTTTTTTGATGGTGAGGAGCCTGAACATTGGTCTTTTCTTGAATGTGGTGTGTGCACGTACAGTATGCAGATTTAATTCTGGAATACAGTACATATGACATCATAGAACTAATTATTCCAGACCATTAAACACATATGCACACATGTACACACATGCGCGTGCACACACTCACACACACGCCTTGGACCTTGAACGTGCCATAGCCGATGGCAATGACAGCGGCGGGACTATCTGCTAGCTTTGCAGTATGGAGCGTGGTGCTGATGGAGCGGAGATCATCTACGATGACGTCACACCACGGCTTGCGAGGACACATTGCAGAGAGCTCCCCAAACAAACAAACAAAACTCGCTTCAGCATACGGTTGTCGGTCATTCGGCCAACGTACCCAAGCCAACACAATTGATATTCTCGGATGATGTCCGCTACATCACAGTCAATGCCGAGGGTTCTGGCCATGGTAATGGAGGTGACACGGTTGTCCCACTGGTCCCGTCTGGAGATGCCCACGATGATGCCGACAAACTGGTGATGAAACTTGTTGAGACAGCACAGGTCTGGTGCCTTCGGTGTCCACATCTCTGCTCCGTATGGGAGAGTCGTCAGAACAAGGGCGATACACAAACACAAACACACACACACACACACACACACACACACACACACACACACAAACAAACACACACACACACACACTTGTACTTGTACTTGTACTTGTTGCTCACTGCCAAAACTGGTCACGTGGGTCTCCCCGGGAGAGGGAAGAGAGACACAAAAGGAATCTTGGAAAGATGACTCAATTGGCTATTGAACCGCCCAACGGCCGACACCCCCTGAAATCCCCAAAACTCTGGGTGGACTTGAAAATGATCCCACTTATGGGCTCACCACACCTCAGTAAGTGGGAGAGGACAAAGTGCAGAAAAAGAATTGACGGCATCAGGGTATCCGGTTCCGGGATCCAACTGCAGTTACCCCTGCCCCCAGTGAAGGTAATACTTGCTACTAGTGTGGGTGGCTAAATCAGAGTGGATCTGATATAAGCTTCACTAGCACCATTGATTACACAAGAGTTAATCTAGCTAGAAGCAGTCCATGGTTAACAGGTATGTATACTTCAAATAGAAAGTATATGAACCCTGGAACCAACAAAGGTGGCAGGTACAACATTACGCCTTCAAGCAGCCGAGCCCGTTGGCAACAGACCCAACACAATCAGGCATAAGAGCACCCAGCAACCGAACTAGCTGGCACGCACACACACACACACACACACACACACACACACACCTGGCCTGGTGTACAGCTGCCAAATGCTTGGCCACGTCGCCCCCGAGACAGGCGCCGTCCACGATTGCAATTGTGTCGCCGAAAGCCAGGAGCAGATTTAAAACAGCGATCACAGGTAGCGCAGTGCTGGTTGCAACACGGATGGCTGGTGATTGGTATGCGTTGGGGTGTGGGCGGTGATGCCGGGGCGGGTGTCGTGCACTTGTGCACAGCAACACACACACACACATGCACACATGTACATGCACACACACACACACACTGATATAGGACATCAACTGTCCAGCAGAGCGGAGCACTAATATTGCCAGCGGCGATGTCTAAGCGATGTATGTGTATCTTTCTGTGTGTGTGTGTGTGCGTGTGTGTGTGTGTGTGTGTGGATGTATGCGTGTGTGGACGTATGCGTGTGTGTGTGCGTGTTTGTGTGCGTGCATGCATGTGTGTGCGTGTTTGTGTGTGTGTGCGTGTGTGTGTGTGTGCGTGTTTGTCTATGTCTGCTCACCCTTCGTATAGGTTAACCAACATTGGCAATTCTTGCTACATGAACGCTGGCCTCGTGGCCGTATTCTCTTTGCCCAACTTCATGCGGGATCTGGAGTCCAAGGCGTCGATCGTTGCCAACGACTCCCTATACAAGTATGGCTTGTCTTGTCTATGTTCACTTCTCTCTCATGGTGGGTACACAAGTATGGCACGGCAAAGTCAACGCGTGGCTTACAAGAAGGAAGCAATCGCCGAGAAAAAATGTCCCGGCTCCAAAGCTGGGGCAAGATTTGATAGTAATAAATTAATAATGTCTGCCCGGGGTCACTTCTTGGTTCTTGTACCACCTGGGGGGGGGGGGGGGGGGGGGGGGGGGGGCATGGGGCATTGTTGACTGTATTCCTAGACTTCGATCGTTCGATGTGACCAGATGGATAATAGTCAAGTGCGATATTGCCCTGACTTCGTGACCCCATAGACTGGTTGCCAAAGCCGCCTCCGGAGATCCGTACCCGAGATGGCCCTGGAGACCGCGGAGCTCGGAATCGATTTTTTCGGGCAAAGAGACACATGGATTGATGTGTGCGTGTGTTTTGTTTTGCTTGTGACATGACTTGCGTTTCCTTCCTTTTAGTGTATTGATAGTTGTTTGTTGCTGCCGACTTCTAGTAATAGTGTAGGAATAGAGTAGGACGTGTAGTAGTAGCAACGATAGTGTGGATAGTAGCATGGATCTGCCGTTTGACTCTGAAACCTTTCAAAGGTTTGACAATTGGAACTATAAAGAGAATTTTTGGAAGTGGTAGAACGTTCGAGGAAGTTTGCAAAGAAGGGTTTTGTTCATGCTGTGACAATATCATTGTCTGAAGCGGATGATGATGCTGTAGTCAGTGCATTTTGTTGGGCAGGCCAGGCGAAGGATAAAAAATACAAGGTGTTCCTGGCCATCAACTGCAGTAACTTCGACCTGCTGCAGAACACCTGCAAATGTACAGCTGGGCTAGGTAAGTGTAGTCACCAGTGTGCTATTTTTCACTACCTTCGTGCAGCTGGAGCTTTCCTTACCTCTTTGGATGGTGGTGCACCTGTGAGCAGCAGTACTTCGGAGCCGGATGTGTCGAGGACGTCGTTACCTAGGCAATGGGGGATACCTACCCGGCACATTGAGCCAACATTGCCTATGGAGCGGCTGGATTTTCAGAAAGTTGTTGAGGACAAGAATTTCACCCCTGTACAGCATGATAGCAGTTCTGTAGAGGCTGTGGACAAGAGAGTAAGACTTTGCCAACTTTGGACACTTTCCCCTTGCCTATCAAGCTGCCCGCGGACTTGGTAGATTCGCAGCAATCCATGGTCCTTCTACGATATTTCCGACCCGGCCATTCCTCCTCTGACGATGAGAGTGATAATCCTGACAGTACCATACCTGATAGTAGCATTCTCACTGCTGCTGCGCCTCAGCTTGTGGAGAGTCTTTACGCCAGTGATCGCCCAGGGCCAATTCGTCTGCCTCAGTATCTTGGTGTCGTGTTTGAGGTGATCAATAGTGCTGCAGTGCCACCGACGCCTGCTGATATTGATAATATTGATGTGAGCTACTGTCAACGGCACTTAGTCTGAATGAAGCTGAGCGAGAGCAAGTTTGCCACAGCACCAGCCAGCAGCATCAGTCAGAGATAATGGTACACGGAACGAATATGCAGATTGACGGCATCAAAATTTGGCCTCATTTGCAAGCGCCGTTCTGGGTATATGTCATCCCTTGTCAAGCAGCTGCTTTGTACTGATCCGCCCGTTCACGTAACATCACTGGCGCAAGGCCGCATGAAGGAACCAGTCGTTGTCAAGCGGTATGCTGCCTTCAAGCAGGAACAAGAGGAGTTGGTGGACATATCAAAGACTGGTCTCCATATCCACCCAGAAGAAGGATATCTTGCTGCCAGCCCTGACCGACTCGTGTCTGATTGGTCGTGTGAGCCTTCCTCTGGACTGCTAGAGGTGAAGTACCTCTCAAGTGTCAATGGCAAACTAGGTGACAGCTTGAAGAAGTCAAACTTCTGCCTGGAAAACATCAACGGCAAGCTCCGCCTCAAGCAGAATCACAATTACCACTACCAAGTGCAAGGTGGTCAAATGGCGTGTGCTGGCCACGCGTGGTGTGACTTTGCCTGTATGGCAGCATCAGGTGACCTGTTCGTGCAACGATAAGCTTCAATCCCGAATTCTGGAATGAATGTGAGGGGAAGCTACGGACCTTCTTCAGCCAGTATCTTGCTTGGGAAATCGTGCATCCCGGCCATGCACAAGTCAGCTAGATGGACAGTTCTCATTCCAGTTCTGCACATCTACAAAGTCAGGGCTCACCACGACCGTACAAAGCGTCAATAATGGTCATTTGGATTTGACCAATCAGCGGACGGCAAAATGGGCTGTTTCTTGCAATTGTGGGGTGTTTTCTGAGTGGAGCTTGGCTGTATTCGTTGGTTTTAGACATTAGGCCATTGTGGATTCGTGTTCAGAAGGTGTGTCTTTGGAGGGTTACCGTCTCGAATTTTTCGATTTGGCCTTCGTTTGGCTGAGATCGGATGGTGAAATCACTCAAACGCGAAGGCGTGCGAACAAGTGAATGAAGAGAAAATTAGAAATCGGGGACGGTAAACCGATAGAGAATTCCAAGACCTTGAAAATGAGCTATCGATGGTGAGAATCGGCTAAGGAGAACCGCTGTTCTACTTTTTTGAAGACATCGAGGTCGGCCGTGCGTCGCCTCGCGCACCAACAAAAACTGGCTGCCGTGCGCATATCTGCAAGTGCAACAAGAAAGGACGGAGGAGACAGCAAGCGTTCCAAGTGAAGAGTTTACCTTCATGTTGACTCAAGCTAAGGACTCATGCCAGTCAGGGATCATACCAGTCACCTCTCATCATGATCATGACTAAGGGATTCATTTGTGGCCAGGAAACTCCCCACTCGCAGCATTTGAGGCCAAACAGAAAAGAGTGTGCCGAGTCGCGATCAGGAAACGCTGAGTTCTACTGACAACATGGGTTAGCTAGGCGCGGAAAATTCTTGTAGATGCCAGGACTCAAGTTCACCAGTACCTCACGGACATATCGGTCGACACCCACCAGCGGATTGAGAAAAATGACCAAGATGGCTTGGAGAAAGGACGTCTTCTCCGCGTGTCTTTCCCGACATCAAACAACAAGATTCGCTTCGGCACTGTACAGAGTCGACCAGGGAGTCGTAAAATACCAGTCGTAAAATACCAGTATTTTACGACTAGACTGTACATCGCTGTACATCGATGAGCATGAACTCGGGTGCGTAGCCGCTATGACTGCACAAACTCTGGCCTTGGCGGCATCGCCATGTTTTCAAAATGGTGGTCGACGCTTTTTGAATTTTGTATGGTCGTGGTGAGCCCTGACAGTGCACATCTACAAAGTGTTCTTGTATATATTTTCTATACCCATGCCTTTTCTTTCGGTCTGCAACTTCTGTTGACCTCGAGACCATTGGCTAACCCCACCTTGACTCAAGACAATTACTTCAGCGGTTTCAGCATTCAGCATAAAAACATAGAGCAGCACAGCATTTAGTTTTAAAAATAACTTCTTCCAAGTACACTGTAACCGTATAAAGACTTCAAGATGGTGTAAACCGTAAAACGAAAGTTAATTATAGTTATTACTTGGATGCAGTGCAACAGCTCTCGTTTCCATTCCCATGACATTGAAGCAACATTCCAGCGCAGTGGTGCAGAGCTTATAAGCGAGGAACAGGTGAGAATTTGAAACTCGGATGTTGAGCCAAGCCAATAATAAATGTAGAAAGGAAAAGGACATATGGATACGCGTTAAGAGTAACTCTCCATCACTGTAACCAGATACTAGATACAGTCAGAAAGTGCAACAACTAGGCACAAAACTGACAGAGTACTGAGACATTCGACGCCCTGACACCTAGCTTCAACACATCTCCGTAGCGCTAACCGACAGCCTTCCAACTTGGAAGGTTCAAGGTTATGGAAAGACCAAAGAGGGGAAGGTAAGCGCAACGAAAACGAGCAAAAGCTACAGTCCCAACGGAACAAAGAATGTCGATTGTTACTGGACGATGACGAGACCAGTAGGATATTTGACAAAGCGGTCTAACTACAATTCGAAGCAGCAAAGCAACACACCACCCAACTTGGGTGGCTCATAAATATCAAAGATAAGTAAAGTTTTCGTTGTGCTTGCCTTCCCCTCTTTGGTCTTTCCATAACCTTGAACCTTCCAAGTTGGAAGGCTGTCGGTTAGCGCTACGGAGATGTGTTGAAGCTAGGTGTCAGGACGTCGAATGTCTCAGTACTCTGTCAGTTTTGTGCCTAGTTGTTGCACTTTCTGACTGTATATAGTATCTGGTTACAGTGATGGAGAGTTACTCTTAACCCGTATCCATATGTCCTTTTCCTTTCTAAACAGGTGAGAAGCGTGGGCAACACAACAACGAAGAGGTACAGGGCGGAATACTCGCATTCACCGGTCCTCACACACGCGCGCCAATTCACACTGTTACATGGCTTAAAGAACATGTAGAACATAGAATGGTTCCCACCTAAACCCAATCAGCATATTGGTGGTCAAAGATTTGCAAGCACGGCACAAATGAGGACAATGTCTGAAGCAGTTCGCACAGACGACACCGGAATTCGGTTTCGGAGGAACGTGCAATAGCGTGTGCGCATGATGCAGTTTTCTACTACAGTGTGAAGGTTGGTGATGACCTTGGTTGCCTCAACCTCTTGTGTTGAGAATTGCACAGCTCCACAACAAAACGGTGGCACAGCAACTCTCAGCCCACGCGCCTGGAGCTCCGAATTCTGCAAAGTGATGCCTTTGTCAGCCATGATATCATCTCCTGGACTGAGCATGTCAAGAATTCCTGACTTTACCGTAATGGAGTTGTCGGATATTGACCCGGGATATGCTCGTGAAACAAAGGAGACGAAGCCATCTGGGGTGACACCGAAAAGCACCTCCACTGTGTTTCTGCCTTTGTAGCTGGAGTAGGTCATGGTGTTCAGGGACAGAGATGATGGTGCCTCCATCTCCAACTCTGCACAGTCCAGAATAATGCGTACATTCTTATATGCCTGCTGCACCTTGAAAGCAGCTGGCATGCACTGCAGCACACGTCTCCGAGACGGCCACACGAGCAGGGGCTTGAATGCGCAAGCCAGAAGTGGAATCCATTTCTTTATGATCTTGCTTGCTCGGGACTTCTCCTTCAGCCTGAAACGGTGCTGAAGGTCTTCTATCTGCAAGCCAAGCCGGAGACGCATCAGCACAAGAAGAAAATCATCGGCGGTCTGCAGCTGGCGTGGACGTCCAGATTTTACTTTCTGGTTGAGGTGAGGCAATATCAAATCCAACAGAGAGTGAAATACCTTAACAGAAGGCAGACCAGTATAGTAGTGCACGGTGTCATCAGACTCCAGTACCCAGCCTGGTTTGCACGGCTTACTAGCAATAGCCTCGAGCTCGGCTTCTCCGCTCTAAGACGTGCATTCTCTTGCTTGCATAGTTCAAGCTGCTCCTCAATAGTTCCACAATTCACATTGTGACTGCCAGTGTTGCCGTCAACAATGCTAACAGCAGCGCCAGTCTGGTGGGGGTCAGAAGTAGAACTTGCCCTAGTGCCAAGAGTACTGGCATCAGCAGCAACATCGATACCAACTGCCTCAGCCACAGAGGGAACAGCGGCATGGCTGCCTGTACTGGCAGCGGCAACGCATTCAGCACTGGTCGCATGAGCCTCCATAGCACCGGCGGTATCAGCCACCGTAGCACTGGAAGTATCAGCCTCTGCAGTACTGGTGGCATAAGCATCCGTAGCACTGGCCGGAGCGGTCTCCGTAGCACTGGCCGAAGCGGTCTCTGTAGCACTGGTGGCATCAGTAAAACTATCAGTCTCAGCAGCAGCAACAGCAAGACTTGGTTTCTTGGCATTGGCATTGGCTTTTTTGGCTTAGACTTCGGACATTTTCTCAACGGTCTCTTTTCTGGAGCTTTCCTACACAAAGGATACGACTTGTGAGAGAAATATACCGGATATGGTTGGTCCTTGGATTTCTCCCCGTTGTGGAAATGCTTGTAGCACAAGCAAGTGTCCTTGGATGGCACCAGATCTTTTACTGATTCTTGTGAGCCAAATGGCTCGCACTGTCGGCTTACGAGGGAGAAAATGAAATTTGATCTTCTTTCCTTTCGCTCTCCTTGTCAAGCAACCCACAGCACAACAGTGATCATTCTGACCCATTCCCGGGTGCTACAAATAACTGGACCAAAGGGCCGAAGGAAACACACGTCGAGTCAAAAGGTAAAAAGCAAAGACCTGTCGCTCTGCCCCGAAAAATCGATTCAAACCTCCATGTTCTCCAGCGCCACCTTGGGAACGGATCCCCGGAGGCGACTTTGGCAACCCGTCTATGACCCCATGACTTTTCTCTTTCCTACGCATGCCACTGTTTCCTCTAAGGGCATGTTCGATTGGTCGGGATCGGGATCCAGATCTCAGATCCCTCGGATCCTTCAGATTCAACTGAACACTTTATTTTGGACCTTGACTGTTGCCATGTTGAAAATGGCGCTCACAAGGCACCCAAAAGGGTGAACGTCGTACTCAATGCGTGCGTCGTACAAAAAGTCAACAAGCTCTATCTCCATCCACGTGTGCGTATCACAATGTGTACAAAAATGATTTTTACCCGCCATATACGCACAAAGGTCACATTTGGATCCGTTGGATCCGATCAACCCTGCTCCCCGAGGAGGGTTGACCGGATCCAAATCCGAAGGATCCGGATCCGGATTCGACCAATCGAAAGGGTGCGAATCCAGTGGATCCGGTGGATCGGGATCCCGATCCTACCAATCGAACATGCCCCAAGATACGGAGGGCTATTGTTTTGTCATGTTTTTATGTTTCTTAGGGCAGTTGTACAGCTGGCTGGACTGAAGAGAAAGAAGAAAGGTGTGTCCATGAAACAATTCTTGTGGTTAGTCAAAGACAAGTTGTCAGGTCACTTCAAGGGAATTCAGCAGCAGGTACGTCATAGGGATTACTGCTCCAGCATTGTGAATGTATGTATGTATGTTTGTATAACCCATAACCATTCTGGTCATAGGGGCGCCATGTGTGTCATAAGGCAGCAGCTTCAAAAAGAACAGAAAGAAAGAAAGAACAGAAAAAACTAAACTAACCACACTGATAAACAAGCTGCCTATATCTATCACGATCAGCAGCAACGAGAGAGAGAGACAGAATTGCAAGATTCATTGGATCCTTCACAATTATGTATGTATATGTGTATGGTATAGCATGTGTATGTATATGAGCCTTGCCTTGACAACCTCTCCTGCTGCCTGTGTATATGTGTGCATGCCTGCAGGATGCACATGAGTTTTTGAATGTCTTATTGGTGAGGTTACAAGAGGATTGGAACAACTTGGGAAGATGCAGTACAGGCATGGTGAAGGACGTCTCTGATCGCGTATGCCCTGTAGCTGATAACTTCAACAGCAGTATTTGTGTAACGCGGACATGCTCCAAGTAAGTGTGTTGTATATGTTGGACTAGGCTCGTCCTGAGTTCGGCTGTACCGATGTGTTTCTTGCTTCTCACGTCACACTGTTCCTTTAAGCTTTACGTTACCGATGTGTTTCTTGCTTCTCACATCACACTGTTCCTTTAAGCTTTACGTTACCGATGTGTTTCTTGCTTCTCACGTCACACTGTTCCTTTAAGCTTTACGTTACCGATGTGTTTCTTGCTTCTCACGTCACACTGTCCCTTTAAGCTTTACGTTACCGATGTGTTTCTTGCTTCTCACGTCACACTGTTCCTTTAAGCTTTACGTTAGCTCCTACCCTATCATACACGCCAGCCGTCCAGGGTTTCCCGGGACAGTCCAGGGAATAGGGTGTTTGTCCCGGGACAGTCCAGGGATGTCCTGCGAAAGTCCAGGGATTGAAATGGAACTTCTGAAATCGAAGTTTTTTCTTCTTATGACGCTTTTTCAGTGTTTCCTCGAACGCGAAACTGACACAATGTACACTAGCAGCAGAATGTGGTGTAGGGGTGACAAAAAAGTGAAGAAAGAAAACATAGGCTAAACATTGGACTATTGTCCCCTTGCCACTGGTTAAAATGTGTCTTTTAACTCCCTGTATGCCGTGTTTAATTACCAGGTGTAACCACATGTCTCTGTCGTACGAAACCCACACCGACTTTTCTCTCCAGTTCCCAAAGTAAGTGAGACGCCTATGATGTTGAGTCACTTTCTTCTTGTGTGTGTGTGGGGGGGGGGGGGGGTGCGTATATCCTGGGAGTCTCGCGCTGGGATCAGGAGTTGAATCATGTCCGGAATTGTGACCTCCGTAAGCGTTTGGGAGATGAGGATCTGGTGTCGGACACTATGCGCCGTCCCCGCCTCCAGTGGTTGGGCCATGTAGCTCGGATGCCTGACAACCGTCTCCCTAAACAGTTGCTGTTTGGATGGCTTGACGCTCCCCGACCAGCTCAGGGACCTCGTCTTCGGTGGAAGGACAGAATACAGTCAGACATGGAACTGTGCCAAATTGATGAATGGTTTACTCTGGTCCAGGATCGTCAGCAATGGAGAGATGCGTACCGCACTCGTGTGCAGCGTCCTGCCCCGGTACCGCTCTCTTGCTTGGTATGTAAACGGACATTCGAGAGTAAATCTGGACTCGGACGACACAAATGTTCTACTAATCGCCAGCTGCCTGTAGCAGAACAGCCGGACGCACGTCAATGCCATGCCTGCCTTCGGTGGTTCCGAAGTGCCGGTGGACTTGCTGTGCACAAGTGCACGTCACCCGCCCCGGCATCATCACCCACACCCCAGCGCATACCGATCACCAGCCATCCGTGTTGCAACCAGCACTGCGCTACCTGTGATCGCTGTTTAAAATCTGCTCCTGGCTTTCGGCGACACAATTGCAATCGTGGACGGCGTCGTGGCGGAGCGGCTTCCTAGTGGCAGTGCCGACGTCTCTCTCTCTCTCTCTCTCTCTCTCTCTCTCTCTCTTCTACTCTCCCCTGTCTCAGGGGCGGCGTGGCCAAGCGTTTGGCAGCTGTACACCAGGCCATGTGGTGTGTGTGTGTGTGTGTGTGTGTGTGTGTGTGTGTGTGTGTGTGTGTGTGTGTGTGTGTGTGTGTGTGTGTGTGTGTGTGTGTGAAAAGTCACTTCAATCAGCTGTGTGGTGGATGCCAGGCTAAAAAATTAATAGTGGCGGTCAATTCATCAGCCTTGCAAGCTGTTGAATGGTGCAATCCCAGCACCAGTTGCTATGTCTAACATAGCTGTTCGCTATCATCGCTTCCGTGATGGGCAGGTCTGAGGTGTGTGTGTGTGTGTGGTGTGCGCGCGCGCGCGTGTGTGTGTATGCATGCTTTCGTTTGACATCATCAGCTAGTCTTCTGGTCTTGAATGCTAGAAGCTTACCAATGTTCCTATGTGTTCTCATGTATATGTACCACGTTTTAGAATACTCTTCTCCTGTTGTTTCGTGTGTGTGTGTGTATCTGTTGTGTCGGTGTGTGTGCGTGTATCTGCTGTGTCGGTGTGTGTGTGTGTGTGCGTGTATCTGCTGTGTCGGTGTGTGTGTGTGTGTGTGTGTGCGCGTGTATCTGCTGTGTCGGTGTGTGTGTGCGTGTATCTGCTGTGTCGGTGTTTGTGTGTGCGTGTATCTGCTGTGTTGGCGCGCGTGTGTGTGTGTGTGTCGGTGTGTGTGTGTGTGTATCTGCTGTGTCGGTGTGTGTGCGTGTATCTGTTGTGTCGTTGTGTGTAGGCAAGACGGCCGTGATCAATTGCACAGCATACATGGTTTGTTATCAGAGTATCTCAAGGTATGTGGCACTCTGCTGTCTTTGGTCAGGTCTGCCTAGTGACTACACTTTGCTGTTGTTGGTCAGGTCTGCCTAGTGACTAGTACTACTACTACTACTACGTCTGTAGAAGCAGTGTTCATGCTCTTCCAGTTCTGCATCATCTCTGTGTACTCACGTTGCTGCCATTGCTATTCTTGTTGGTGGTGGTGGTGGCGGTGATGGTTGTGGTTGTTGTGGTTGTTCTTCTTGTTGTTTGAAATCTTTTATTCTCACTTTTTTGTTGTTGTTGCTCTGGGTTTGCCCTGTGTGTACTTTGTCTCTGCTTGGCGGTATCTTCAAGTACTCCACTATGGTATCGAAGAGATACAGCATGTTCTGGAGCATTGCAGCTGCTTTTCACTCTGTTGCAAATAGTTTGCATGTGTTTCTTGTTGTTGTTGCCGTGCTCTAACGTTACTGTAGGGCAGCATGCTGTGTTGTCCTGCTCCATCTGCCTACTGACCTGTGTTCCGTGTTGTTTGTACTCTCAGAGTGAACAAGTCGAGCGCAGGTGTGAGAGGTGCAACCATGGCTTCTCAAGGCAGCAGTCATCCTTTTCTCAGCTGCCCAGGTATGGCAACTGCATATTGACCATGCACATGCACGTTGGCGCTATCCACGAGCCCAGTGTTACCACCTTCATGACTGTATATTCAAGTTCACTTTGCTGATGTGAGAAGCGATTTTGCAAGCTGGAGTCAGGAGAGACGAATAGCTCCTGCCCGGTGTAGGCCTTGTTTGCATCTGTTGGTTACTGCGCATATGGCCAGGGACTGGGGAAATCTGCCTTTGGCTAGGAATATGAAGTCAACATGAAGCCATCACCACCATGTCTTAGTGGCATACAGTGCATTTCGGTACTCCTGGTCAAGATGGAAAACACTTCGTTTTCTTCTTGCCTGACTGCACGTCGGTCAAACCAAGCGAAGCTGTCGGAAATCATGCATGACGAGTGTGTGTGGGGTGGGGGGTATGTGTGTGTGTGCGTGTGTGTGCCGTCGCGCGTCGTTTTCCATGTTGTCGGCCCCGCGAGGGGACACGTGACCGTAATGGCAGTGTTTACCAGGACCAGGTGTGTATGTGTATCTTTCGCTATCATTGCCTACGACAATGGGCAAGTTCAAGGTATGTGTGTGTATGTGTGTGTGTGTATGTGTGTGTGTGTGTGTGTATGTGTGTGTGTATACGTGCTGCAGAATTCTCATGCTGCACATACAGCGTGCGGACGTCGATAGCGCCCATAACAACAGGAAGCGTACGGACCGGCTTGAGATTGGGTCGTCTCTGTCTCTGAGTGAGTATAATACACTTGAGATTGGGTCGTCTCTGTCTCTGAGTGAGTATAATACACTTGAGATTGGGTCGTCTCTGTCTCTGAGTGAGTATAATACACTTGAGATTGGGTCGTCTCTGTCTCTGAGTGAGTATAATACACTTGAGATTGGGTCGTCTCTGTCTCTGAGTGAGTATAATACACTTGAGATTGGGTCGTCTCTGTCTCTGAGTGAGTATAATACACTTGAGATTGGGTCGTCTCTGTCTCTGAGTGAGTATAATACATGTGCTACTGGTACACGGTCAGGAAACCTGTTAGGGCGACCACCTGTCCCAGAAGACCACTGTAACCGGTAGCACGACCAAGGGGCCCACTCATATGACCGTGGATAAGGAGACCACCTGGTAGCCGAGATCACGTTTTGAACGTCCCTTGAGTGGTCGTCTTAGACCGCTTTAACTGTATGTAAACAGGACTGTTAGTTTTTTAGTTAATGTCCTCCTTGACTTTACTGTGCTTGCAAGTTGCAACCAAATCTCTCATTGCACTTTACGCCTTTCCTTGCCAATTTAGCCAAGCCTCTTGTTGCTACAAACACCTCATCAGCTTGGATTGTTCACTCGAAACTATGTTTGTGGAAGGAAACTGGCATGTTGAAGTTTGCTCTGAGGCCAGACTCGATTGAACTGAGCCACTCCTTTGTGTTGGCCCGTTGACTCCACTTTGCTTGATTTTTCGTTTGAAATCAGAGGTGGCTCCAAACCGGAAAGGTTTTAGAGTGCACGTCAAATTCACTCTGATTTCTGAAATTAGGTAATTGCTATCGCTCCACGACGGCCAGTACAGAGCAACAATAGGCCTTGTGTGTGCTTCCATTAGTTTTCATTGGTATGCGGTGCTTTATTGGCGAGAGGCGAGCCGCTGTTTACCTGCGACAAGAAGTTGATTTTTCGAACGACGTAAAACTCAAGTCGGACTGCGAAGCAACACGTCAAAAACTCACCTGCTTGGTATGACGCTTCTGGTCATCGCAGCGCCATGAAATTTTGGCTCGGAGTAAAACACATCGTAGTCTCACTGTGACATATTTTTCTGATCAAAATACCAAGAGAGAAAGTGATTATTGAGTCCGTTCCGGTTTGCAACCCATTTCCTATTTGAAACCGTCTCCTGTACCCTGTGACAGGATGTCAGCTCTACGGGTAGAAAGAGGTTAGCACTTAGCACAGGCTTTCTTGATGGTCATGGTTGCACATGTTGCACAAACATGTAGTAGTTCTAAGCAATCTACTGTTGCTATTGTGTATCCCATCTGATCTGCAGCCGGTCTCTGCCATCCCAACGCTATGGCTCCTCCTGTTGTTCACCGGTCGCACGGCGACGCGTCGTCAGTCGCCAGTAGCGCCCTGTCTGATGTCAAAGAAGACGTGTAAGTATCTCTATGTTACTAACACGTCTGTCTCGCCGCCTGCACCGCCGTGTGCTATGCCCTGCACCGCCGTGTGCTATGCCCTGCACCGCCGTGTGCTATGCCCTGCACCGCCGTGTGCTATGCCCTGCACCGCCGTGTGCTATGCCCTGCACCGCCGTGTGCTATGCCCTGCACCGCCGTGTGCTATGCCCTGCACCGCCGTGTGCTATGCCCTGCACCGCCGTGTGCTATGCCCTGCACCGCCGTGTGCTATGCCCTGCACCGCCGTGTGCTATGCCCTGCACCGCCGTGTGCTATGCCCTGCACCGCCGTGTGCTATGCCCTGCACCGCCGTGTGCTATGCCCTGCACCGCCGTGTGCTATGCCCTGCACCGCCGTGTGCTATGCCCTGCACCGCCGTGTGCTATGCTCTGCACCGCCGTGTGCTATGCCCTGCACCGCCGTGTGCTATGCTCTGCACCGCCGTGTGCTATGCTCTGCACCGCCGTGTGCTATGCCCTGCACCGCCGTGTGCTATGCCCTGCACCGCCGTGTGCTATGCTCTGCACCGCCGTGTGCTATGCTCTGCACCGCCGTGTGCTATGCTCTGCACCGCCGTGTGCTATGCCCTGCACCGCCGTGTGCTATGCCCTGCACCGCCGTGTGCTATGCCCTGCACCGCCGTGTGCTATGCCCTGCACCGCCGTGTGCTATGCCCTGCACCGCCGTGTGCTATGCCCTGCACCGCCGTGTGCTATGCCCTGCACCGCCGTGTGCTATGCCCTGCACCGCCGTGTGCTCTGCACCGCCGTGTGCTATGCCCTGCACCGCCGTGTGCTATGCTCTGCACCGCCGTGTGCTATGCCCTGCACCGCCGTGTGCTATGCTCTGCACCGCCGTGTGCTATGCCCTGCACCGCCGTGTGCTATGCCCTGCACCGCCGTGTGCTATGCCCTGCACCGCCGTGTGCTATGCCCTGCACCGCCGTGTGCTATGCCCTGCACCGCCGTGTGCTATGCCCTGCACCGCCGTGTGCTATGCCCTGCACCGCCGTGTGCTATGCCCTGCACCGCCGTGTGCTATGCCCTGCACCGCCGTGTGCTTTGCCCTGCACCGCCGTGTGCTATGCTCTGCACCGTGTGCTATGCTCTGCACCGTGTGCTATGCTCTGCACCGTGTGCTATGCCCTGCACCGCCGTGTGCTATGCCCTGCACCGCCGTGTGCTATGCCCTGCACCGCCGTGTTCTATGCCCTGCACCGCCGTGTTCTATGCCCTGCACCGTGTGCTATGCTCTGCTGCTGCTACACCGTGTGCTATGCCCTGCACCGTGTGCTATGCCCTGCACCGTGTGCTATGCCCTGCACCGTGTGCTATGCCCTGCACCGTGTGCTATGCTCTGCACCGTGTGCTATGCTCTGCACCGTGTGCTATGCTCTGCACCGTGTGCTATGCTCTGCATCGTGTGCTATGCTCTGCACCGTGTGCTATGCTCTGCTGCTGCTGCTGCTGCTGCTGCTGCTGCTGCTGCTGCTGCTGCTGCTGCTGCTGCTGCTGCTGCTGCTGCTGCTGCTGCTGCTGCTGCTGCTGCTGCTGCTGCTGGTATGCGATGCCTTTTCTTGTAGTCACCGTTATCGGCAATGTTTTCTGCTACCTGCTTTCACAATCTATATCTTGAAAGCTGCTACTAGGCTGTAGGGAATACTTTGGTCAACTGCTGTGCTGATGACGGTATACATTGTACTGTGTAATACATGTAGATATCATTACTTTTACTGGCATATTCTTCTTTTGACCCGGCAGAACCACACGACACTTGCAGACACCATCACGAACAGCTGGTGAACTATTCGTGATGGTGTCTGCAAGTGTCGGGTGGTTTCGCCGGGTCAAAAGAAGAATATCATATATGTCACTATTCTGAATGGACAGGCCGAATTAAAGGGGAACTGTCACCAAAAAATTTCTTTGTCTTATCTTGTAGTTCTTTGGCTCCTGATCACGATGGTGTTATCCGTTTTTCTCTGCGATGGCTGGAAGTGGGTGAAAACTTGAAAAGAAGGTGCCCAAAATTGTCCCGAAGTACCGAGTGACGTCACGCCGGACTTGACCTCCACGCGTACATTCATCGTCAAAAACGAAGTCCAGCCCGTGTGCTGGTCGATCGAGCCAACTGTTCGATGTACGGTGCACGCTTGCCTTCTGAACTCGGACACTCGATGTGTACGTTGTACACAATGAGAACGCCAAAAAGGGACAAAATAAACAGAAGTCGACAGCAGTTTGTCGCACTGGTACTTCCTCCACGAAGCTCCAGCTCTTTGTTTTATTTGTGATTACGAGGGAGTGGAAGGATGTTTGTTTGCTGTTAGTGTGGCACACATACCTCGTGCTTGAAAATGATGCCGTTGTATCGAAGCCGAAGGTGACGGTGTTGCCCACCCGGCTCTGAAATGAAAGACGTCGGAGTTTGTCATCTGCATCTTCAGCAACATCGCCAGATGAATCACCTTCACGTACCTACATTGCGTTCCTTCGGGGCTCGGGTTGGTGGTGTTATCGCCGGCCGCAGGAGTACTGTTTTCTGCATACGCACTCATCATCGTGTTGTTCCTCACACGAAAAGTTCAAAACAACAACGTACATGTACTTCCGTGCTCACAAAATAAAACTTAGATCCTCGCGGAAGAAGTCAAAAAGGAGAAAGCTCAGCTGGTTTTTATTTTGATTTGGCTGTGTACAGTAAGATCGGGCGCCGAAGAACGCAGGGGCTCGAGCGCAGCCTAGGAAAGTTCTTAAATTTTTGATTCTAGCCAGACCGTTCTTATTCACACGCGCGCGGCGAGTCGAGTGACGTCATGACGTTTGTCATGTACATGTACATGTACATGTAGTGCAATGTACTTCTAAACTAGTGGGTGTCGTAAATGGGAATGACTGTACATGTACATGTAGCAGTTACTGTTTACACGTGTACATGACATGTACTCACCTCCCATACATGTACAATTTTGTAAATTTTAAAAGTGTTCTTAAATCTGATAATTCTAGCCTGGACTGTTCTTAAATTTTGCCGGTTTTCCAGCCTGGGTGTTCTTCGGCGAGGTGTTCTTCGGCGCCCGATCTTACTGTAGCTGCACGTGGGTCTCTGTCTCTTTGGCATTCTCCTTCGGTACGACGTACCCATCTGTGTTACAGTTCAAAAGGCACACATGCACCGTACATTGGAACAGCTAGCTCGATCGACCAGCACACGGGCTGGACTTCGTTTTTGACGATGAATGTACGCGTGGAGGTCAAGTCCGGCGTGACGTCACTCGGTACTTCGGGACAATTTTGGGCACCTTCTTTTCAAGTTTTCACCCACTTCCAGCCATCGCAGGGAAAAACGGATAACACCATCGTGATCAGGAGCCAAAGAACTACAAGATAAGACAAAGAAATTTTTTGGTGACAGTTCCCCTTTAAGATGGCATCAATTGTGTCAGTCTTGTTTACAATACGCATGTATATGCATGCATCGCATTGTGTCAGTCTTGTTTACAATACGCATGTATATGCATGCATGGCATTGTGTCATTGTACATGATTGTGTTATGTCTTTCTATTTGCTCCTTTCTCCTCTGCTGTTTGTGCATTGAACCTCTTCTCTATGTTCATAGCTCACGGCATAGCGTTGCGGCATCCTCTGTTCAAAACCACAACGTTGCGGCATCCTCTGCTCAACACCACAACGTTGCAGCATCCTCTGCTCAACACCACAACGTTGCGGCATCCTCTGCTCAACACCACAACGTTGCAGCATCCTCTGCTCAACACCACAACGTTGCAGCATTCTCTGCTCAACACCACAACGTTGCGGCATCCTCTGTTCAACACCACAACGTTGCAGCATTCTCTGCTCAACACCACAACGTTGCGGCATCCTCTGCTCAACACCACAACGTTGCAGCATCCTCTGCTCAACACCACAACGTTGCAGCATTCTCTGCTCAACACCACAACGTTGCAGCATCCTCTGCTCAACACCACAACGTTGCGGCATCCTCTGCTCAACACCACAACGTTGCAGCATTCTCTGCTCAACACCACAACGTTGCGGCATCCTCTGCTCAACACCACAACGTCGCGGCATCCTCTGCTCAGCACCACAACGTTGCAACATCAGCAAGTGAATTAGCCAGTGCTCCTGGAGGCGGGCCTCCGTTGGTGCGTGGTGGTGCAGCCGGTTGCCCTTTTGATGAGTCCCATGCACATGTACAGAGAACTGGCGCATCAGCACCGGCTGCCTGTGATGGGAGCGCGTTTAGTTCTGCGACTGCTACTCCAACTTGTGGTGTTGGTGGCGGCTTAGAGAGTGCCCAGGTGAAACGGGCAACTTCAAGTTGTCCAGAATCAGATGTTGCTGATCCACAAGCTGACTGTGCTAGGGTGTTGCAGTCAAGACAAGACATGATTGACAAGATGGCTGAGGTAAGTCAGTGTTATTGTTGCGCTAGCTCACGCTCACGGAATGGTGTATGACATTTCGGGTTAGTCTTGGTGATCATATTGTTTGTACTGGTGCTCGACGTTGTGATAGCATGCTGCGTGCACTGGATGTGGCTGTATTGATGACTCTGGTGCAGGACTTGATCTGCATACTAGTGCATAGCATTATGGCAATGGTAGCAACTTGACATGCATGGCGTATGACGTATTTCCAACGTACATGTACAACTTCACACTTACAGACACAGCTCTCCACTTGTCTCTTTCGCTCCTTCCCATTCTACCAACACACTTCACCATTGCTGCTGGTAACCACACTTCTCGTGCTTTCCCTTCACGTCGCACTAACACATATTCACACTTACAGACACAGCTCTCCACTGGTTTCCTTCGCTACTTCCCTTTCTACCAACACACTTCACCATTGCTGCTACCCTCCACACATACATGTACAAACATTTCCAGCACTACCGCACCACACAGCATATATACTCGTTTCAGTTTTTGTTGGCTTTAGTTGAATGGTTTTTCACCCTGAAGATGGGCCATGCCCGAAAATTTGGTGCATTCCATTTATATCTAATATTGTTTATTTTTTTGGAAGTGAAGTGAACTTATGCAGCGAAGAGACCGTAGTTGGAGAGTTTGAAGTGAGGTACCCTGTAATACATGTACAACTGCCATGCCTAGTGATTACGTATGTAATAGACGTGTGTACAGAGCTGTGTGTGTATGTGTGTGTGTGTGTGTGTGTGCGTGTGTGTGTGTGTGCGTGTGTGTGTGTGTGTGTGTGTGTGTGTGTGTGTGTGTGTGTGTGTGTGTGTGTGTGTGGATGCGTGTGTGTCTGTGTGTGTGTGTCTGTGTGTGTATGTGTGTGTGTGTGTCTGTGTGTGTATGTGTGTGTGTCTGTGTGTGTCTGTGTGTGTCTGTGTATGTGTGTGTATGCGTGCATGTGCATCTTGATTTTTGTGAATGGTGAATGCAGTTTCACGATCCCGCCCGAACCTCCGCAGAGGAACTCAAAGAAGCCCTCAACAGAAGCCGTCAAGGTTTGTCTTTGCGTGTTTGGATGCTGTCCTTGTTAATGTGCCTGCTTGTTTGAGCACTGCCCTTGGCATGTGCTGCTGCAGAGCGAAGAGAATGTTTGCAATGGGCGCACAGTGACTTGGAGCACTGCTGGACGGACTGCATGCACAATAGAGTGTGCGACTGATTGTATCAGCTTTGATCTCTCCTTCTCTCTCCTCTCTCTCTCTCTCTCCTCTCTCCTCTCTCTCCTCCTCTCTCTCTCTCTCTCTCTCTCTCTCTCTCTCTCTCTCTCTCTCTTGTTGAATTATAGATATGTGGTCTGCTAGCAGTCCCAGTGACAACAATTCTGATGAAACGGCTGACCCTAACATTGTCCTCCCAAGTATTGATTCGGACGTAAGCTCTTAGTTTGAGGGATTGATTGATATAAATACAGTAGATATTGGTTATAACGTGCCCTTCTGATTTTTCACATTTTATCACTATAACCGGTATATCACTACAGGCGATTTTCAACTGCGCGCGTCATACATACACATTATACACGTGTGGGTACTCGATCGCGTTAATGTAGCGTACTGATACGTGATGGATGCTACTGCACCTTCTCCAGTCTAGAGTGAAGAACATCATCCAGGAAGCACCAGACCAGAATACCCTATGACAACGCACATGTGGCTCCAAATCGAGACATCAATGCCTCACACTCGTGTGTTGCTATCACTATAGACGATAATTAGTAACTTTGCTACTTCCATGGTAATAATCCATTCAGAACAAAAGGCTGTGCTGTTGACGATATGCGTGTATGGTGCTGACCATTGAAAAGCACCTGGCTGTGAAATTGCTTTTCGTCTGTCGCTTGCATGAGCATTGTTTCTTTTTGTTCTATCTTGGACCGCAGTATCGTCCTGTTTCCGTTGTCAGCCATCTCGGCGAGGCCATCCAATCAGGTAAGATTATCCTTCTCTTTTTGAACAGAGTTTCGTGTTTCGACTGTACACGCTGTCCACAGGGATGATGGAGACTGTGCAGTTTCTGTACTCGTACCCATGTGCCACGCCACAGGTTTCAAGGTTGGGCCAAAGAAACACAACATGTCCGTTCCAACCCTTGGCGTTGGTAAAACAACTCTTGAGAAATCACCAAATTTCATTCACACCTCATCTTTTTCTATTTCTTGTTTTTCATTAGCTTTAGCATGTTCATTCACATTCTTCATCATTTGTGAGAACTAGACCTGGTCTAGTGAGAAGGCATTCTACTGCCTGTAATTCTGGTGAAGTAAAATAAAGTAACAACAACAACAACATCCACAACCTCATAGTTTTCTGTTTTGCTCGGTTTGTGTGGCCAGTACGGCCCATAAGATGATTTCCTACCACAAACCAAAGCTATAAGAGAGATAGTCATGGGCAGCTGACTACGTGGTGCTTTTCTTGTGATCTGTCAAATCGTGAATTCTGATGCCCTGAGAAGTGCTCAGCGGGAAACAAAATTCGTGGGCTTGAGCATGAGGCGAGGCGCACCCTGTCCACAGGAATCAGAGGCGTGTCCTCTCCCGGCCGGTTACTATACAACTTCTTGGTTGTATCTGCCGTGCGCAGGCTTCATTTGGTTATTCTTTCGAGGAATACAGTCATCACATGTGCCTTGGGGGAGGGGGGGGGGGGTGCAGCGGTGTTGTAACGGCTACCTTTGTGCTAAGCACTCTCTCTCCCTCTCCCTCTCTCTTTCTCTCTCTCTCTCTCTCTCCCTCTCTCTCTCTCTCCCTCTCCCCCTCCCTCCCTCTCTCTCTCTCTCCCTGTGTCCAGGTCACTTCATTGCGGATGTACGTGCAGCCCAGCATGGCTGGCTTTCGTATAATGACGAGGCAGTGACCAAGGTATGTTGCACTGTGTATTGCACCATCCTTTCCTTCTTCTCTTGTTTCTTTTTCTCACTGTGACCAAAGCTGATGTCAAGCATAGTTGTAGGCTAGCTCACCTCTCCTGGACTTGAATTGGGACTCGTCAGTAGGATGATGGCGATGTGGCGGGGGTTTGTCTGTGTGCTTGAATACATGTATACAGGTAGGTGTGTCCATTGCTGTGTTCGCTGTTAGCAACTGGACATTCCATTGCTGTGTGTCAGTGTAAATGTGTTGCGTACAAGCGTGCTCTTCGAGTGTCTTACCAGTGTACACATGTCATGTTGGTGTAACCAGTGTACACATGTCATGTTGGTGCATTCGATCTTCGGACAGCTAGCTGTTTCCACCTTGTTAGCCGTCATCACTGACATCAGCAGAGCTCCGGGTGACTGGTCGCACCGACTCCGGGTGACTGGTCGCACCGACTCCGAGTGACTGGTCGCCCCAACTCCGGGTGACTGGTCGCACCGATCGCAGTGAAATCTAGTGAACAGCAGAGCATTTTATACCGGTTCATAGCATCCAAGTCGGTGTGCGTGTGCGCGCGCCCGTGTGTTTGTGTGTGTGTGTCCGATATGGTGCAGTGGTATGTGCAGCGATTTCCAATCGATAGGTTGCGGGTTCGATTCCCGACGATTATGGTCACACACGTCTTTCTTCTCTTTCTCCGACTCCTCCTGACTTTCCTTTCATTCTCCTGGGTGGTTACCAACAGCCAGTGCATGCCGGAGTATGTGGTGTGATGTGTGTGCGTGAAAAGAAGGAAAAAATGAAAAAGACCAAAAAGTAGGGATTCACTGGCCAGAAAAGCCATTTCATAGCTGTGTGGTGTAGACCAGGCTGTTCAGCCTTGCAAGCTGTTGAATGGTGCAATCCCAGCACAAGCTGCTATGGCTTCTGCTGTAGCATCGCTATCATCGCCTCCAGCGATGGGCGTCCAATGGTGTGTGTGTGTGTGTGTGTGTGTGTGTGTGTGTGTGTGTGTGTGTGTGTGTGTGTGTGTGTGTGTGTGTGTGTGTGTGTGTGTGTGTGTGTGTGTGTGTGTGTGTGTTCTGCTCTTCACTTTCAGATCAGTGAGAGTGACGCTTGTAGGAAATGGGAAAGGGAAGCGTATATCTTACTCTACCTGCACCGGTAAGTAATCTGACAAAGCACCCCCCACCCCTTTCATCACCAGTAAGTAAATCTGACAAAGCACCCCCTCCCTCCCCCACCCCTTTCACTACCAGTAAGTAAATCTGACAAAGCACCCCCTCCCTCCCCCACCCCTTTCACTACCAGTAAGTAAATCTGACAAAGCACCCCCTCCCTCCCCCACCCCTTTCACTACCAGTAAGTAAATCTGACAAAGCACCCCCTCCCTCCCCCACCCCTTTCACTACCAGTAAGTAAATCTGACAAAGCACCCCCTCCCTCCCCCACCCCTTTCACTTGAAGTGATCTGACAAAGCACCCCACTCCTTTCACTACCTGTGAGTAACCAGACTACAGTGCGTTTTTTTAACAGACATTTGTCGATTTTGATTTTTTAGTTTGTTCTCATTCCAAATTTAAAACTTTTTTCTTCACAGCTGCGTTTGTGTGGGTTTGGGATCGAAGAAAATGAAGTTTGAGAGTCGAAATAATAATAATTGGCAAAGTTAGATAGGTTTTCAGTGGATTTTGATTTTCGAGTTCAGTACAGTTCATCTTGATTCTTTTTTTTTCTTGTTCGATATTGTACAGCATGCATGTATATGTGCAGTTGTGGACTGCTGTCTTCAGTGCTCCTAACCTTTGTAGGAAACCAGTGAGTCGTGGCTTTTCACGACTTCCTGTGGCAAACTGTACTGAATGCTGTATTGCAATTAGCTCAATCAATCAAAACATTCCATGCATGCATGCAGGAAACCTCCCTCACTAGAGAGGTTAAGTTACACGTTGTTTGCCCTTTTTCAAAACGCGGTGCAAATCTCACGTTACGTGTAATTTTTAGAGGTTAAGTTACACGTGCTACGTGACGTGAAATTTTGCCTGGCAGGATTCGGGTTTAGTTCGCGCAAATATCAAATCTTTCAACAAACTCGATAAAATTCCGGAAACTCACACAAATTCGGTCGGAATAACCAAGCGAAACTTCCAAAACCTCACGTCATGAACTTACATGCGGGACAGTCAACTCACGTAAAACACGTCAAATTTTACGTGAGTTTTTTCACTTTTTGACGTAAAAGTTCACGGACGTAAGACTTTTACGTGAAACTTAACCTCTCTAATCCCTGAAAGAATGCAGTGAAAATTCAAACACCACAACAAATCGCAAGGCAGGGGCTTCGGAAGGTATTCGACATTGGTGCTGCCATGAATGGGTGGGGAGTCCAGGGGTTCTCCCCCTGACAAATTTAGGGAAATTGGCCCAAATAGCCCATATTTCTTTGCCTCAACAGTCACAAGATGAAATTATTGGTTCAGCTTTGGCTGGATCTGCCGCACCGGCTCCGACGCCCCTGTGAGGGCAATTCACACAGCTCCCATAAAAGACTAACAAAAAAAGAAAGCAATACATGAGCGGTTTTACAAACACACAAACATACACACACGCACACACACACACACACACACACACACACACACACACACACACACACACTGGTACTTGTTGCTCACTGCCAAAACTGGTCACGTGGGTCTCCCCGGGAGAGGGGAGAGAGACTCAAAAGGAATCCTGGAAAGATGCCTCAATTGGCTATTGAACTGCCCAACGGCCGACACCCCCTGAAATCCCCCAAATCCCCATGTACCATGGCCTGTTCACGTTTTGTTAAATGTGGCATGTTGAGAGAACAAGTTGGCACGAACGCGACACTCGAGAAAAAGAAAAATAGAGCCACAGAGCAGTCAGCAACAAAATGATTCCTCCAGCCACGAGGCAAGGAGCTCAAAGGAACAAAAGCCACGAGTCACACCCGGTTTTTCGAATTTTCGTGACACAACTCGCATGACATTTTCTCAAAAGTGGCCTTGAGCACATTCTCAACATTTTCAGAGTACCGGTATATTCTATAAAAAATGCACTGTAAGGCCACATTTCACGTCTACTGATAGTTCTTTTGCTGTACTGTCACCGTATGCTGACACCATTGCCATTGACACTGCGATTGTGGTTGCTGGTGCTGGTGCTGGTGTTGGTGGTATTTGCAATGATGGTAACTGTGTGATCATTGTTGTCAGCATCGCTGTGTGGGTGCTATGCTGTGTTCTGGCCTGCAACAGTCATTACCACTGCCTTTTCCTCAGCTACCGTGTGTGAAAGCAGGTTTAGAGACGAAGACCGTACAAGGAAACAATGTTGCTAGTTATGGCTGCACAAATGCTCAAGTAGAATGTGTGTGTGTGTGTGTCCACGTGTGTGTATGTGCGTGCGCGTGTGTGTGTGTGTGTCCACGTGTGTGTGTGCGTGCATGCATGTGCATTTTTTGCTGCCATTAGGTCCGTCTACGATCGGTTTTTTGCCTCCTCCTGACGAGTATGTCATTGGTGCCAGGCTTGGGTGTGATGGCGTGAGACAGCAGAGCTCCGCTAACCATGGTAACGAATCAATTTACCTGCCTGGATAATCTATTAATCTGTGTGCGATATCTCATCTCCCGCTGGCCTCGAACAACTTGCTTTTTCTATTGGCAGTTATCATGTTGTAATGTTCTTTGTGTAGTTATTAGTAAAGTCAAGTCCAGTGTGGCTGTTTACTAGGTGTGTTGTACTACTAGTTGAGTACTAGGTGCTAGCTGTGTAGGTGCAGTGTTGTGTTCGTCTTGTTGTGTGCCTTGCTCTCATCTGCTTTATTCCATCTGATGATCATCATTCTATCATTTCTATGCATGCAAGTACTAAGTTATATGCCATGTATCTTGGTGTTTCTTAGGTGTTTCTTAGGTGCGTTTGCTATTCATTGGTCTTGCTTATTTTCATAGCTGCTGTGTGCAGCATGGTCAAGTGCATGCGAGTTTTAGTGCTGCTGTGTGCAGCATGGTCAAGCGCATGCGAGTTTTAGTGTTGCTGTGTGCAGCATGGTCAAGCGCATGCGAGTTTTAGTGCTGCGGCTGCTGCTGGTGCTGGTGGCGGTCAGTGCACCACCTGCTAGTTCCTCTTTGTACATGTAGTAAGTGTCAGTAAGTGTGCTGATAATGCTCTTTGTGCATGTTGTACGCGTTAATAAGTTTGCGGATGTGATGTTTGCTGCTTGCAGTGCCCAACTCATTACACTCAACTTGAGCAGAGTGGTGGGCAGTGTATTAACGTTTCCAGTACATCTGTATGCTACTTGACCGGAGTGACGAACAGTACTATTACAACCGTATCCGTTCATTTACCCAGTAACACAGCTGAGCTGTGGTATTTATTTCCGCAGACTATACCCATGAGGAGCGTGATTCCTTCCGAACTCTCTACCCTTACTCTGCTGCTGCTCATTGAGAGAGGTTTTTTTAATATATTTTTAAACCTTTATTATTTGCTTTTCATTTACACTGTTTCCAGTTTTCATTCTATTCTCTGTCTCTCTTTTCTTCATGCCAGGCGTGGTATTCAAAAAAAAAAAAGACAAAAAAAAGACAAAAAAAGTTCTACAGTATTAGGTAGGTGTACTCTGCATCTGCTCACTGAGAGTGGGTAACACTACATCAAGAGTACATAACCCCCCAGAGTGTGCAACTCCCACATACCCTGCTGGCCCGACAGAATTTCAAGTTGACGTCATTATTTATGACGCAATGCTCCTTGCACCAGTGATTTACAACATGTGTACGGGTGTCAACGCATCACACGTTTTTCTTTCCAATAATTTGTACAGGATCGATCGGCTTCGGTCAACCACAGGTTCCGGATTCGTCTGATAATCCGTGTACAGTGCGCATTGCATCATCAAAATGACGTCAACTTGAAATTCTGTCGGGACAGCACCCATACTTGGCCATAGTGGAGTTGCACACTCTGGGGGGGGGGGTTATGTACTCTTGACTACATGTATACAGTGTTGGACAGTGTTGTAGTACACCAGTACAGCAGTACTGGTGTACTGGTGTACTCTGCTCACTGAGAGCGGGTATCCGGGTAACAGTGAACAAACATGTACGCACTGCACTGACTGTCTTTAAAGCTTTGTAATTGTTCTTATCAAGCCTTGCTCTAATAGAGAGGTTAAAATGCACGTCATTTCCGACGTGACGCGAAAGTTCAGCTCGCGTTATTTTGCTCGCACGTGGAAAATCAACGCGAGTGACCTGCAGCTCATATCGAAATTTGGAGTTTTACGCCAAATTTGACGTGAAATTGCGCGTCACGTCGGAAATAACATGCATCTTAACCTCTCTAATAATAGTAATAGTTTATTTTGCCCGTAACAGTGTTGTAGTACAGCAGTACTGGTGCACTCTGCATCTGCTCACTGAGAGCCGCGGGGTAACAGTATTGTAGTACAGCACTGTAATTGTGTACTCTTACACAAGTAACAACAAGAGTACTGTAAATATACAAAATTTCGGCGCTGCAAAATTTCGGCACTTCACGATTTTTGACATTTCGGCGGCGATTTATTTTCGGCGTGGGGTAGAGGGCATGGTATTGCGACGAATGCTGTGAAAAATTTCATCGGCGTTTTAATTTAGGCGTTTTGGGTCGGTGCCGAATATAGCCGAAATTAAATAGCTGCCGAAAATTTGTATATTTACAGTACATAATCTGGTTATGTCATGTACTCTTGTTAACAAGTATAAGTATCACAACTTTGCCCGTACAAGAGGCTTTCTCTCTCTCTCTCTCTCTCTCTCTCTCTCTCTCTCTCTCTCTCTCTCTCTCTCTCTCTCTCTCTCTCTCTCTCTCTCTCTCTCTCTCCTCTCTCCTCTCTCTCTCTCTCTCTCTCTCTCTCTCTCTCTCTCTCTCTCTCTCTCTCTCTCTCTCTCTCTCTCTCTAAAAAGACTAAAAGTAAAACAACCGTGGTATGCCAGATTTCCACATGTACATACTACTATACCTTAGTAAAGTACATGTAGCAGAAAAAGAAATGCGACCTGCGAGTCGAGTCGAGAGTAACGCCGCCATTCCATTTCAATTACACATGTAGTTGTTGCGTCAGGCCAGTGAAATCATGTTCTGTGATTGCCACGGTCAGGCCAGTGAAATCATGTTCTGTGAGTCAGGCCAGTGAAATCATGTTCTGCAATGAAAATGAAAATCGGTCTCTCAAGGCCCTTGGCGCACGGACTGTCTGTGATTGCCCCCCGTATAAGAGGCTTTAAAAGATTTCAATTACATCATACATTACATCATACACCCAGTAACACGGTCCGAAAAACCATCCAGGGCCGCAGGCTGACAGCCAACAGGGCCTAGACGGCTAGAGACTGTATGAGCCTTGCATGGCGCTGATTTTGGCTCGGGTTTCTTTGACCACATTTGTACAATACGGCTACACCTTGTTGTTACTACCCCTGCCCCTGGTCAAGAGGTGAAAGTAAGTTGATGAAACCCAGAGGGTGCCTCCTTCTAACTTGTTCTGCATGGGTGCATGTCTGTCACGGCGAGTTTCCTGCATAGTTCGTGCAGATAAGCAGCAGGAAATGGCGTGGTGCGTACAACCAAGACAAGAGCATGACTGCACTCCGAGTCTTGGGACAACTGAGCTGCAGTTGTGCAGCAGATTGGCTTGAATATTGCTTGTATGCACCACAGCGCCAAAATGACGTTATGATCCATGACACAAACCCATCCGAGCTGCACATTTGGGTGCGTTCATGTATTCTTGCTGTGCACATGATGCGGTAGATTTACCGCGTAACATTACCTACCTATACAATGTAGTAACCTAGATGTGTAAACTGACTCGGGTGCCGTGTACGGCTGGCTGCTTGTCATCAGCTTGGGATGCAGAAAGTGCAGTAGAAGCACCCAGCATAGCATATTAGCAATTATGGCAATATGCCGACGATAGCTCACATAAACAAGCAGTGATTCCTTCACTCAACGATCAACACATTAGCTAGGAAGCGAGTATAAAACTAGTGATGAAGTATATGTGGAGTACGAAAGCAACGACACACAGACACACACATACACACACACACACACACGTGCGTTAGCAACGGGAGACTGCCAGTAAAGAGCCATTGTGCATTCTTAAAAAAGGAAAAAAAGAAGTTGCGGCTGAGATAAGTGAGAGCAAGTTGTGAAGAGGTGGCATGCAGTACACAACAAAACGAAAGAACACGACAACGACGAGACACTAAGAAAGCCACAGCACAGCTAGGTGATCGACCAGGACGCAGCATAAACAGAAGGTAAAACAGCGGAAACTGAACAATAGAATAAGTTGAAAAAGAGAAAGAAAAAAAGTGGAGCAGTGCATAGTGTAGGGAGGGGAGGGGGGGGACATGAAGACCAGCATCATGTCCAATGTATCTATGTACAGTTGTGTTACAGTCGGTGTGTCAAGGAAGATAGCAGTAGTAGTAGTAGGACTGTGGAAGGAGGGCAAGGAGTAGTGCCAGAAGGGAATTACAGCAGCAGCAAGAGAGCAGCAGCATTGCATCAGCCCTGCATGCCACCACCAGTCAGCTCTACAGATTCAAGCCAGAGAAAGCCTGACCAAACACGCATACATAGCGCACTCCTGGACACACAGCGTAGCAGTTCATTGGGATATGCTAACAAGCACAAGAAGAGGACTATGTACACGGGGAAGGGATGCACTGATGCGCCGGCATACGACTAGCCAACTCTTGTAATCATCTTGTCATGGTGTCTTGTCATGTTGTCATCAGTTGCAAGGACAGCAATCAACAATAGGTGAACTAGGATCTGGCAACACAGGAGGCCAAATAGTGGTTGCTGAGCAACACAGCATGGCCAAAACTTTGGTTGGGCAGGCTGGGCAACAGACATCAGCGCAACAGACTGCTGTTGGTCAGAGATGGCTAAGGAACAAGGTGCCACTCAGCACAGCACAGTGGATTACGCAGAAGGCCATACACCACCGGCATTGTTTGCCATGGCTTGCAACTGTAGTTGGAGCTGAGATGTACCAGCGCCACTGGCACTAGGGTGTGATGCGGTTGGATTAGATTGAAGTTGTGATGCTGCTACCGCTGCTGCCGCTACTGCTGCCTGCTGTTGTTGTGCTTGCTGTTGTTGTGCTTGCTGTTGATGAAGATGCTGCTGTTGTTGTTGCTGGAGTTGAGTGATAAATGGTGATTGGAGTGGAACGGGAGCAGCATTGGGGTTGGCCGCATGCATTGGGTATAACTGGTAAGGCATTTGCTGCTGCTGCTGTGCTACTGGCGGTGGTGGCGGAAGAGCAGGCCCAGTGGACTGCGGTGGGTAGGTCATGTGCTGTTGACCTACAGCATGGCCACTGGTCGCATACGATGCTGGAGTCATGGCTGGATGTGGCAGCGTGATGGGCTGCTGCTGAGATAGTTGCTGAGATAGCTGGTGCTGGTGTTGCGGCTGGTGTTGCTGTGGCAGCGATGACGGCACAGGTGAAGAGGTGGAGTGGCGATGTAACGACTTATTATTACTCAGATACGATGTGTTGGAAGAGGAGTGGTAGTGAGCGCGTTCCTTGGAACGAGAGCGCCGTCGCCGATCGTGAGGAGAATGTCGACGATTACTACTGCCACCACTAGAATGGCGATCGCCCCAACTATGCCGATCGCTGCGCCTGTCCGATTGCGACCGCGAACCAAAAATAGGACTTGTAGCAAAACTGTTGCTCCTGCTAGAAGACCTATTTTTATCAGTGGTGTCCGTGGGACTGGCATCACGATGCCAACGTGGTTGTGAGCTCCGTGCAGGTCTATTGGTGGCTGACACATAGCTGCTGCTGGACATGCTGCTTGCTATCTTCACTGGTGATGACAAGTGATTGGATGTAGCAGAGGTGCCAACATCATCAGCGTTAGTAGCGGTGGCAGTGCCAGCTGTAGTCGGAGTAGCGGCAGCAGACACAGCATTAGGCTTTTCCAGCTCACTATTAACAGCTACAAGATGGTTACGCTGCTGTTCCAAGCTTGAAATCTTCTGTTCCATTAGCTCATTTTCACGCGAGATTTCCTGCAATGCCTCGAGGACAGCGGCGATATTCATAGGCATCGCCTGGCTTCTAAGGAATGCGCTTCCAAGCTTCCATTGTGACATGAGCAGATTGTGCATTGGTTCTGGATGGCTGGACAGCGACTTCTGACAGTGCGCTGTATCTAGTGAGGATGTCTCAACAGAAACCTCCGCCGCTTCTTTATCCCCTGTGCCATCATCGTCACCCGGTGCTCCTGAGCTACTGGCTGTTATTGGTTGTGTGCCTGTTGCGCTTACCACATCATCGCCGACTTCACTAGAAGCTGAAGGTAGCGAGGTCGCTGACGTGCTTGCTTTCACACCATTCGCAGCAGCAGCAGCAGCAGCAGGAGCAGCAAGAACCTCATCATTCTCACGCTCTGGTGGCTCAGACGATATCAATGCTGTTGCTGCTGTCTGGGATGTTTCCTCATTCGCAGCGTCCACATCCTTTATGCCCGCTGTTGTGGATGCTTGGTGAGGAGTGCACTGAGGCACGCTCACATTGCTTCCAGAGGGTGCATCATCCACTGGACAGTTGCTCTCATCCAACACCTCTTTACCGTCCAGATTTCCATCTGTTTCCATAGCTTCCTCCGCAGCATTGTCTTCAGGCGTTTCTTTCGCAGCAGCAGCAGCAGCGGTCACTTCACTGGCTGAACACACTTGCTTAGGACTTGCTCCAGCAACACACACATCATCAGCTGACTTACTACCTTCCGCATTTGCAGCCGTCACTGCAGCAGCAGCAGCAGCAGCAGCAGCAGCAGCAGCAGGATGAGTAGCATCTTCCGTAGCTGTGCTACTTGCCCCACCAGCCAGACTAATCATGGTTTGTGCAACATCAGACAGAATGTCCACATTCTGCACGTTTCCCTTCTCAGTGAGCACTGGTGACATCATCAAGTCAACCCCATCTACATTCTTTGTCACAGAGTCCAAACCGGTCAAAGCTGTGTCCACCGGTATTGCGGCTGGACTGTCAGTGCCACCGGGCGATGTTTTTGCCGTATCCTTGCGTTTCCGTGGACGCGGTGCTCGTGCTGTGGTTGGAGTCCGCGGCTTCTTTGCCGAGTCTTTCTTCGGCTCGGTCGCTTTCGGCTTCCTCTCCCTTGGTTTCGTTGTTTTAGGAGTTGTTGCTTTAGCTATTTCTCTGCTATTCCGTCGCTTGGGAGCGCTCACTGTGCTCTTCGCAGACGATGGTGTTACGGGCGTTGCTTCCACGTTGCTGTTCAGAATAGGAGGAGGAACAGCGGTGGCAACAGCAGCAGCATCAACAGGGCCAATCTCTGAAGACTCACCATTCGGCATAGCCAGTGCCACTGCACCTTCCTCATCTGATCCAATGTCCACTTGCATTCCGCACGCCTTAGCTTCCTTGGGTGCCAGCATACCTCGCAGATGTTGATACGGCCAGTGTTCCTCGCAGTATCCGATGTAACGTACACTGTTGAGACCGGATGCTTCCTCGGCGAGCAGACCCACAGTTTGGCAGCAGGTCACGTGGAAGTACTTGGTGCATGCCTTGTGCACACACTTGATGCAAGCACCTCGATTAGCTACATTACAAAGATGACAAACTTGCTGAAAACGATGTTTGGGTACTTTGTTGATATTAACCGGCTCCATAGTTGTATCGCTACCAAATGAAACCTCTGGGATGTACAGAGCACATACCACGTGCGCCCATTTGTTAGACTCGGTGGGTTTGAACGCTCCTTCTTTCGATGGGCATAGCTCACAGCCCGACACTGCTATTCCACGACTTTGAAAGTCACACCTACGACACAACCATTCACCCGCAGGAACTTTGCGAATACCATAGCATACCTGGTGCACGGCTACATTACAGTCTGGCCCATCGCAGTACACCAGCTTGTTGTATTGCCATCCTCTCTCGTCAGAACACACACAGCATCCACCTATCATCTCCTTCTCAGTTGCAGCCATTCTACACAAATAATTAGCAATTGCAACACAATTTACCCAGTCTATCGATGTTCACTGCTGCTGATGCAATGCTTGGCTAGGAAGAACTCTCAACCAATTCCATTGTTCAGAACTTACTAGCTTGGTTCAGTCGAGATGTTTCCCACATAAACAAGGACAAGAAATCAAACAAACCGAAATGTGCGATATGCAGATTTTGTATTGTTGAAATGCCGCCGAAAGCGATAATGCAGAGATCGGGCCACGAGATACGCCGCGGGCAGCGCGCGAATGGCCATGGAAACCAACACATTGACATTAATTTTGATGCGAAGGACTGAAAATAAACAGGAAATAAAGGGACGGACCCGGCGTACCCTCGACCTCGTCTTTTTTCTTTTTTCTTTTTTTAATATGCAGCAGCATCATGCATGCAAACATGCATACATCGCATGTACACTATGTACGTCGTTACGTAACCATGAACACGTCACACATCCAGGCATGCACGCCACGTGTACGTGTGCGCCTTCGAATTAATTCTCGAACCTTTGATTTTAAAAATATTTCATTTTCAGAGATATACCTTTCGTTTTCATTGAAGTAGTTTGTTTCATGGACGACCTTTCTCTCAGTGCAGTGAGCTGAGCGCGAGGAGAATAATGTGCTCTTGTGTTTCAGGACGGGTCAAATCAATCTTTGTATGACATGAGTGGGTTCTATGACTTGAACGTACCGTTCGTGGAGCGCGGCGACACTAACGATGTCCTCAAGAAATTAGCTTCTGGTATGTTACCTTGCATTTGTTTCCTCTACCTTCTAGATATTTTGTGTTGTATCTATAGTAACTCAGTAGTAGCATTTGTTGAACGTAATACCGGTACGTGTGTAAGAAGTATAGCGCAACTCTCCTGTAGCCGGCTGTCATGATCATAGCTAATCACAGCGTACACCAAGTCCTTGGCTAGACAAAAATACGTCAGTATCATCAGGGATAATGTGACTCCCGTGAACATAACAAACAATACTGTATAAACTACAAAGAATAATGTGATAACATAACCAGAATGGCAGTTTAGTGTAAAGAACTGGGACTAACAAACAATAAGAGGACGGAAAAAGTGTTTTAACTCTGAGTTTCACGCACTAAGCGCTCACCAGAAAACAGTACTGAGTAAATCTGGATCAGTATTGGTTTATATACCCTCACAGCAACGTGTAAATGACTGCATCATGGCGCAAATCTAAAAGGTGCGAATGACAGCAGTGCAAAGTGTAAATGACTCCATCGTGGCGCAAATCTAAAAGGTGCGAATGACAGCAGTGCAAAGCGTAAATGACTGCATTTGGGACTAATGTTGTGGATCATGTCACATATGCATATCCGCATGAAGTGTATGTTTCAGCTTGTGTGATCCCGTATCAGTTGTGAAGGTGAAGGTAAAAGTTTGAGAGAGAGAGAGAGAGAGAGAGAGAGAGAGAGAGAGAGAGAGAGAGAGAGAGAGAGAGCATGCTTGCATGCATGCGCACGTGCGTGTGTGTGTGTGTATGTGCGTGAGGGTCTGGTGGGTGGTACATGTAGTAATAGTTGTGAAATATTCATCACACAGTAGCAGTGACAGCAGTGACACTACTATAGAAATGGTGGTGCACATAACCTACACAGGTGTGAAGGTGCAGCTATCACTAGACTAGAGAGTAGGTCCAGCACACAGTACTCTAATTTCAGAAATTTTCGGTGCTCAATATTTTCGGTATGAGGGCAACAGACTAGGTTAGGCGAACAGAAATTTTTGGTACAGAGAAGCAGTTCCCTATTGGATTAGGCCACCCTTTGTTAATTCATTGTTTAACGTCCTTTTTTTCGCGAAAAGGTACGCGGGAGGGCGGAAAAAAAACAAAAACCCATTCCAAAAACTGGAAACCCCAATCAAACATTTTGACCAGTAAAGCATGTGATATATACAATATATCTGGGTCTAACGGCACTTGCAGGCATAGAACAACACTCTTTGATGGTACATTGGAGCACATGCCTGATGAATCCAACAAAACAGGTACATAGCATGGAGTTAGGATGTCATGAATTCGTTACATCTGGATTTTTACTAGGATACACACCGTACGATATTTAAAAGCCAACAAAAAAAGAAAAAGAACACAAGACAAAGGCATGCCCGGGAGGCAAGATTATAAGTTTAAGGTCATGATCGGCACACTGTGAAACTACTGATTGTTGTATTTACAACTTCGCATATTATTGGTACTACTACTTTCTTGTTTTTTTTTCCGGTCGGAGGCAAAAAGGTATGCGGGCGCGGACGTTAAACAACGAAAAAAGAAAGGGTGGCCTTATGTGTGTTAGTGTTTGTTCGGTGTCTTGAAATTTTAGGTATGAAACAGACGCACCGAAAGTTCCGAAAATAAAAGTACACCGAAAATTTGTGAGATTACAGTATGCCCAGCACACAATATGCTAGCAGTACACACACTGAGACTTGTAGCTCAGTAGTACTGGTACAGTGGTAGCATTGCCGTGTGACTTGATACTGTGTATAGTGGACCTGGTGGACATGCTCTGTTGACATTCTAGTGTATTGCTTGTGTGTGTACACACTGTACTGTGGTAAAAACCATACTGTACTGTGGTATAGACCACACTGTACTGTGGTAAAGACCACACTGTACCGTGGTATAGACCATACTGTACCGTGGTATAGACCACACTGTACTGTGGTATAGACCATACTGTACTGTGGTATAGACCATACTGTACTGTGGTATAGACCATACTGTACTGTGGTATAGACCATACTGTACTGTGGTATAGACCATACTGTACTGTGGTATAGACCACACTGTACTGTGGTATAGACCATACTGTACCGTGTTATAGACCATACTGTACCGTGGTATAGACCATACTGTACTGTGGTATAGACCATACTGTACTGTGGTATAGACCATACTGTACCGTGGTATAGACCATACTGTACTGTGGTATAGACCATACTGTACTGTGGTATAGACCACACTGTACTGTGGTATAGACCATACTGTACCGTGGTATAGACCATACTGTACCGTGGTATAGACCATACTGTACCGTGGTATAGACCATACTGTACTGTGGTATAGACCACACTGTACTGTGGTATAGACCATACTGTACTGTGGTATAGACCATACTGTACTGTGGTATAGACCATACTGTACTGTGGTATAGACCACACTGTACTGTGGTATAGACCATACTGCAGGGCATAGGTTAAGGATTTCATTTAGCTCGGACAAATGTCCTTCCGTTTTGAAATCTGTCCAGAGATGCCCGGACATTTTTCACAACACATTTTCAGGGTGTTTCTTCTTTTTTTTAGTAGTACTGAAGTATATTCACAATGACTCATTATGTGGACGTATCTCACACATTACTATGTACAATTTGCCAATTTATTTGTATTAGAAACTGAACTATTTACTGACGACAAATGTATGTACAAGAAAGCGTTGCAGTCAAGAATTCAGTTGCAGCTGATATTCTTACTCGGCGAGGAAGGCATCCCAGTCTTCCAGGTCAAGTGCATCGCTCATCTCAGGGGAGGGACTGATGGCGCCAGTAGCTTCTGGAGCACGTTCCCTGGGCGATCTGCGACATTTGTCAGCCCAGCACAGGTCCACAGCGTGCTGTGCATTGAACTGGCTTGCTGGTGGCCCATCGATGGCGATTCGTACCAAACCATCAAGCCGACTCTCGCTTAGACTGCATCGCCTATCTGTCTTGACATGCTTCAATTTTGAAAACATGCGTTCAACAGACCCATTGGACATGGGCAGGCAGAACAGGAGCTCAGCAAGCAGCAGCATATTCTTCCATCGGCAGGACTCAGCGACGTTAAATATCTTCCACCAAACGATCAAGTGGCTGTCCGTCAACTTCAGGTAGCGCTGGGCATAGGAGACCATGTCATCCCACTCTTCCACAAGGTTGCCGGTGGAGCAGGAAGCAGATGCCAGTGGAGTTTGGAATTGATCACCCAAACGTTGCACAGCTTCCTTCCCGAATGTGGAGTCGTCAGCCTTTCCCCAGTCATGGGTAGCCAGCACAGTCAGGGTGTCGGTCAGCAGCTCCACGTGCTCCACCTTCACACGCTGCTGAAGACACTCGGTGACCAAGTGGGCATTCTCCTCGTGGTGATTTTCAAGTTGCTCCTTGCCTTGTTGAAGCCTCTTGATAATCACTCCCTGGTAGCAAGTGCTGCCATCCTCTTGCTCACGCAGCCGCTCCTGCACCCTCTTCACCATGGGTAGGTCGCTGAGACTGCTCGTCTGGACACGCTCAATGACCTTCACCGTACTAAGCAGAGCTTCAATGGTCGTCACCACACAGATCTCTGAGTTTTTACAACTGCGGACTCCGTCTACAAACTTGATGCACACGGAACACTTCAAACATTCTGCTAACAACTGATCGTTCTTCTGCCGGTCATAACTCAGCCAGGCGGAAGTAGTCAGCTCTGCATCGTTATCCGAGATCCACTTATCGCAAGTAGCGGCCTTCACACCACAGACTTTTTTGCCCGGCGGCAAGTCCTCTGACTCTCCCTTTCGCTTTCCAGAAGACATTCTAAAAGACTATCTGCATTCCTGGTCAGTGAAAGAGTGAAAAATAAAAGATGACATCTTCCTATCAAGTGCGAACAACTGCACTAGCAGTTCAACCCATCGATTCAAGTGCGAAGTCGACACCAACGGTCGAAAGTGTGAATTGACTGTAGCAACAACGCGTTGCTACAGGCGGATCAAGTAAATATAGTGAAGTCTACGCCTGAGACTACGGTGTACGTGTTAGTTGTACGATATGCAAGTCGCATTTGGCACGAAGCTCCGAAGAAAGCCCAACTCTGCATAAAAAGGTCGAAAGGTCGCTGCTCTTTTTTTACTTTTTGACCGGACGTCCGGTGAAATTGAAAACGTCCAGTCAGTGGCCGAAAATGGCCGGAAAATGTCCGATGTCCGGCCGTTTATCTATGCCCTGTACTGTACTGTGATCTAGACCACGCTGTACTGTGGTATAGACTGAAATAGAAATAGATCAGTTAGATCAGTCAATCATGCTGATGATTTAATCTTCTGCTTGGCCGAGTCTAAGTGATTTGTTGTTGTGTGTGTTGTGCATGTGCGTGCGTGCGTGCGTGCGTGCGTGTGTGTGTGTGTGTGTGTGTGTGTGTGTGTGTGTGTGTGTGTGTGTGTGTGTGTGTTGGGTTTTCAGTGGGCTACAAAACAGTGGCTGTGAATCATGTAGTGGAGCTTGGTAAAGGTTGCAAAGCTGTAAGTCAGTGGTGTGTTGTGTACCGGTGTGTGGTGTGTGGTGTGATGTGTACCAGTGTGTGTTGTGTGGTGTGTTTGTGGTGTTGGTAATGACTCTTATTATGAGAGGATGTTGGCGGCATCCATGCGGCACGCTGCTATACTGTCACTGTTCATAACACAATAGCACAACGGCGACGTTGCACGGTTGTCAATGTGTGCATGTATTATACTTCAAAGTAATTGCTAACAGGCTATTGAACCGTCCAACGGCCGACACCCCCTGAAATCCCCAAAACTCTGGGTGGACTTGAAAATGATCCCACTTATAATTATGCTCGCCACACCTCGGTAAGTGGGTGAGGACAAGGTGCAGAAAAAGGATTGACGGCATCAGGGTATCCGTCCCGGGATCCAACTGCAGTTATCCCTGCCCCCAGTGAAGGTAATACTTGCTACTAGTGTGGGTGGCTAAATCAGAGTGGATCTGATATAGGCTTAACTAGCACCATTGATTACACAGGAGTTAATCTAGCCAGAAGCAGTCCTTGGTTAACAAGATGTATATTTCAAATAGAAAGTATATGAACCCTGGAACCAACAAAGGTGGGAGGCACAACATTACACCGTCAAGCAGCCGAGCCCGTTGGCAACAGACCCAACACAATCTGGCACACACACACACACACACACACACACACGCTGCAGCAGCAGCACACCATTGCAGTGCAGCAGCCATGGTAAGAAAGAAAAAGAACGACCGGTCCCCCCGTGTTGACAATGGACATGGCCCAGGTATTGAGTGTGTGCTTAATCCTACCATGTTCTCTACCACGTTGAATACCTGTAGAGACATTTTTCATCTTTGTGTTGTACAGATTGAAAGTCGAGAAGGCCTATTCTCTACTGATGAATCTTATCATGTTCCAGTGAGTATCCTGTGATGCTTGGTTTGAAGGACAGCTAGAATGATGCCACTGTCTTGGTATCACAGCTGGTTTAAGCACGGATATGTGTTGTGTCTTTTGATATCTTTGTGCCGTCTTGCAGGGCCATCGTTTCCCGTTGCGTGTTATCAATCGCTTGACGTTGTCACTGACGGAATACTCTCTTTTGCACCTTCTGGTATGTTGGTGTGTGTGTGTGCGTGTGTCTGTGTGTGTGCGTGTGTCTGTGTGTGTCTGTGTATGATGCATCCCATTTTTTCTCATTGCGCTTTATGAACTGCTTGACTTGACATATCCACTGACAGAAATGCTCCTTTCTGTCCCTGGACAAAATCACGATTCCACGGACACCAATTTTTCCGCAAGTTTGATGATTTTCGCAAGTTTCCTCCGATTTTGAAATTTGTTGCATGAAAACATGGAAGTGTGCATGTACAGTCCGAGTATCACATGAATCCAAGTTTTTGTTTCTCCAGAGTCTATACATGACTACATGTAGGTAGTATGCACCATACTCGACCGCAGTGCATAGTAGTATGCACCATACTCGACCGCAGTGCATAGTAGTATGCACCATACTCGACCGCAGTGCATAGTAGTATGCACCATACTCGACCGCAGTGCATAGTAGTATGCACCATACTCGACCGCAGTGCATAGTAGTATGCACCATACTCGACCGCAGTGCATAGTAGTATGCACCATACTCGACCGCAGTGCATAGTAGTATGCACCATACTCGACCGCAGTGCATAGTAGTATGCACCATACTCGACCGCAGTGCATAGTAGTATGCACCATACTCGACCGCAGTGCATAGTAGTATGCACCATACTCGACCGCAGTGCATAGTAGTATGCACCATACTCGACCGCAGTGCATAGTAGTATGCACCATACTCGACCGCAGTGCATAGTAGTATGCACCATACTCGACCGCAGTGCATAGTAGTATGCACCATACTCGACCGCAGTGCATAGTAGTATGCACCATACTCGACCGCAGTGCATAGTAGTATGCACCATACTCGACCGCAGTGCATAGTAGTATGCACCATACTCGACCGCAGTGCATAGTAGTATGCACCATACTCGACCGCAGTGCATAGTAGTATGCACCATACTCGACCGCAGTGCATAGTAGTATGCACCATACTCGACCGCAGTGCATAGTAGTATGCACCATACTCGACCGCAGTGCATAGTAGTATGCACCATACTCGACCGCAGTGCATAGTAGTATGCACCATACTCGACCGCAGTGCATAGTAGTATGCACCATACTCGACCGCAGTGCATAGTAGTATGCACCATACTCGACCGCAGTGCATAGTAGTATGCACCATACTCGACCGCAGTGCATAGTAGTATGCACCATACTCGACCGCAGTGCATAGTAGTATGCACCATACTCGACCGCAGTGCATAGTAGTATGCACCATACTCGACCGCAGTGCATAGTAGTATGCACCATACTCGACCGCAGTGCATAGTAGTATGCACCATACTCGACCGCAGTGCATAGTAGTATGCACCATACTCGACCGCAGTGCATAGTAGTATGCACCATACTCGACCGCAGTGCATAGTAGTATGCACCATACTCGACCGCAGTGCATAGTAGTATGCACCATACTCGACCGCAGTGCATAGTAGTATGCACCATACTCGGCCGCAGTGCATAGTAGTATGCACCATACTCGACCGCAGTGCATAGTAGTATGCACCATACTCGACCGCAGTGCATAGTAGTATGCACCATACTCGACCGCAGTGCATAGTAGTATGCACCATACTCGACCGCAGTGCATAGTAGTATGCACCATACTCGACCGCAGTGCATAGTAGTATGCACCATACTCGACCGCAGTGCATAGTAGTATGCACCATACTCGACCGCAGTGCATAGTAGTATGCACCATACTCGACCGCAGTGCATAGTAGTATGCACCATACTCGACCGCAGTGCATAGTAGTATGCACCATACTCGACCGCAGTGCATAGTAGTATGCACCATACTCGACCGCAGTGCATAGTAGTATGCACCATACTCGACCGCAGTGCATAGTAGTATGCACCATACTCGACCGCAGTGCATAGTAGTATGCACCATACTCGACCGCAGTGCATAGTAGTATGCACCATACTCGACCGCAGTGCATAGTAGTATGCACCATACTCGACCGCAGTGCATAGTATCCTGATGACGATTATTGTAAATGTGTGTGCTTGTCACTGTCTCAACCCTGTCTTTGGGAGGGATAGGCAGCTTACTGGCAATTTTTGCAATTTCTTCCGCGAGTTTCTCCGGGGACAGTCCTTTGTAGTTTGTGATGTCTTGCATGCACGCGTGTATGTGTGTGCGTGTGTGTGTGTGTGTGTGTGTGTGTGTGTGTGTGTGTGTGTGTGTGTGTGTGTGTGTGTGTAGCTCTCCTAGTATAATGAGGGTCAGAACCGGGGCTAGCCCCCATACGGTTCAGATGGTCACAAGACCGGGGCTCTACCAACCATGGACGGTTGTAGTGAGGGGCACTGTTTCCGAACACAGTGTTCCACCGCCTTGTGATATGCTGTCAAACGTGTGTGTGTGTGTGTGTGTACGTGAGTGAGTGTGTGTGTGTGTATGTGTGTATGGTACGTGTGTGTGTACGTGTGTGTATGTGTGTGTATATGTGTGTACGTGTGTATGTGTGTGTGTGTGTACGTGTGTGTATTTTGATAGTCTAATGAGGTAGTGCAGCAGTATGATGTTCTGGCAATGGCACCGACATCGGATAAGCAATTCCAGGTAGGACGTAGTGTGCGAATATTCAGCTTACTCCATTGCACCCAGTAACAATGTACATACATGTACATGTACCCCATTACACAAAGTAGCATTATGTGCATATTATTTTCTCAGCCCACCCCTCTACTCTGTTATCGTCACTGTTGAGGCTTTCGATGGAAAATAAAAGAATACCACTACTAACATGCATTAGTAATCTCTGAGTGTTTCTTTTGTCCTGTGTCTTTACTGCTCTCTGGTTTGGCCGGTCAGAAGTGACCTTGCTTCCATGCACCTAACACTTTCAGTCGTGTATACTGGCTTTGCTGTGCTGACCGGTATCCATGGCGTGGTCTAGTGAATACTCTACTGGTATTACACTGATCAGATGAAGTGAAATGTATGCTAGAATTCTTTTGCCTGAGGATTGCATAGCGTGCAACCGGAGTTGCAAACAAAGTCCCGTTCTGCCTTCTTTGAAATGATTAACTATCATGTGCATGCTGTGCACTTGCATGGTCTTTGTGCGCTGCTTTTCTTCTAAATCCTCCTTTTCCTCGGCGTGCCACCTTCTTGTGTGTTTGTAGAAAATATGTACGGAAGTCGAGGTTGACATTATCCAGTTGGACTTCAGCAATCGGCTGCCGTTTGTACTGCGCTTACCTCCAGTCCGCGCTGTAAGTCCAGACCTACATACTGCCGACTTAAGCATCTGTAACACACTATCTTTCCACTACCTGCTCACTGCTTGAAGGAAGTATCTTTAGTACTTTACACTGCCTACTCACTCACTTCACATTATTTAACACACGTATGATGATGACAGCATCTCTCTTCACATTATTTAACACACGTATGATGATGATGACAGCATCTCACAAGGCATGCTACATGTCGAACTATCAAGCAAGCCTTGCATATTGGTGTACATTTATTAAACACAGGTAGAGACCATGTACATGTATACACTATCTGTAACACACTTGCTACATAGTACAAGTCGCCAGTCCACCAGCCTTACAATGCTCAATGTGTGGAAGTACACAGACTACTATATACACTCACTACACGCTGTTCTTCAGTCAAACGAGTAGAAGACTTGCGCTTTGAAAGCCCAGTGTGCTATGCAACCTTCGCTGAATTCCATACCAGTCCATACTGGTGGTGTAGTCTTGGACAAAGGCAACAAGCTACTTTGTGATTCTTTTCTTTTCTTAAATGGCATGAAGAAATTGCTATGAAGCATTATCAGCCGGCTGCAAGACTTGACATTGGAAGCTAAATACGATTACATGTAGAATACGAATGTACATGTAGCGTATTTGCTGGAGTATAACACATTGTAGTTTAAATCCAAGCCAAGCTTGTTTTGAATAGAAGCCTAGGCCTGACATCGACTTCTACAGGAACAAGCGTGGCCTTTTATATACACTACATCATGGTGTGTGTGTGTGTGTGTGTGTGTGTGTGTGTGTGTATGTATGTGTGTGCGTGCGTGTGTGCATATGTGGTGTTTTTCTACGCCCTGTTGCCCCGTGAAACCAGGCAATTGACAGGGGTGTTCACTTTGAAATCATTTACTCGGCGGCTTTGAATGGTAAGACATAGTGTGCACATGGGTGCACTTTTGGGTTGGTATAGTCTAAGTCAGTAAGTGTGGCCCGGGTGTGTGGCCCGAGTGTGTTGTCCAAGTGTATGTGTGTATGTACATGTTCGCTGCTGTCTGCACATGGCATTTTGAACATTGAGAATGCCATGTTGTTAAGTACAATCAAGAATACACGAGCAAGAGAATGCAACTCCTATCTTCAGCTGTGATGGTCTTGCCCATGCCGGAATTTTATTGTTGCATCACTTTTTATGGTCAAGTGTGTTTGCCTTTCCCCACGTGCCATGTCTGTACGCTGTCAGTTTACCGGGTTCAGGTTGTACCATGCGTTGTTCTGCTTCGACTACCGTACCTGCAATGTGCGTGTTCTTTGTACTTTTGAAAGTTTTGATCCATAATGTCTACGCATAATGACGTCATGGAGGCGAATGGTCGTGCAAGACTGATGTCGAAAATTTCCGCTGTAGGTTGTGCATGGGCTGAGGGGTTGTTGAGCTGCACACATTCTTCGTTATGCACTCTTGAAGTACATGTACTTGTACTCTTAGTTCCATTTTGTTTGGTGTTGTCTCCGAGTGTGTGCGTGTGTGTGTGTGTGTGTGTGTGTGTGTGTGTGCGTGTGTGTGCGTGGGTGCATGTGTGGGTGCATGTGGCTGTATATTGATTGACTATGCTAGATAGCTTAGCACGCTGCAATGTCATCGCCAATGCCAAGCAACTGGTTCGAGTAACACGTGGCAAGGTAGGTCCGTAGAGCTGTACATCGCACACTCCCTGCCCACCCCGCAGACACTGTACTTATGCTTGTGCTTGCTCACTGCTGGAAACTGGTCACGTGAGTCTCCCCGGGAGAAAGGTGACAGATTCAAAAGCACGCATGCACGTACATGTACACTTATGCACGCGCGCGCGCACACACGCACGCACACACACACACACACACACACACACACACACACACACACACAGTTGATCTACACTAATTGTTCAGTACTGTATATGTGCATAGATATGGAGGGGAAGCTGCTTGTTCCATTAGTGGCATGTTAAAACGTTGTTGATCATGATGATGGATTATACCTAGTACATGTAACAACAACAACACTGCCAGTCATTCATTGTTCCGGTCTAATTTTGCTTGTCGCATCCATGACAATCAACTGTTACTTGATCAGTTATTGTTCACATCAACCTCTCACTGCAGTGTTATCGTATTTTCCTTGTGTCACTTCTCTCTTCCCAATTGTGTTTTGTAGAATGTGATTGTGAGCAGTGGAGCACTTTCGGTAAGTTGTTGGCATTATCTCTTTAGGACACAGCCATACGTGTCACATGTCATCTCTTAATCTTTAGGGGTTGTCGCAAAGGTTTTGTCGTCTCTGAAACGAACATCGTGGATGGGGGGGGGGGGGGCTGAGCCAAAATTGCTAGTCGACGGACACTCGGTATCTCAACAGAATTCACCTTGCTATGGTGGGCCTGGTGATATTCAAGTTGTTGTGTGGTTGGCCATGGGTACAGTGTGGAGTGACTATTCCTCTGATGTGGACTTGGATCATCAAACCTACACATGTGTTTGTTGATTGCGCTGGTGTTTGTATGTGTGCAGGCGATGCAAGTCCGTGCTCCCTATGACGTCGTCAACTTGTACGTACCTGTGTAGCTATGTAGCTATGTATCTGTGTATGTAGCTATGTGGCTTATGATTCTGCAGCGCTGCTCAATGGAATCCAATCAAGTGAAGCAATGTCACACCGGGCAGCAGCGCTGTGCAGCAGCCAGCCTTAGACCTGCAAACACTGGGATGTGTACTGTATGCAGGGCTACGCAGACAAAAACACGCAGTCGGATTACATCGAGCAGCACTGTTCTTTCATTACCGTGCATGTAGCCTAGAAATAGCTCTTTTTGTATTGAGGTAATCATCATAAGAAATAGTAAATAGTTTGGATGTCCTTGAAACTATGAAAAGTCATGTGATGACAGTGTCCAACCACTGTCACTGTGTCACACTGTCAGTTCGGTGAGTAGTGGGTTAAACTTGTTTCAGGTGGCATCGTGATGTTGGTGCATGCTGGGTCTTTCTTGATGAGGTCAGTCCATCTGAAGTACACGCATCCACGGGATTGGCGGGTATTGTTGGCATTGATTGGCATGTAAGGTGGGCAAATTCAGACCTTAGCGAATAACATGGCCGGATTGTTGGCATTCACATTTCTACATTTGGTGCATATTTGTGATATAATAGGCACATGTATTTGATTACATTGAGTAGAGAGGAGGGAGGAACGTATACCAATGGTGGCGTGGAGTTTCTTCCCAAACTGCTTATCAATCTTGTGGGCAAGTGATCTTGAAAGACCCCAAAGAACACATTCACACCAGAAAACTGGAAGAACTACGTCAAAGTAGAGATGCAAAGGAGTTTGGACAGATTTCCAGGAATCTGCAAATCTTCATTTCTTGGGCACAGTTACGTACTGTGTTTGTTCCATGTTGACATTGGAGGTTGTCAGCGACAACGACTGGTTCGCGCTCTGAAATAACGTACTTCCTCACACACGTATTGCGTTACGTTTACGTGTTCTTGTTGTATTATGTCACTGACTCTCTGCTGTGCTTGCATGTATGATGTGATGTCATCATGATGTAACAGGGGACTATTGTTTGACTGGAGTAGTGATCAATCCAAGGCGGCTGTCAGTAAGCATGGAAGATCAGTGCTGTGCCATGCAGGTGAGTTTGACATGACCACAAGGCCGCTGTTGCCTGTTGTCTGTGTGCGCGTGTGTGTGCATGTGTGCGTGCGTACGTGCGTGTGCGGTTTGGACTATCGTGTATTCATTTGTTCTTGCTTCACAGCTGTTTACATTATTATCGTGTCATACTGCTGTGGGCATAGACATTGGGTGGAATGACCGCAGTCGGCGGCGCCCTTGCTTGTACTTACTTAGCACGTACACACACTGTGTGACACTGTAAACATGGAGCAGCAGTGCTCACGGCTGCACGGCCAGTGTCCCGTGGCTGCTTGACTTTTCAATGGATTCCAATGTCCACAACAGTACATGCATGCACAGTGGCTCCACTGCTACTTCTTTGCATACTTTGTGGTTGAAAATTGTCTTTTGAGCTGATGATGCAGACATGCGTACACCTTTTGAACGCTTTGAAAGGCAACTACCGAACGTCTGCCAGAAATTGTTGTGTGTGTGTGTGTGTGTGTGTGTGTGTGTGCGTGTGTGTGTGTGCGCGCGCATGTGTGTGCGTACGCATGTGTGTGCATGCGCAGATGCTCGTCGTGGCCAGGGCAAGGCTGCAGTCAAGGTGAAAAGAGCATGTAACTTAGCAGTAGGGCAACACTGGCAGGTCAAAAGCGTAGTAGATTGCCGTCGGCGACAGACCTACAGCACTAGCAGTCAGGAGGACAGTCAAGAGGATGATTACGATGATGAAGATACGCAGGACAGTGAAGCAAGCGAGGATGATGGTGATGAAGCAAGCGGAAAGACTGGCGCTGAGGAAACTGATGGGCAGGGTGAACCCGCGGCAAAGAGAATGTGCCCAGGGCTGGCAAAGGACACATCCGTGATGCTAAGCTGAAGTGGCAACCACCAGTAGACACACAACACAACAAAACCAAGTCAGGGTCTATTTCACTTTTCCACACCGAAGACAACAATGAACCAAGCGCACACACACACACACACACACACGCGCGCGCGCGCGCGCGCGCGCATACCAATAATGATCAGAAAATAAGAAGAATAGTTACAGACTCATAAAAACCCAAGCGTGGCCAGCACATCTAAAAACTAATAACAATGTACGTCACGACATAGAAAAATAATGCAACACGCAATCAGCCATGCTGGATACTTCACATAGTTTAAAAAAGGGTTGAGTTGAGCATCGACTGAGTTCATGACTATTTCAATGACTTCACATGATAATCTGTAGAAAGAAATGTGCAATTTTATGATCATGCCACATCTTACTTAGCCTTGACGGATTGCATCACAGATTTTTTTTAATGAACTGTTTTCTTGATAAGTTCTACTATACTTCCTAATAATGATGACGATGCAATAATGATGATGCAGGAGCAAGCGCCTCGTTTCTACTAATTGGTCTGAATAAGACTAACGTTCTGCTGACTACTATAGCATGTGTGTCGTGGAGAGTACACTGTGTATTTGAGGAGTGACGGACAGTGTTTACCGTCAAGTCTTGTGTAAAGAGAGAATAGATAGTACTTGCGTGTGTGTGTGTGTGTGTGTGCATGCCATTATGACACACTGTTCAGTAGGGATTGTGTGTATGTTAGCAGCAGGCAAGCTAGTGATGAGAGTGCAAGTGATGTTCATGTACAAGAGAGGAAGGTACCCAATGTACATGCATAAGGTATCATCATGGGGTTGCTCCCCACATTAGCAATGCGTGCACATGCTACGACATTCGGTTAAAATCAATAAAGCCGCCCCAATAATAATATGCTAGCCCGGTGGGTGCCAATCTCCAGCCTTCGGTTGAGTGCTGATAGATCATGCTGCAGTGCTTGTCTTGCTGCGCCGCTCCAGACTCTGTAGATAGCTCTCTATGTAGGGCAACACCTCCCAGATATCCGTTACTATGGAGAAGATGCTACGCTGCTGCTCACTGGACACTCTCAGCAGCAGAGTGTGCCTTGGTGGCAGAGCGATGGCGATCAATACCAACTCGGCTGAACAGGATACAGAAACACACAAGACATAGCAGATGAAACGGCCGTGGGTACTACAGTGCATTTCAAAACTATAGACGCGTAGGGTTTTTGAAATATTTCAAATTTGGCTGGAACTTTTTGAGAATAGTTTTCGGAATATTGCTCAGGATCGCTCCACAATTACTCTCATATAGTTTCTAAAGGATTGGATAACAGACGCCCAATTTGGAAAAATTTATGCACAAAGTGATCACAGATTTTATGTGGTATAGATGCTGGCATAACGGTTTTTGCCTAGGTACGCGTCTATAGTTTTGAAATGGACTGTAGAGGAGTATCGGCGGGGTCTTTCTACACCAAGACAAGCTACCGGCATGCCGAATAAGCTCGACTACTTCAAAATGCAAACCATTGTGCAGACTGGGCATTGATTGAATCACCGGGGAGGTTGACGCTAACAGCACAGCGGGCATTGATTGAATCCCCGGGGAGGTTGAGACTAACGGCTGATTGTGATAGGGTTCTAGATTCTAAACAGATTGTTCTAAATTATGCCGACCCAGAACAGCCACACTTGCAACACCACTGCTTGATACGTACTGACCACTGTTCTCGTGACGGGCCAAACACCAACCAAGAAAGTCCACATTCAAAATTCATGTGTGCCAACACGTGTCCAGCAGCGAGTGTGAGAAGTTTCAGCTCAACCCTACGTCCACTGTGCATTGTCCACTATACATTGTCATTGTCTAGTGCACAGTGGACAGTGGACAAGTGTAGAATGTGTTGGGAGAAGCACATGAACATTAATAATGTTGGCTGGTGAATACATTTACCTGTGTCCAGGATGATGAAATGAGACAATTCTTCGCGGATAAGTTTCCCGGTAGCTTGTCCAGTGTTGTTGAGGCATACGACTGTCTGTATGTGCTTCAGACCACACGTCCTGCGCATGCACACACGCACACACACGCACACACAGACAGTACATGAGCATTCACATACCAAACAACGACACACACATGCTAGCACACCATTGCATAGCATACTGTAGAACGGCTAATTCTAGCGGGTAACATTCTTAGCGTTTCCCGAATCTGGACCAATTCGTGATGAAGTATTTTAGCAATCCAAGTTTCCGAGTAAAACATAAAGATGACTAGTACTACACTGTACAAGCAAAATTTCGATTGGCGCAGCAAAACTTGAGCAAAAACAATCATTTTGCTAAAATCACAAAAAATATCACCGGCGCTAAAACCATGTACCAGCCGTTTTACGGTACTGTGCTCCGGGTACATATCAGGTAGTCGTCGTGGCATCTGGGAAGACAACACGGAATGGTTCTTTACTATCGTATCCTGTAATGCACCTCACAGAGTCACAGATCAGACACAATGGCAACGGCAACAACCACAGCCGGTGCTTTAGCTTTTTTTGTGTGTATTCCCTGCAACAGTGCATGATGCATGCTTACACAGTTGCCATGGTTACAATGTACATCCAGGAAGTCGTCAAAGCTTGCTACAACTCCTAAAGTCCATTCAGAAAATGATGATATCCTAGCTTTTGGCCATAAACGGGTCAAATTTTGAGTTTTCGTCTCCTTTTTTTTGGCAATCCCCCATGGAATGCTCTTCCAATTGTGTTTTTGAAGTCTATTTCTCCAAAAAGCAAGCCATAACAAGAATAGGATTTTGGCCAGGTTTTGCCCCCAAAGCACTGAATTGGGTAAAAACCATGAAAATCCAGGCCGTTCACTCCACTTGCATAACAGTACAATTGCGGTTCGAACCCCAGTTGAGGTGCCTTTTTGGACCCTTTTCAAGTTTCGAATCGCACGGCACTGCACAGTGTACCACAAAATCGCCAAACACGGGAGCTCTCCAGAGCCAGCGCTCAACCTTTTCTGAATGGACTGTAGTACTGCGAGGCTGTTCAGTTTTCATGACCTGTTTTACACTACTCTTACCAGTACAGTCATGTTTGCATGCGGTTCCTCTCACGCGTCTTTACATTAGTCAGAACTACTGTCGTGGACATGGAAATCCGGTCGCACGTCTAGCGGCCCCAGGGTGCTGGCCGTGGCCCGTGGATAAGCGGTACACACATGCATTTTATGCGCAGTCGCATCGGATCAAGATGTGCTCTGCACCCAGGCCAGGGTTCTGTACGCGCTGAGGGCGCCGGCCCCGGTCAATCGACCGGATTTCCATGTCCACGACAGTAGGAAGACAACACGGCTGACTGTAATGTGGGCTTTGCTCCCCGGCTGTCCGCTTCGGTCGCCCTTGGGACAGGGCAAATTTATGCTTACTAGTATTTATGCATGCTCACACATTTTTAATAAAAAAAACTCAGATGCTCACACATTCTACATTACATTTTACGTGCCTGATACAGGTACGTGGGCTCGGGTGAAACTTCTCTTTTGTGTACTTCTCTTTCGTAAAATTAATGATAAACTACAAATTGGAACGGTTACACCAAAGCGAGCCTTTGGGATGCCCAGCTTCGACCTTGACCGTCCCTGAAGCATGCAATCGGTTACTGCGGGCAAATCCTACGCAAGTGTCAGCCGTGGCTCGTGTGAAAACAAGAATGGTGGCAGCAACCTCACCCTCTCACTGGTGAGAGGACATACAATGTGATATCCCCTGACAGAATCAGTTGTGAGCCTTGATTCCCTGCTTGGGGATATTACATGTGGGACATGCGAGGTGATCACCACAAAGTTAGTCGTTTTCGTGGCAAGGTACCGTTTCCGCCATTACCACCTCCCTCGCATACGTGAAGGACGAGGCGAGCCATATTAGGGTGCAACAAGAAGAGCTTGCCGGTACTACCACAGCACGTCATGTCTTGTCGAAAGAAGCTGGGAATTTAATTTGTGGTGTGACTTCCCCCACCCATGCTGGTCGTGGGGGGGGGGGGGGGGGAGTCATCACCTACCACCAGTGTTTCCAGTGACCCAGACATCGTGTCGGCCATGCCGAGTCCACCGTACACTCGAAAGGCTGGCCGAAAGGCCAAGCCAAGCAACCCGACTGAAAGTTTGTTCGAGCACAACGGACAAGCTAATCAGCAGACTAGCTGGCATGTTGGAGCAAGCAAGCTCGTACGACGGGACACTGAGCATGTAAGTGACACAGTGTGTAATGTCGGTAGAGGTAGCTGAGGTTCTAGATTCCTTCCGAGAAGACTTTCGGAAAGACATACGGTCACTGACGACATCTCTACTTGCTCCGATTGAAACAAGGCTGGACGAGCTCGAGAGCGACATAAAGCAGCTCCGAAATAACAACGTGACACAATTGAAGAATGAGCTAAAGCGCTGGAAATCCACTGCTGATAAGGCCACAGCCAACGTAGGAAATGTTTCCAATGGCGGGAAATCCGCCATTACAGAAGCAGATAGAGCCGCCATCACGGACCTCAGGCGCCAGGTTGACTGCCTCGCCACGCGTCTCGGTGATGTGGCAGAAAGCCACCTTAATAAGGCAGAGATAGCCCATTACGTTGCGACCTCAGTTCGCAAGGAATATGCCAGGTCAAAGACCGAGTGACAATCACGGGCAGACTGCGTGATTCTGCGTGGCCTACCTGAAAAGATGACTGAAGAAGAGCTACCTTTGATTGTTCGAGGACTGGCTCCATCCCGTGACGGGCACATTGAAGTCTGAATTTGAAGTGTGAAGATGCTCCAGCAACCGCATCGTACTTTTCCATTGCTTTTATTGTGCTTCTACTGTGCATAATGCATTGAACAGGATCTGCAGGACTCTCTTCAAGTGACATCCTAGCTGTGCGCTGTACCACTCCACGTGCATCAGTCCCTGCAGGCATTACGTACTGGAAGTAGTACTAGTAAACCGAGATTCATCCATGTCCGAATGTCAACGCAGGGGAAGGGAATGCTCATGCGTCACAAAACTGCAGCACAGTACAAGAACAAGCCTGTGTGTGTGTCAACCACGACCTGACACTGGCGGAGCGGAAGAGAAGACGCGAGGTTTTACCAAAGTGATGAATGTCGCATTGTGCTGATGATTAGCAAACATGATTCACGCTTGCATGACGATGACAGGTTGCATATGTCTACAGGCAGCACAAAGTAGTAAGTTTATGACTGTCCTCAGGCGAGTCCACGATTTGTGCTACGACAGCTTTTACAGGCGCTCCCTCCTTTGTTCTTGACTAGTCGTCTTCTCAGTTCTTTGTTGCAATCTTCAATATTACTTATTCGATCATCACAAAAGACTTGATGATAACACAAAGTGTGTGAAAGTTCGCATTCCAGTTTGTGACCTTGAATGCGAAATTCGTTATGTTAAACCTCCGTAATATTCCTCAGATGTCTTAAGGCCAGCTGTTGCACGTTCCGCACATGAATTGTACATGCTGCTTGTACTTGTCGCATATCTAGTGCCTTGTGCCATCACATGATACTCCACGTATAGCTTACCTGCATACCGTATGACACACGTCCATGATCATCCCCACCTATATAGCCTAGCTTGCCAGCATACCGGTATGCTACGCATCCGCTCGTTCTGCATTCTTCTCTTTGCTTATAGCACATTCCGGCCAGTTTCGATATTCTGGAGATTTGCATTCTCCTTTGTTATTGTTGTTGTTGTTGTCGTTGTAGTGGTGGTGGTGGTCGTCGTCGTTGTCATTATTGTTGTTCTTTCCAATGAGTAATGAACCAAGTCTAAGTCTAACAGTCTCGAAAGTTCAAGGGACAAACTATCAATTTATACTTGAAGTAGTTTCTATACATGTACTGTCGTGGACATGGAAATCCGGTCCAATGACCGGGACCTGCACACTTAGTGCGTACAGAACGTTGCATGTGTGTACCGTATGTGTACTCACGGCTGCATGGCCAGCGCCCTGGGGCTGCATGGCCAGCGCCCTGGGGCTGCATGGCCAGCGCCCTGGGGCTGCTTGACCTCCGACCGGGTCTCCATGTCCACGACAGCACATACATGTACCAGGGGAGTGCAGTCATACATTGTCGGGTGCATATCTTAATACTGTGTCATGATGGCTTACTCATTCACAAGTCCAGTCCACAAGCTTTCAAACAGCAGCTGTCGAGCACACACTTTCTCTTCATCACTCTGAACATGCCATGTACAAAATGACACCAGCATGAAAAGGAGAGAGAGAGAGATAGAGAGAGAGAGGGGGGGGGGGGAGAGAGGATTTAGTCAAGGCAACAGCACACAATACTAAAAGGTTTGCACATGTTCACCTCCAAGACATAGCGTTTACTCACTAGCAATGATGACTATTGACCAGCAGCAACAGGTACATTGATGTTAGACAATATCAGTAAGAGGGGGTAGCAGGCCATCAAGTGGTCACCAAGTATAACACTGTACTTGATGTACTGTAGTATTGTAGTATTGTGGGGGTATGGGTAGGGCCGCTGGGGACACATGGTCACTGTCTACACATGTCACCAACTACTTTCGGGCTGCCCCAACTGGTATTGATCATGTCATTAACACAGAGTGCGGTGTGACATTCACCTCCCTTACACAAACACAGAGTGCGGTGTCATTTACCTCCCTGAGTCCCTGCTTCAATATACTGTATAGCTGTGCATTAAAACACCGACAGGAAGTCACTTACCCATGAACTGGCTGCAGGAGGGAGGTCCAGTGGTAGAAAGAGATCCGAAAAGGAAATGAGTAAATCTGCTAGGTTGGTAGAGAATGTATCTCCACCTTTGCCACTAAATGATGCCCTGAAGAAAGAGAGCAACAAAAGTAGCAGCAGCAGCACCACCAGCACCAACAGCAGCACCAGCACCAGCAGCAGCAAGAGTGTTATCAAAGATGGAGAAATTGTGATACGTTTCTCCAAATGGTTTCCCCTGGTGCTTGATCAGCGAGTAAACAAACCCAGGCTCTAAAGAGAGTATTTAACGTTATCAAGGCAAATAGAACTACATGTACGACCTAGGCCAGGGGTGCTGGACATGCTGTCGGCCAGATAAAGCCTTGAACCCATGAGCTATGGCACATGCTAGTGATAAGCCATCACAGGGTATGTTAGACCTACTTCAAAGTAGATACTGTGTAGGTATAGCGGACTCCACCAAAGAGACAACAAGCGGTGGATGAGTGAGGGAATGAGCGAGAGAGTGGGCGAGTGAGTGAGTGAGCGAGTGGGTGAGTGAGAGTGAGTGAGTGTGTGGGTGAGTGAGAGTGAGTGAGTGTGTGGGTGAGTGAGAAAGTGAGTGAGTGAATGAGAGAGAGAGAGAGAGTGGCTGAGAGAGAGAGAGAGAGAGAGAGAGAGAGAGAGAGAGAGAGAGAGAGAGAGAGAGAGAGAGAGAGAGAGAGAGAGAGAGAGAATGAGACAGAAAGTGAGAGAGCGAGTGGCTGAGAGAGAGAGAGAGAAAGAGAAAGAGAAAGAGAGAGAGAGAGAGAGAGAGAGAGAGAGAGAGAGAGAAAGAGAGAGAGAGAGAGAGAGAAAGAGAGAGAGAGAGAGAGAGAGAGAGAGAGAGAGAGTGGGTGGGTGAGTGAGTAGACGGGATGTGCATGCATGCGTGTCTGTATGGCCAGCACATTACCTGACTGAGAAGAGTGCTGGTACCGGAGACAGTGGACATAGCACTAAGGAGACGGGAGAGCAAGCTGATCATGTCGGACATCACCATCATCACCCAGCACAGGCATGGTGTGGTGTGGTGTAGGAACGACAATAGCAGTAGCAGTGACAGTGACAGTCAACAGCAGTGGTGGTACCAGAACACACACATCACATGCAATGTACACACAACACACGCACAAGCATGCGTTCGCATGCACACACGCACGCACACACGAAAGAAATCACGCATGCACACACACACAACATGCAAGCAAAAGTCAAATAAAAGCATGATCAGAAAGGAATGCACATGCAAGTAGTTGAATAGGTGTGAGTACATGTACATGGTATTCTAGCTTTACTTGCTATACCGCTTGATCATCCTATCAACAAGTAACAACCAGCAATCATTGCAAATTAATCATGGTGAGAAGCATACAGTCCAAATGCTTGATGAAAATACTCAGCAAGCCCATTTGTTAGGGTAAGATAAACAACAAAGTATTCCGGGAAGTACAAGTACAAGGAGCCTGGCATGGCGAGTTGTATGATTGCAAAATGAGTGCACTCCAGCTGGGTATGTAACGTTGTTTGTTAACAAGTTCTTAAGAAAAAAAAGAAATCGTGTTGTATCGGATTTAAGACCAGGGAACCTGTTTATGATGTTAGTGCTTGTGTATTGTACATGTACTTGGAAGTATGCACAGCACAGTACACTGATAGTGTGATGCTGTGGTTAGTGTGGTCTAATAGTGTGGCATTAGAGCACAGTCATGCTACAATAGTACCTGGTGGTGAAGAAACAGGACTGGTGGCTGAGCGGCGCCTCAGGTAGATGACAAGACCGTCTGAGGATACAGCGCACACACATACACACACATCGCGTACACACACACGCACGCCCCCCCCACACACACACACAACACAACACAGGCCACAAACGTTGAGAATGGCACCGAGAATCCGATGGTTTTCTTGGAATTACCCATCCTAGCATCTTGGCCGTGGTCGCACCGATCTCCATTTAGTCATTCAGCCGAAAAAGCGCTTGTGCATACGTGACCATTACCATGGAAATGGCTGAAGAATGTGTCTCGCGCGATAGCTGACTCTCAGCCGTTTTGACACGGCTTGTTTTGGTGTGACGTTGCGGCCTTAAGCACAACACTGCTACCTCCCTGTAACTCTGAACAGGCACTAGCAGACAACACCATGTGTGCATCATTGATAGACCTGTAGCTTACCTTCCACAGGTGCGTAGTTGGCTTGCGTTGTCAGGTGAACACAGATAGCATAAATCTGCTTGAAGTCCGCATTGTACGGGCAGGATTCACTCTAAACACACACGCATACATGTACATACAGTACACATATTATTAGCTATTAAATAAAGCTGCTTTAGACTAATTGGTGAAAAGAACATTATTTTTTGTAGTAGCTGGACAACATTGACAAAGTCATTTTGAACACTCAACTTTGCACTCATACACTCACACCACATTGCTTCATGGGAGAAACGTGTGGGTGTGGATGTGGGTGTGAGTGTGGGTGTGGGTGTGAGCAGTTGTGGATTCCACTGGCCGGCACTGTACAGTCTGTGTAAGAAATCAGGTTTTCACAATTCAGCTCAAACTGCTTCAAGATTCAGAATTCTCTTCGGACCTACATAACAACCATGGCTACTCAGTGAACAGTGAACAGTGAACAGTGAAGTAAATAGTATACAGTTGACTGGTTAGCTTACATAGTGCAAAAAGCATGGCAGGGTGACTTGCATCTGGTGACTGGGCAACTGGACTTGCTGGATGTACCAAGTAAACACATCTAAAGCACAGGTATGCACAAGGACACACACACGCACACACACGCACACACACACACGCACACACACGCACACACACGCACACACACGCACACACACACACGCACACACACGCACACACACGCACACACACGCACACACACGCACACACACACACGCACACACACGCACACACACACACACACACACACACACACACACACACACACACACACACACACACATACTACACTCGTAAAGCCTCCCCAGTCTCACCAAGCCTCCCTCCCCCCCCCCCCCAGTCTCCCCAAACGTCACCAAGCTGTCACTGTAAGCAAGTAGGCAGCTACAACTACAACTATAGCAACAGTGAATACCAGTACTAGTTACTACTGCTACATGGTGTTGGTTACGCACTTGTATACGTTAGACAATACACAGTAATCAGAGCACACAGTAATCAGAGCACACAGTAATCAGAGCACACAGTGTTCGGAGTACTGCACGTGATAAGAATTTGAACAAATGTAAAACAGTTACAAACACCAAGCAAGAAGAAGAGAAGAAGCAACTACTACACACTGTACCTGCGCCATTAACACTGGCCATCGGCTCTGCACGATAGTCTCGATGAGGCAGTTTTGTGATCACATCCTGTGGGATCCTGCACAAAGCAGACATGCAAGCAAGCGTACCCCAGAAACACAACACACATTGAGCTGGTACAATGCACAGACTCGGATAAGACAAAGAGACACACCTGTACCAAAGAATGTCGCACAGCTGTACGACACGCACGCACGCACGCGCGCACGCACGCAGGCACGCACGCAGGCACACACGCAGGCACACACACACACACACACTGCACACACTGCATACACTGCACTGCGCACTAGTGTGCAGTTCACAAACAACGCACATGTAACATTCAATATCATACCTGGTAAGCTTCAACAAACACTCTGATACTGTCTGTACAGGTGTAGCTGGAGGAAAAGACGGTGCTATCAAACCAACTACAAGAACAAACACAAAACACCAGCAGACATGTCCGCACACACACACACACACATATACACACAACACCACACACAATGATCATCTAGACAGTTTATTATCAGTGCACGGCTGCCAAGATTTGCCACGCTGAGGAAGCGGCAAAGAAAACAGGGGACAGTATACCGCCGTCAGCATCTATCAACGCCGCACGCAGGTCCCAATACTAGCACCAAAAACGCACCGGTGATAACCGATAAGCCTGCAGCAGGGCATGCATCCCAGGCAGAATCCCAGTCCGCTGCACCATTGACCAAGAAATGTGGAAATCTGGAAGGTTGTTCTTTACAAAGCTTCCTTGCAGTCGTTGTTCTCCGAAAGAGTTTGTCTTCCTCGACATGTTTTGTTTCTCGCTTACCTGCCGGAACTCTTTGTACAAATAAATATCCTGTTCTTGTGCAATACGTCCATAACACAGGACGGCGGCGGCTTACCTTCAACAAGGCGAGTCAAGCGCTGTGACGCCGATGTATCATCTGATCCCTGCGTTAGTAAGTCCATCAGCTAGTACAGCACACAACATGTAGAAAGCCAGGAACAGGACAGCCACACAAATGTAAGCGTGGATAGCCACATTACTTTCCTGTAGACTGAGTAACTTTACGGTATGTGTACTTAAAGGGACATCGCCAACATTTTCTTTAGCTTATCCGAAGGAGAATCCGCCACTGATTCCAATGAGCTATGCCTCGAGTCAATCAGACAATTGGAACCATGTCAAATTCCATCGAGAATATCTTCCATATATGGAAGTGGGGCATGATGACGTGCGAGTTGATTAGCTCAGTGCTAGCTAGCTGTCACTGAGAAGTACACAGCACAATAGCAAAAAGGAAGAAAACAATTACTTCCTCCGTATACAAAAACTTCGTGACTTTTTTTCAACGGTGTTTTTGAGCAAGAACCTGCTCAACGAACCGCGCCAAAGGCTCTCATCGACAACCCACATTCATGTTGAGGTAGGTTTGGTTGATCCCGAACAGATTCTCCGCGGAAGCCATGCGTGTGAGAACGTTGCCGACAGGAACTCACGAGTCAGATGAAGAAAAACTAACAGTTACTTGCACTAAACTGACACCGTGACGAAGTGGAGCTCGCGGCTAGGCTGGAACACGGAGTCACGCAGCACTCGCTGCCATGAAACTGGCCAGGCTCGTACTTGCGGTGCGCGGCCCCATATGCAACGTGAGAACAGAAATCAGTTCCGCTCGCACGGCAAGATGAAACATTTCAGTCGTCGTGCAACCAGCGCTGACTCCGGTCGGAATGTCGACGACCTGACTTTCTTCGCCTCTCTCCAGTCAGACGTCTTCGTCGTCGTCTAGGGGAATCGCAGAGACCTCCTCGAAGCCGTTGTAGAATGCTGGGAGGATTATCCTGCCGAGAAAATGCGAAACGTGTGGATGTGTTTGAGCGACTCGTTTCACTGCATAATGGAGGTCGCGGGTTGGAACGACTGAATATAGTCGACACCGATTCGTGCACAGCTCTGGCGATGAAGAGGACGTAACCAAAGTCCCGCGTCGGATCATCCCTGCAGCTGAAAAGAATCTGAACGAAATGCGAGCGGATGCAGCGACTGTTGGGGTGGCGGGGTCAGCGTCGTCAGGTGACAATGAAAAGAGCGACGAAGACTCTGAATACACTCAATCTCATTCGTCTGAGTTGCTTTTTTCTTTGTATATAGCTTGTAAACAGGTTAGACAATGCCACGAGGGTTATTCCAAGTCAAAGGGAACAATTCCAGAGCTGTGCGCAGCCTTCAAAAAAAAGTCACGAAGTTTTTGTATACGGAGGAAGTACTTTGAAGCTTTGTTCTTGCTGCCAGCGTGACCTATCTAGATGGAGGAAGCTGGGGAGCAGGCTGAAACTGTGGAGCAGAGTGAAGATGTGGAGCAGGGTGAAGATGTGGAGCAGGGTGAAGTTGTAGAGCAGGATGAAGCTGTGGGGCAGGATGAAGCTATCCAAGAGGAAGAAAATGAATTTTCTGCGCCCGCAGTCATAGGGCCGTTTCGCTTTGAGCCGCAGGGCCCTCCAGAGGTTGCTCAGGCTATAGCTGCTGATGCTGCTGAAGACGATACACACATACCAGATGCAGTCCAGCGAATTGGGCACACGCGATGGTGTGGTTGCCTTTTCTGCAAAACAATGTTGAGGGAGGCAGAGTGCTTTTGTTGCCGCGAAAGCGCAGTGGCACTGGCATTCTCTGAAGGGGAGATGTGCGTGACTCAACATAGAGACTTTGAAGCTGTTGTTCTACGAAAAGCTACTCACAGATTCATGCATGAACAATACACCGCATAACAGAGTCACTAGCTGTAGTGACAACAGAGTTTGTGCCCACAACCTGTACTGGGATAACAGTAATATTCTATGAAGGAGTGCTCTTACAGAAGTTCACCAAGTGATTGAATGCATGTTCAATCGTTCTCTAATGTGTGAAGTCTGCCAACTGTCCACTGTCGTACTGCAGTTGAGCTGCATGGTCTGCGAGCCACGAACTGTCCCGTATACAGTTCAACAAATTTACTCCCCTGTAGATGGTTCAACAAATAGTAGTGTCGGAAAGAGAACGCCTTTTCAGTTTGCCTCGTGGCATGGCAGCGCATCTGTCATGACGTCAGTCTGAGTCATGAATATTGTTTTTCTGTACCGTGCCCACCATGTATTTGTGCCGGTGAATCACTGCGGTTTCACTTGCAACACGTATTTGATCCGATTTCTTGAACGTGGCAATATTGGGTCTTCATGGGCTTTTCAGTGATATTGGATGAGGAACAGTTTTTGGACAAATACATTTTTGGGGGTCCTTCTTCTTCTTCTTGCCAATCCGAAAGGTAGTTCTACTCTTGTTCTCTTTGCCTGGTGATATATCGCGAGGAATTAAAGAATAAATCCAAAATCATTTGGCGACATGGTGCTGTGACCATGGAGAGTTCTAGGAGTAGTAATGATTTAAATTCAACGGGCCAGCCAACAGCGCCAGGCCCACCAAAGGAAACCCAGGAAACACAAGTCAGTGCAGACTTGACCAAACTCCTGCGCGCCCGAGGCAGCGTCAAAGGCCGCGTAACAAGGGTTCGGCGACGTATTGAAAGAGAGCTCGGCTCTACAAAAATTAGTTACGTAGTCTTACAGGAAGAAATCGAAAGAATTCAACCATTTGTTGCAGAAGTGGACCGACTGTCGGAAGAGGTCCGGCAGCACATAGAAACTAGGGGTGAAACGATTAGTTCGAATATTTGAGTATTCGTTCAAAAATTTCAAACGAGCGAGTATTCGAAATTTTGCACTCGATGTTTTTTTTTTTTTTTTAGTATTGGGAAAAGAAGAAGGACAAAATGTTACGAGTTAGGACTAACTGTCCACCAATGTAACCAGATCTTATACAGTCAGCGAGTGCGACAAAATGGCACAAAACTGACAAGGAGTACTGAGATATTCGGCGACCTGACATAACTCGTAACATTTTGTCCTTCTTCTTTTCACAATTATTTAATTGGCTCACCATCCGAGTTACATTTTAGTATTGGCATTGTATTTTTCAAAAACTTTTGTTGTACCGCTGGTCCACTGGTATGCAAGCATTATGCATGGCTTTGAGTCAGTATTTTAAGACTTGGACAATGCGATCACCACGGCAAGTAACGTTCTGAGATATGAAAGTACTGATGAAAATCGTTACTTTACACTCTGTAAAGACGTTGGCGACTTTTGTTCTATGTTCACAGATAATTTCTTCCGAATTGGTCGAGAACTCGCAAATCTAGTGCTTTTGAATTTCGATAAAATACTCGAAATAATCGGATACTCGATCGAATATTATGAACGAGTGATCGATTGGTCAAAATAGATATTCGTTTCACCCCTAATAGAAACCCTAATTGACGACGAGTCGTTTGACGATCAACTACAGGAACTTGATCTATGGGAGGAGAATTTCGATCAGGGGTGCCGCTCCATTACCGATGCTGTGGGTCTGTCAGAGCAGCAGGGCATCATAGGCCCTGGAAAGAAATCCCCACAAGAAATTACTGTACAATGGACCACTTGCCATTTGTACAGATCCACGAAATCCCGTAGAATCCCGTAGACCCGGAAGGGTGTTGAATGTGCAGGACCCTATTGTGTTTTCTGCTATTTCCACTAAGAAATGGGGCCTGAAGGCATTTCATACGAAAACCTTTTTCTGACAAAGATCTAGCTAGTCATTAGTTCTAACCAAAGTGAAGAAGCTGGAAAAGTGATTGCTGGTCATTGAATTATGACGCGAAAATTGGTCAAATGTGCATGCATAGCACACATTCAACACCCTTCCGGGTCTACGGGATTTCGTGGATCTGAACAAATGGCAAGTGGTCCATTAGCAGCGGATGATCAGGGGAGTTTTGCTCCAGCTACAGAGGAAATCAGTGGGCATTGCAGCAGCCCTACCACGTCACCTGGTCACCCATTGGCTGCCAGTTTCACCAGCAAATCAACCAGCAAATCCACAACACCCACAGATGTACTCATCACCACAACCGTAAGCACACCAGGAGCAAGTCCTGAGTTATCCACCACACCACCGCCTAATACACCGTCACCAGCAATCAGCCAAGCGGACTTATTTACTGCTGCTGTGGCCACCGCCGTCACCGCACAAGCAGCCACAGTCGCCACAGCCACCACAGGAGTAAATTCACAAAGCAACGTCCGGGTGAAATTGCCAGCCCTCCAACTCCAACACTTCCATGGTGATATCCTCAAATGGACGGAGTTCTGGCAAGCCGTTGAGCCCACTGTCCATGACAACGCCAAGCTGCCGGACGTCGCAAAATTCACCTACTTCGAAGTACTGTAAATATACAAATTTTCGGCAGCTATTTAATTTCGGCTATATTCGGCACCGACCCAAAACGCCTAAATTAAAACGCCGATGAAATTTTTCACAGCATCTGTCGCACTATACCATGCCCTCTACCCCACGCCGAAAATAAACCGCCGCCGAAATGTCAAAAATCGCGAAGTGCCGAAATTTTGCAGCGCCGAAATTTTGTATATTTACAGTATTTGAAAACCATTCTCGAGGGTGAGGCTGCGAGAGCCGTAGACGGTATACCGATTACGTCAACAAACTACCCTGTTGCTATTTCTGTTCTGAAGGAGAAATTCGGTGGCCTTTCTTCACTTCAGCCATGGCTGCCAGTACATATACTCTGTACAGTGCATTCATGTGCACCCATCAAATTAGTGCATGAATGCTCACATGGAAAACAATACTCTAACCATTGAAAGTTTGAATTGTTCTTTCTTTCAAACACATTCATCCCAGCACTGCCCACAACCCAGTTATAACAAAGTCAATAGAGAGGTTGCGCACAACGAATATTCGTAGCACCGTAACGAATTTTTTTAACGAAAAAACTTAACGAATAGTCGTAATTCGTGAGGTTGGGCACAACGTGTGAACCTTTTCGCAGTAGACATTCCAGTACGTGTCAGGGTCACTCTCGTAGTACCAAGAGAGTTGTAAAATATCAGTATTTAGTACTCCACGTAACGAAAAACAATTTCGTAGATCTGCTCTGTTTCGGTCGCGCTTGGACGAATCTTCGCAGCAGCTTTCGTTACTCGAACCCAGACGGTAAAGACCTTACCAATTTTCGTTGTGCTCAACCTCTCTACTACTTGCTACTGTATTTCCCCGATTATTAGTTGCAGCCCCATTTTCAGGCGTGAGCCAGATATTGTGTCAATCGTCACATGAGTAGGATGTCACACTGGATTGTAAGTCGCACCCACTTCTTTGCCCTTGAAGATAAGTGTAAAGGGTGCAACCTCTCTATTCGGGGGAAATGCTGTACTTAGTGACACTAGAGTCTAGATGGGTAGCGGGGCAGTCACATACCTTGCTGCTAGATACTGATGTGACCAGGCTGTAGAATAGACGTGCTCGGTCCCGGATGTCTACAAACACAGCATACACACACAGAGTAGCAAAGAGAGCAGATACAGTAGCGGGTAGGAATACAACGCCAGCAATACACCAGCAATACACCAGGCAATACACCAGCAATACAGCAGGCAAAGGAATAAAGCAGCCAAGAGCACTTCAAATAACCAGGGCTCAGAGCATATACACAGCATGATCATACACACAGCTGAGAGCACGCACACACACACACACACGCACGCACACACACACACACACACACACACACACACACACACACACACACACACACACACACACACACACACACAACATGATCATACACACAGCTGAGAGCACGCGCACACACACACACGCACGCACGCACGCACACACACACACACAACATGATCATACACACAGCTGAGAGCACGCGCACACACACACGCACGCACGCACGCACGCACGCACACACACACAACATGATCATACACACAGCTGAGAGCACGCGCACACACACACGCACGCACGCACGCACACACACACACACAACATGATCATACACACAGCTGAGAGCACGCACGCACACACACACACACACACACACAACATGATCATACACACAGCTGAGAGCACGCACGCACACACACACACACACACACAACATGATTATACACACAGCTGAGAGCACACACACACACATGATTATACATCCAGTAAGAGAACTTCACTGTTTGTAGAGTGTATCGGCGTAAAGCATGCGCCAACAACACCTCCACTTACCGACATCATTGTACTGAGCGGACAACAGAATGAGCAGGTTGCAAACATCTTCATCCACGACCAGCAACAGCAACGATGTGAGCAGCAACAGCAAAACCAACAACACAGTGACACAGTCTGTTTGTACAAGTACATTTAAAATCAGGTACACAGAGCAGACTGAGACCCCTGAAGCCCAACACCACACCCTGGCTATACACAGCACCATTCCTTTTTTCTTTTCTTTTTAAACTATGAATGATTACTTACTACTCTGGTGTGGTTTGAAATTTTTATGCTCCGAGGATTAGACTCGAGGTGCGCCTTTCTCCAGAACTACCCCTCCCCATAATTGCTTAGAACCGTTAGGTACCTCCTCCCGTAGTACAACGTTTTCCAAGCTGGCCTGCATGCACCCTCGTACTCACCTTTTGTCTCCTTTCGTCACCTTTTGTTCCATTGGCCTGGGTAGCTACTCGCGTGCCCATAATTGCCATAGCTACCCAGGCCCTTTATCTTGTCTCTCTCTCTCTCATCTCTCTCTCTCTCTCTCTCTCTCTCTCTCTCTCTCTCTCTTCCACAATGTAGTCGTTCCGTTCGTCTTTGTCCGAGTCTCTTCGTCTTCCCTAATAAATGTTGTTCCCACCTAACCTGTTCCCGTTGTCCGTTGTGTCTGGAGAATATTCGTCCACTTCGTATTCAACAATGGCGCCCAACGTGGGGCTCGAACCCACGACCCTGAGATTAAGAGTCTCATGCTTTACCGACTAATACATGTTGTTCCCACCTAACCTGTTCCCGTTGTCCGTTGTGTCTGGAGAGTATTCGTCACTTCGTACTCAACAGAACTAATAGAAGTGACCGACGGTACCAATGGCGACAAATGAAGGCATGGACCTGGCTTTGGTTGAGTATGAGGAGCTCATCAAGATGGGCGAACAAAAGTCTGTGGACAAAGCTTCGAGCCTCTCCCGGCCCGATCTGGTGAGCGAGCTGAGGAAGTATGGAGTGGGCGTGCTGGTGCAAATGAGTTCGGTCCTTACATCGGAGCTCCAACTTGCAATCGTAAGCCTTACCGACTCAATTAGCAGCACGTCACAGGAAATTGTCTCCTTGAGACAGGATAGAGCTGATAAAATCCTGAGTTTGGAATTAGAAGTACAGCAACTCAGGCGGGAAGTTCAGGGGCTTCATCGACCGGAAATCCATACACAACCTCTCGTACAAGAAGCACAGTAAAATTTAGCAATGTCTGGTGGGAAGTTGTACAGCACCGCCATAGGAGACTTGAATTCCCCATGTGCACGTACACATGTTTCCTCTGGCCATGGCCTTATGCAGTATACGCAGGGTAGTACGGGTTCTAGTGCTCACCATATGACCAAGTTCTCGACTCCAATTTCTGGCCAGTCACTATCCAGTACACGGTGCGAAAGTGGCGCAATGTGTTCGGATTGGCAGTTCAGTCTGGAGTTCCCCAAAGCTCCATTCTGGGGCCACTCCTCTTTGTTGTGTATGTCAATGATCTTGCTCAGCTTCCCCATACCTCACTGTATGCAGACAATACTGCTCTTCATGTTTCAGCACCGACCCTACCGGCAGCGGGCACGGAGTTGCAGTATGGTGTCAATGCAGTTATCCGCTGGATGCTTCAGTGGAAGCCAAAACCCAACGCTGCCAAACCTGCCGCCCTGTGCATTCCTGCGCGTCCCTCTTCTGACATATCTTTACTCAACACGTCTCCATTCACCTTCCCCTATGACTCATCTACTCCCCTCTCTATAGTCAAGCAGCACAAACACCTCGGTGTTATTCTTGATCAGGACCTGTCTTGGAAACCCCACCTTACCTATCTAGAAAAACGTGTTAGCCTGCTAGTGGTGTTCTTTATTCTCATATACCACACTTGCACCATGACTGCTGCATTGCATTCTATAAAGCTTATGTTACAGTTTTACCTATTTTTTCGATTACTGCTCAGTCGTATGGATCGGTGTATCTTTGGCATTCATGAATCGAATGGAGATTACCCATTGCCGCATTATCAGGATCATTTCCGACTTCACCATATTATGACATCGTCCACGGCTGTCTATTTAGTTGCTTCCACAACCACAATTGTACAGCGGCTTTAATAAACTATCTGCTTGCAAGTATATCCACATGACTCGCCTCACTCTTGCTCCACCACAGGCAATGGAACACCTTAACTGATTCAATGAATCTTAAATTACCTCTTTTTCTTGCATATCAATACTGGGCCCAATTATCTCTTTTTCTTGCATATCAATACTGGGCCCAATTACCTCAAGCTGTGAAGTCATGTAATAAGTACAAAGATTTCCAATCAGTAGTGTCTGTCACCCCCCCCCCCCCCCCCCCCCCCCCTCTGTTCATATTAACCCCAATTCTATTAATATATTTTCTCTTCTTGAACTTTCTTCTGCTATACCATGGCTGGTTATAATCGCCCACATCATATTTGAAGAAGAGGTTGGTGCAACTTCGGCGATAACTGGGGAATTGTGTGTTGCTCCCTACATGGGAGCTCATAATCCTCCTCAGCCTACTCAAGCTCAACTGATGAGGGGTTAATTCCCCGAAGCACTGTGTATTGAGCAGGGAGTGGTGCTTTCTTTCAGGTTTGCCGAGTAGACAGTTTGATGGACTTCTCGTGTGCTCTGGATGGCAGTCGTGAGTCAGTCAAGTGAGAATTTAAGTCGGCAGGAAAAGCGCGAGCTCCCATGTAGGGAGCAACACACAATTCCACATCATATTTACAGTGGCTAACGCCACATGACTGTGCGTAATAGTAATACAAATAATAACTAACCTTTGTACAATGAGCTACTGGAGTGATGTTGCAGTGCTGAGCTGCAGATTGATAGGATCTTGTTGCCAATAGACCACTGTCCTTGCTGACAGAGACTGGACGAGTGCAGTACACGGAGTAGATAGGATAAGATGGACTGCAGCAACACAAACAGCACACACATACACATACAACGCACACAAAACACACTGTACATTAGCAGACTACTTTTTGAATCCGTCAGTAGCTTGAAGTCAATCAACTTTACCCTTCACAATAGTCATTAACATCAGTGAGAGTGGATTGTTGATTCCAAACTCCCAAGCGGAAAAGAGAAACACTATTACTCTATTATTTCTGCGTTGACAATCCCATTTGACATTCACCACCAGCATTGCGCTGTGCGGTCGACCACATGCATACACCCTCTGGTTACTCTATTGTTATCAAGAATATCTTTATACCATTCACCTGGCTACAAGTACTAGCACAAAGGCAACCCAGTGCAAGTGAGTGCAGCAAACACACAGGTCTCTTACTGCCTTTCTGCCAACAACAAACATGCTGACACAATGTTACACAACAACAGCAACGACAACGACAACAACAACCACGACAACAACAACAACGACAACAACCACGACAACAACAACGACAACAACCACGACAACAACCACGACAACAACAACAACAACAACAACAACAACAACAACAACAACAACAACAACAACGACAACAACCACGACAACAACAACAACAACAACAACAACAACAACAACAACAACAACAACAACAACAACAACAACAACAACAACAACAACAACAACAACAACATTTATCGTGAGAATAAAGATTTGAAACAACACTGCATAGTTGACTTACCGATGGATCGACACGTGCCTCACAGGCTACCTGCTGCAGCAGAGTGAGATGGTATGGTAGCTGTTTGACCAATGCATCAGTGTCAATAGAAACAGTCTGCTCTCCAAGTGCTTGCAGCATCATCAACGGTAAGGGACTGTGGTGACAGCATAACGTTACAATGTGCACACAGAGCACAAAGTGAAACCAAACTTGATAATTGTTATTGATCTTGCAACAGATAAGTAGATTCGCACAGTCAGGCGATGGCTACTACACTGCAAACACCAAACAACGATGACGACAATGACGGTTTTAAAAGACGAAATCCTCTCCAACAGCACTATCCCCATCAAAGACAATGTGATACAGGAAATACTGTCAGAAAGCAGTGACAGCAAGCCACGACAGATAGCAAAGGAAGCAATGGATTCAGTAGCAGCAGGTCACGCTCACCTATCAGGGTGTGACTTGCGTACACACTCCAGGAAGTCTATAGTGTGCGCTGTGTAGCATGGGTGTCGAGTCACAGTGCCCACCAGCAGCCTGCATATCACAATACAACAGAATACACAAGACAAGAAAATAAACTCAAACTATGCAATGATGCAGCACCGACTATAAAAGGGGAAGCTGCCAATGACAATCAGCACTAAGTGAATACTATCAACACAGCATTTGGGTTATTTGGTTTACTAAGATATTGAGGCTCTGCTGGCAAGGCATGGCTGGTATAACTCATCTAGTCTCTATCCCTACTTCAGTACCTTTCACTCCCACTCTATAGCAGGTATTAGTGTTAGTTTGCAACACATTTCTTGAGTTCAAATACCACGGAAGCACACTGCAAGATACTACTCTTCTATGTTATTCAAAAGAAAAACTGCGGAAGCCTTGGGTCTAGCTGCAGAACAGATAGTAAGCTGTTCAAACAGGCTCAAGACTGAGATTACAAGCAAGGCAACAGGTTATATACTGACTGGTACATGCTGTCAGTCTCACCTGTAGATATCCTCAGCCATGGAGGTCTGGCCATGGCGCTTGTACAGCGCAAACATGAGATGATAGAGTGCCACAGCCACACTGCCACGCACACCGTACTGGAGAGGTTTGTGAAGGCATTCCAACAACACCATCAAATCCAGTTTGCCTAAGAACAGAATGCAACAACCACACAGCATGAAGCCTACAGTACACATGTCATAGGTCACAGCACACAGCATGCAGTAGACACACACTCAGCACTGCACACAAAGCTGCTCCAAATGAGTACATATGTACATGTAGTTCAGTACATGTCTGCAAACTGTCCCTAAGCTAAGCTAGTGACTAGAGTGATCACGCCCAATTACGACATGATCTTGTTGTCAACCCAAAGGCAATGACAAAGGCAGTGACAATGACTCAACTGGTCTTTCTTAGAGACAGGTGAGGCATTGCTTGAATAATATTCAACTAATACTTGACTGCAATAAGACTACATGCATAGTCTGGTACATAGTACGTAGTACAGTAGCAATAGACCATTACATGTACAGTGCGTATCGGTTATAGCGTGGTCGTGGAAAATAATATACTGCTTACAAGAATGAACTCTCATGTTTTCATAATCATAACATGGGTTTCAAGTGCACATTTATTCTTACAAGCAATTTTATCGTACAGTAGAATATATCGGTCCTAAGAATGGACTTTGTGTAGCGAAACATACCAGATTAGTACAAAGTGGATCGCCTGTAGTAATAACATCTGTTCAATGCAGTTCTCATCTGACTCGCTTTGCGTCGTAGTGCTGCAGGTTCAACTGTTGTGGTCATGTAACTTATGTTGCATAGCCACACCGTAATCCTACTGACTATGACCAGTCGCATGCACAGTAGCACTATGTTGCATACACAGTGGCACTATGTTGCATGTACGATGATCTTCCTGCCTCTGTGCACATGCATATGATATGTCACACTTGATTTATCGTGTGTAAGAAATATCGGAAATAAGAATAGAAAGTCGTTTTTCAAACACCCGAGCTATAACCGATACCTACTGTACTAACCAAAGACAGGCCGAGACAGCAACGTTCCTCTGCTGTCATCCATTGATGCTGTACTGCTCTTAGCGTCAGCATTATAACCAGTACCACCACCACCACCACCATTGTGACTACTGCAGTCAGCCAGGTGTAATAGGCTTAAGCTGTCCAGTTTGATGTGCATCAGTGCTGTGTAGGCATGCGGACACACACAGACACACACAGACACACACATGCACACACGCACACACACACACAAATGACGGCTTTGAGCAGCAAAGCCAAGTTAGCCCACGCATGCACGTGTTTTGTCACGGGTTCGTCACGCGGCACATGAATAAAAAATATTTTTTCCAAAAATGGTGGATGAAAAAATAAATCTTGCGTGGCCGCTTTGCCCTGCCTCGTGTCAGCAAAGCAACTTCCTTGTCAACAATTTCTGTCATCCAGTTAGTCAAAGTGACTCAAGGTTGTGTTTTCTCCCCTCCCTCCCACCCTTTGGGCGTCTTTGACACGTTGGTATCTTGTGCCACGTGACGAGGCCCCAATGAGGGTCAAATGCATTTGCCTCTCAGTGTTGTGCTGTACTGTCTCAGTGTTGTGACACCTGTATGTTGTTGTGTGGTTGACCCGCCGGTTTGAGGCATGGGTGGTCAACTGTGTATGTTGTATCGGTGTGCTCCCGTTTGAAGTTGCCGGGCCACCATGTGGTTGACCCGCCGGTTTGAGGCATGGGTGGTCAACTGTGTCTGTTGTATCGGTGTGCTCCCGTTTGAAGTTGCCGGGCCACCATGTGGTTGACCCGCCGGTTTGAGGCATGGGTGGTCAACTGTGTCTGTTGTATCGGTGTGTTCCCGTTTGAAGTTGCCGGGCCACCATGTGGTTGACCCACCGGTTTGAGGCATGGGTGGTCAACCGTGTATGTGTATCATTGAAGTTGCAATACGTACATTGCTGTGACTCGCCCGATTGCTGTTGCCGGGCACCTACGCATTTATTTGCCTACTTGTGAAGAGATATCTCTTCTGGTTTATCGCATAATTCTTGGCTCAATGTTATCCACGGTGTCGCTCGATGCAAAGTCTCGTAAATATTTATCAGACAAAATTGAAAGAAAAAAAACTATGGCAAACCCCACTTCCTTGTATTCTATCTGCTTGGTGTACATGTGTCCACGTTTTGTACGTTTGGCACGCACATGCGTGCGTGTGTATGTGAGAGCGTGTCTGGATAAATGTGCATATTGATGTTTTGTTCGTTTTAAGTTTTATTGTGTGTATGCGTGCATGCATGTGGGTTAAGGTAACATTACTGGAATCACATACCCTTCTCTTTTCGCAGGCAGTACACAAACATTAGCACCGACGGATCACTGACATAACTGAACATACTTTATATCGGAGAGACTTGTGTGCAAATAACATGTACTGGGACCAATGAGTAAGACAGATGGAGCACACCTAGCACACCTAGCACACCAGACATGCATGCTACTTGACATTGTATGTATGTATCAGCAGTTAGTCAGCTGACAGCCACAAATGAGACTACAGTCGGGACATGACTGTGTGCGTGCGTGTAAGTGTGACAGCAGTACTAGAGGTAGGCATGTGACACTAGGGTGGGCACCGTGCATGGTAACTGACCATCACTGTCAAACACTGTCGGATAGATATGCTGACGGCATACAGCATCCAAAGCCGAGTTGAAGCAATCCTCTGTTGGCACGACAGTTTGCCCAAGACCCTGCAGAAGCAGCAGCAGCAGCAGCAGCACCAAAGATAGCAGATAACAATGTACATACACATCAGAACGATGCAGCAAGCAATATAGCACAGGATGATCAGGTAGATATCTCTATTGCATGTAGATTTAGTTGGATAAGAGACAAAGAGTAAACAGTGCATCTCCTCCAGCCTCATAACAGCTATATCAACATTAGGCCTTGGTCAGGTGATTTAGCTGCGGGCAGGTAAGTAAGGATACATATAGACAAAGTCACAGTGCCTTTAGCTATACATGTACTCACAACATAGGGATAGCGATGCAGGAACGAAAACGCAACAAGGCGCTGGTCATTAGGAACACCGGGATGGTTTGCAAAGATCAGAAGCCTGAACCACAGCACACACAACACACACATGAACAAAGGTAGCAAATGTGGGAATCCTGTAAGAAACACATACATGAAGTGTTGATACAAAGAGCTCTAGTATTACAACAGCTGTGATCTGTGGACACATCCCTATGGAACTAGCCAGGTAAGTAACACTGACTAACGTAGCATACCGACACGCATGTTATACGTTGGTGTAGTCATGAATAATTAATTCAGTAATCCAGTCAATGGTGGTTGTGAGCAGCCTCACCGGTGTAACAGCAGGTCCTCTTCCTCAGGCTCCAAGAACTCAGTGGGGAATTTCATCTGCATGCACATGATACAAGAAAAGAAGATGCACATGTCACAAGGCTATATATGTCCGTTGCATCAGCAAATGGCTATATGTCTGTAGCATCAGGAAATGGCTACTCAATGCACACAGCTGTTTTGTTCTATTCGCTACAAGCACTGAAGAAGGGGTACATGGATGCAGCTAATGGGGTTTCACGGCACTTGTGCCAGTGGTTGTGAGACTTATCCACTCACCCCCACCGTTTGGCGCTGCATCTGCCGCTAGGGTTTACCGGGTGTTAGCGGCCGTCGTGAGTTCTCTTCGGGAACGGACACGATAATTCACCTACTTTACTGAAGATAGCATACGCCACCTCCTTACACCCACCTCCTCACCTCCCCACCTCCTCACACCCACCTCCTCACACTCACCTCCTCACACTCACCTCCTCACACCCACCTCCTCACACCCACCTCCTCACACCCACCTCCTCACACCCACCTCCTCACACCCACCCACACACCCACATGCATGTGCACCCCCTCCTCCCCAGGTATGCATGCACGTGCACACCCACTCACCCACACATGCACATAAGCTACATACTTACAGTAGGCCAGCACAGTTAGTTGCAAGTAAGAAAGTCAATGCAGCAGCACTCGACTCAAGAGGGTATCATACAACATCTCCTACCTTCAACAATAGAGCAAGATGTAGGAACGGCAGGGAGGCAGTGGCCAGATTGCTTAGTAGCTCGTTTTTGAATGTCTACATTGCACACACACAGACACAGACACACGCAACACACACGCACACACACACACGCGCGCACACACACGCGCGCGCACACACACACACACACACACACACATGCACACACACACACACACACACACGCGCACACATGTACACACACACACACACACATGAACACACACACACACACACACACACACACACACACACACACACACACACACACACACACACACACACACACGTGCATTGCTTTTAGAAATGGTTGCTGTTTCATGAAACAATGATGGTGAAGCAATGAGACTTCACACACTTCAACCATCACCACTATTACATGTGCTCTCTGTGCAACCATGGCTACCATGCCTACCATGCCTACCAAACCAGCAACAAAATGACTTTAAAAAATTCAAAACCGATCCGAGGCACAGCTATTATGTGACGGGCTCGTAATCGGAGTGTGTGATAACTGATAACATACTAGAAAGAGTTCTTTGAAAGAGAAACTCAATAGAAATGTAACTTAATCAGGGTCTCTGCTAGTATCAAGTGTCACCATGTACAGTGCTGCTCAATGAAATCCAGTCCCGTCACTTAAGTACGCGCTGGGCGTTGCGCAGCCCTAGACCTGTGAACAGTGGGCTTCGAAACGGTGCAAGGCGTAAACTTGAGTGCCGCGACTGAATTTCATTGAGCAGGACTGTACATAGGCAGAGAGAGTGTGTGTGTGTGGGGGGGGGGGGGGTCTTTGCAGTTTGCACCTACCGTTGGTGCTAAGCCAGTCCATCGTACACAGTCCATCAACTAAACAACAACAATAACATTAGCAGCATTGGCAATAGCAGCAGCAGCAACAAGCATAGAGGAAGATTTACGCTACAAAATATCCAGTTGTGATTTAGAAGGTGCACACTAGTACATGTAGTGATAGTTATGATGGAGCACCAGGCTGAGGACCCAGTGTCACACTAACTGTCATGTACACACACCGGCGTTCAGTAGTAGTAGTAGTAGTGTTCTTTCTGCACAGAGGCCATGCAATCACTTGGCACATTGTAGGACAGTCCATGTCTACATATCTGAATACTATGTAGTCCATGTACTCATTTCATCCCATATTCGTGATGTTGTGCTGCACAGAACATGCTCAGTGTCTAACATTATGAATAGTCCTCTCCCAGATTATTCCTCTCACCTGCATTGCCACAGCTATAGAGGCTAGTATTAGTGATATGAGTCATTACTGCATGCCTCTATTGCGGGACACCATACATGTAGAGCTATACACTGATCTGTACTACACCGCTGTGTGTTGCCACACAATACCACATACACCCTTGCATGTGCCCAGGGTGTGGAACACTACACTAAGCATAGCTATACTAATGCACAACGACATAGCTGTTTAACGTACAATAGTGATAGAATAGACACACACACACACACACACACACACACACACACACACACACACACACACACACACACACACACACACACACACAAACATACACACAAACAGACACACACACACACACACACACGCACACAGCGACAGCAAAGCAGAGACACATACTAACCTCTCTAATAGTCAGCAAGTGGCAGCCTGGTGTCATCAGTGGGGTAAACTCCATGACAACCGACACTGCTCGCCGTAACTCCTTTGTATCAACTATACTTGGCAGCAGTGAGCCAAGAGACAGACGCGCCTGATAACACACACACACATACGCACACACACACACACACACACACACACACACACACACACACACACACACACACACACACACACACACACAAACACACGCACACACACACGCACGCACACCCGCACATATACACACATAACAACCATACTCTTCTTGAAGTGAATGTACCGTATTTTCCCAAGAATAAACCGCACTTGAGTATAAGCTATGCCCAGGTGTTTCGCAACGAAATGCAGACATTACACACACACAAACGGTCACACAAGTACCGCGGCTGCTGCAAGGCTCAGATGGACAACTTGAAAGCTGAATCGTTGGCTCAGAAGGCTCAGATGGACAACTTGAAAGCTGAATCGTTGGCTCAGAAGGCTCAGATTGACAAATTGCAATTCGAAATTGCCACAGATGTTCGAGAAGTGCAGCAACGAGCTTTTCACCCTTCTTGCAAAACTGTATGGTGGTGCTAGGCGGCAGGATGGCCTGCTCTACCAGCGTGCAAGCTTTCTCTGTTTGGGGGCTGCCGTCCGACGGATATTCCTGGAAAGTCGCCAGTGGGACATCATCAAGGATGCCGAGTTCCAGCGATGCAACAACGCCCTGGATGGCATGCTGAAGAAGTGTAAACAGTAAGGTGAGCTGCGACCTGTGGAACACAAAGTTATCATAACTGATAACGATTTAGCCAAGATGAAGGACGTGCATGGAGCCAGATGTCCTGAATATGAAGGTCTGGTTTTATGTGACATACCACTTTAGTCTGCGAAGGCCGAGAAATGCAACGCAACCTCAAATAGAGTGACCTTCAGCTGTGCAAGGATGAAAGCAGGAACGAGTGCTTCCAAAATGCTGTGCATCATGCCACCAAACAATCACCGCGCCGGCATTGGAGACCGGTCTGAGAAAGGGGCGAAGGCGGCTCCAGAAGCCGGGAAGTGGAAGTGCGGCGGGAGCTTCCCCGATCTCACCGTCCTTGTTCCGCCAGCTGATGTCCATCCTGACCCAATCAGATGCGTCGTCATTGGGGGATCTGCAGTCACGATTCGTCTTCCTATGCTCTACACATCCTCCAGCGTTCAGGTGTTGTGGCGACGGCCGTTGCTAACCCGGGCATTGCCGACAGGCTTCTCCAATGTTGTCACGGTGGATGGAGGTCTGCGTCCTCCAAGGATAAGTATATAAATTAGAAGTTCTCCATCGCCGTATACTGCGCATCATATTTCGTACTGATCGTTATATCTCAAATCTAGACTTGTATGCTGCTGCATCCACTACCACTCTGCAACACTACCTGTCCTTGATGCTTCCAAGTGCACCCTGGCACATTCAATTTTTCTTGACCAGCACCCTGCTCATTTACAGTCACTTAATTGGTTTAAGTCAGGTGGCACCACCCGAAGCTGCGTTCGTTTCCCCCTAGCTAGGTCTACCCTATTCGTAAATTCCCCTTTCTTTTCCTCCTACTCCACGTGGCTCCAACTGCCTCCCAGTGTTAGACAAGCTCCAGATATGCCCAAATTCCGTACCCTCGTCAGACAGCACTTCAGTATCTCCCAGTAAACAAAATCACAGTCACCACTTCCGCTGCATAGCTCGCTGAGCATCCCATTGCTTTGTAAGTTGCTAATCCCTTCCCACTTTGTGTACGTACTCTTCATTTTCTTTTTTCTCTTCTTCCGTGGTTGGTCTCACCCTCTCCTCAATTCAATTGGCTGTCTTGACATGCCACGATGTGCAGAAATAAATAAATATCGCTTACTCACAACGAGACTTGCTCTCTGTGTCCACAGCCATTGCTTCCGTCTGACTATCCTTTGCTTCATGAGTATATTCTCTGATAGACTACTACCCCCGGTACAAACCGGTCTGTGAGTGAAATGTGTTGCTTTTTCATGGCTGAGCATAACAAAATAGTGTAATTTTTCACTCACCAGTTTCTTTCTGCGTACTGCTGCTCTTCCACTGCGCAACTCTCCCCAACCTGTCATCGTGGTCTTGTGCTTCCTTGCGGTAACTTGGAGTTCCCGCCCACCCTCCCTTGGGATCCGTGCTTTTTGCTTTGCCTCTGTTGTTTTGATTTTCCATTGAATGCTGCAGGCAGTGTTTGTTTGCCAAGGGTCTCGGTTTTCATGTTGCCTTTTCTTCTCGCTTCTCTTCTGGTTGGGTGTAATTGGAAGTGGGGCAGATCCGAAATTGGTAGATATTTTTCACCGGAAGACGAGTTGTTCCCCCAGCCCAGTTGAGCAGTTGCGGCTGGACATTTAGGGATTCATGTTTTCCAGGTGGTCCCCTGCTGCCCAGTCACCCACACCGTACCATTGCTCTGCTCGAGTTTTTACTTTTTAGCTAACATCTCTCATGCTGGCCGATATTCTCTTGTTCGCTTTATGGCCATATTGCTAGCGTGCGGCTGTGAGTGAGGCTGTGAGTATGGCTGTGAGTGTGGATTTGCTGTGCACTTCCGGTCGTGAGTATATTCTCTGCTAGACCACTACCACAAGTACAAATCGGTTGCTCTGTAAGGCCGTCATCACACCATGTTCTCTGACTCCCGTTTACGTTTACGTCTACGGTGAAAAATCCAAAACGGGTGGTCGTGTCATCAAACAGGCACAGTTCTTGACCCATACACGCCGTCATGTTTTGGAGAAATTCGAAGTCTCAAATGCACGTAAAAGGTCACTTGGAAAAAGGCTGGGGGAGATACGCACATTCATCCAAAAACATGTATACCCCCTCCCTACCACGTCTACGTTTCCCGTTTCCTCTGCTCCCGTTTTTACCCCGTACATGGATCATCATGACAACCATCATGATAACCGACCAAAAACTCCCAACGTGGACATAGACGCAGCGCTTTGTACCGTAGCGTGATGACAGCCTTAGCAAAAACTTATTCTTTTTTCCAACTTTTTATGCACACGACATCCTTCCCCTGTGAACAAGTTTATCCTGTTGTGTATGAAGTGAGTGCGCTGGTACAGGCAAATCCAACATCAGATTTGTCACACTCACAACATCTGGTAACCATTAGCCTTCTGATAAATCACACTTTCAAGCAATAACAAGTTGGAGCAGAACAACTGCATTCCTCCTGTATGTGAGCGGAAATCCCGTGTGTCGATGACACACACACACACGCACACACACACACACACACACGCCACGAGTGCGCACCCCCCCCCCCCCCCCCACACACACATACACACGAGCGCATGCACGAGTGCGCACCCCCCACAACACACACACACACACGCACGTACCCACGCACCCACCCACCCACACATGTCTAGTCTATCCAGGGCAATGTGCATCTCTAGTGTCGCCTACTACATTGCAGTAAAGAGTTGCCTCAGGGAGAAATACTAGACTGTACAGCCCTAGATTAGCACTATGAGTGTATGAGTGTATGAAGAATAGTGTGCTGTGAACATGACTCTACTCTACCTGTGAGAATGCATGTTAGTCTGTTATTGGTCCCACCTCCCCCACCTCTCCCACCTCCCCCACCTCTCTTACCTTGCTGTCAGCATCAAGATCAGGTAGTGATTCAGGAAGAGTGTACGGCTGTGGGGAGCAAACACACATACGCACACACACGCACGCACACACACACGCACATACGTGCACACGCACACACGCACGCACACACACACACGCACACACACACACACACACACACACACACACACACACACACACACACACTTGCATTACTGTTTTGAATCACCAGTAATGTCTTCATAGATATCGGTACCTAAAAAACTAATTTGATCTGATTATAGTTGAAGTAGAATGTTGAGTTCAGATGGCCGAAAATTCACAGTCTGAGGTGCGGCTTATACTCCGAATTTAAAAGGACATGTTTAGGCCCCAAAAGTGGGGGGGGGGGGGGGTTGCAACTTAGACCCCTGGTGCGGCTAGCACTCCAGAAAATATGGCGGTTAACATAAACAATCGTCAAAAACCCAGGAAGTCCTGTAATGATCAGGTACACAGCACCGGAGTGTGTGACCAAGCATTCACATAAATGTACACTAGTAGTGGTAGTACACACATAACATACCAAGAGAGGTTCTGATCGGCTAGTTATCCAATGATTCAGAGACTGCTCAGTATGCCTTCAGAGAATACACCAACAACACAAACACAAACACAAGTACACATGCACAGACATGCGCAGACACACACACGCACGCACGCACGCACGCACGCACACACACACACACACACGTGTACAAGCACATATGCAATACGGGAACATGTTTTAACTGCATCCACATGTCAACACATCTACAAGCTACTATCAAGCTCTCTGCCAATGCATTGCAGACATACCAATGATACCACGTAGTATGGAATAGTTTGGGAAAGAACAAGAACAAGGTGAGTGCAGGAACTGACCATTGTGGATCTGTGATGACCATATGAAGCACATGTTCCATTACTGTAACCGCAAGAGCCTAAAGCACACATGCCAACATGCACACCCACCCACATACATACACACACACACATGTACGCACACACCCACCCACATACATACACACACATGTACGCACACACACACACACACGCGCACGCATGCATGCACGCACGCACACACACAAGCACACAAGCACACAAGCACACATACATACACACACCTTTAATTTTCCACCGATGGCCAAAGTGTATTTCATACAAGCATGGCTGGCCTATGGCATAATTATACCAACAACAATGCTCATGGACATAACCTGTGTAAAACAGAAGTATAGAGATTGCATGCATTACAAAGATTGGCAGAGAGGCGGCATGTACTATACAGATTGGCAGCAGGGCTGGAAGAAAACAAAACAAAACAAGACCAGTGTCGGAAGAGTAGAGGCTGTTCCCTCTGGCTGCTGCACCCTACTCTCTCACACCTACCATGTAATCTTGTGCAATGTACGACTGCTCCATGTTAGCCATCACGAAGAAATGGCCCAACTTGACAGCCAACAAACCCTGAGCAGCAACACATCAAGTCAAAGGAAAACACATGTGTGATGCGGAACACAATCACACAAAGCAGCAGGCACAGGGCAGGCACAGGGCAGGCACAGGGCACCTTGCTATCACACAAAGCAGCAGGCACAGGGCACCTTGCTATCACACAAAGCAGGCACAGGGCACCTTGCTATCACACAAAGCAGCAGGCACAGGGCACCTTGCTATCACACAAAGCAGGCACAGGGCACCTTGCTATCACACAAAGCAGGCACAGGGCACCTTGCTATCACACAAAGCAGGCACAGGGCACCTTGCTATCACACAAAGCAGGCACAGGGCACCTTGCTATCACACAAAGCAGCAGGCACAGGGCACCTTGCTATCACACAAAGCAGCAGGCACAGGGCACCTTGCTATCACACAAAGCAGGCACAGGGCACCTTGCTATCACACAAAGCAGCAGGCACAGGGCACCTTGCTATCACACAAAGCAGGCACAGGGCACCTTGCTATCACACAAAGCAGGCACAGGGCACCTTGCTATCACACAAAGCAGGCACAGGGCACCTTGCTATCACACAAAGCAGGCACAGGGCACCTTGCTATCACACAAAGCAGGCACAGGGCACCTTGCAATCACACAAAGCAGGCACAGGGCACCTTGCTATCACACAAAGCAGGCACAGGGCACCTTGCTATCACACAAAGCAGGCACAGGGCACCTTGCTATCACACAAAGCAGCAGGCACAGGGCACCTTGCTATCACACAAAGCAGGCACAGGGCACCTTGCTATCACACAAAGCAGGCACAGGGCACCTTGCTATCACACAAAGCAGCAGGCACAGGGCACCTTGCTATCACACAAAGCAGGCACAGGGCACCTTGCTATCACACAAAGCAGGCACAGGGCACCTTGCTCAGCGTGCAATCGGGTAGAGGGGTCCAGAGGTACCAAACAAGTGATATGCACAGTTTGTCAGTTTTTACCGGCACACCAATTTCACTGAATTTTTGGTGCGGATGGAGATTTTATTCCTCTGCAGTCTTCCAATGTTTTATTCCTTTGCTAAGCTCCCACTGGTTGGAAACATACCTCACTACGTTCCTAGAGGCAATTGGAGTCGGTTGCAGTAGCCCCCCCCCCGCACGTTTGGGCTCCTCAGCCCACTGTTGCTTGATTCAGCTGGTTTCTTGCTCGCTGGACCCGTCATTTCAGTCGGTAGGACGGGTGCGGCGCATTCGTGCGTGCATGGCCTCGGGCTCTTGGTGACCTGGCTTTGGTGTGTCAGCGTACTACTGGCGCATGGGTCCCGCACATTCCTCGTGAATTCTGCGTTGTTGGGCTCGTGAGGCATGTTGCAGTCGCGTTCTGGTGCTGCTCGCCCTTGTTGTCCGTGCAAATCTTGTTCCTGTGCACAGGATGGGAGATGTTGTGGCAACTGTTATCCTGGCAGGGGTGGGAAGTGCACCAATTTCAGTAATATTGACCTGCAGAACACAGCTGTCGATGTTGGTGGTGATGCTCCTGGCGCAGGTTCAGTGCCAGATGTTCCGCCTGGTTGGGTGCCTCGCCGTGGCGTGGCACGGCATGCACCAGGTTCCTGGCCTCAGTCTTCCCGTGATGGCACATCAGGAGATACTCAGGTGTCTGCTCCTGCCTCTGCATCTGCGGTACTATCTTCAAAGTGCTTGCATAATAACACATATGGCGCATCTATCAAGCTTTTTCTGCCAGAATGAGATGGTGGAAGTATCTTGTCATGCGAGGGCACCTGCCCAGGGAGACCCTTTGGCAATGGCCATGTATGCGTTTGCCATTTGCCCTATGATCCGTGATTTGCAGAGTCAACATCCTAACATACAACAATGCTGGTATGTCGATGACGGCGATGCTGGAGGAAAACTTGACGGCGCACTGGCGTACTGGAAGAGTCTCAGTGCCCTCAGACCAGACTTGGGCTATTTCCCCAAACTCTAAGAAAACTATCCTACTAGTGAAACCGGAGATGGAAAATCGTGCGCAGCAGTTGTTTGCGTCTACCGGCATCTCAGTGAAGACTGACGGTGCTCACTCCTTGGGTGGTGCAGTTGGCCAGCACCAGTTGTTGCTATGATTGCGGCGAAAGGAGATGCGGGTGGTGTGTAGGCTGCCTCAGCGCTATTCGCTCGACCCGTGGTGGATATGGATGGTCATATTTCTAGTGGCTCTCCACCTGAAGAATCCACCCCTGGTTCACATGCCAGCTCGTTTGTCAGTGATCTCTCGCAGATGCTGACCAGGGTCCCTGAAGCAATCAGAGCGTTCTCGTTTCAACTCATTGCTGCGGCAGAGGAATGAGGAGCTAAAGGAACTCCTCAGCCCATCCCAGCAACTGCTAGTTGATATAGCTGGTGAGGCGGGGTATCCAGCTGGATGACGGCTGACCCCTCCACCGGTGACTTTGTGCTGAACAAGTCGGATTTTCCTGATGAGTTGGCAAATAAATTTCGTTACGGTTGGCCCCACCGTGCCTTGCCAAGCACATATGTGTGTGTGTGTGTGTGTGTGGAGCGGTTCTGTCTTTGGATCACGCCGCGACGTGTCCCACAGGGGGTTATCCCACCCTGAGGCACAACGCGCTGCGTGATCTTCTGGCTGATGCCATGGACGTTGCTCTACCGGATGTCCGGATTGAGCCTTCCCTTCTGCCACTGGGGGGGGGGGGGGGGGGTGAGTCACTCTCCGGAGCCTCGGCCAATAGGAGAGACGAAGCCCGGTTGGACATCTGTGCAAGAGGTTTCTGGTCTCGACAGCAGGATGCATTTCTTGATGTTAGGGTGACTCACCCATCAGCGTCCGTGTTGTCGAGGGGGCAACCTCTTGCACAGAATGTCCAGGAATGAAAGCCAGAAGAAGAGAGCATATCTAAAGCGTGTAGTGGATGTTGAGAGAGGTGCATTCACACCTTTGGTCTTCAGTACCAATTGCCTCTGTGGGTGTGAATGTCTGCGAGCTTTAAAGAATCTGATTGGCTTGATCGTCATGCATCATTCTGGCTTCCGCGGCTGCCGGACCTCATATTTGCGTAGGCGATCCGGGGCTTCATCATTCCTGGATGAGTGCCGTCTATGTTCTTTGTAGACGCGCCTTCCGGCTAATACCGGCCCACTTTACAAGTAGGGATGGTCTGGAATTTTAGCCGGCTTTTTAGTTGTGCTATGGCAAAATAACGATCTGCTTTGATAGCAGTGGTGACTGCGACTCTGTAATGATTGCCTGTGAGCATGCGTTGACTTTGGATTTGTCTATTCATCTTTCTGGATCATGTTATCATGGATTTTTCAATAACGTTCTTTGAGTCATTTCACACTATCCATCAGCAACAGTTGACCGCATACACCACTCTCACACTATCCCTCAGCAACAGTTGACCGCATACATCCCTCTCACACTATCCCTCAGCAACAGTTGACCGCATACACCCCTCTCACACTATCCCTGAGCAATAGCTTACCGGATACATCAGCTCTAACTCTCTGAGGCAGTGACAAGCACATGACCGCACGGCAGATTGATCGTGTGCATTCACCTACATGTAACACACAAACACATTAGAGCAGAGTAGACTAGTAGAGCAACTACTAGTATACCGTACACCCTGTAGCCTCATACACAGGTACCTACATTGAGATAAAGAGTGGCAGTGAGTTAGCTTAAAAAAGTGTTCTAAGAAAGGCTGGGAGATAACAATCCGCACGGCATCTGACCAGACAACACAATGGCCCTACAGGTAAGTACTGGACAGCAGCCGCTGCCATAGAGCACACAGAGCACATAGAGTACAGTGTGACAAGAAATTGGAGGAGTAGGTTATCTACCACGGTCTCGGTCATAACTAAACTGTTTTCCTTCCGTGAAAAATATCGAAAATGCTTTCTCCCTGTAGCCGTTCACAGCCTAGTGTTGACAGGTCCAGGGCTGCACATTGAGCAGCACTGTAGATCTACTATTGATCAATTCCACGCGATAGCTGCACAGATGTTCATCCTATCATACAGTACATGGATACCCATCCTATCATACTGTGCACACATGCAATCATCCCACCGTACAGTACACATGTGCACCCTCTCTAACAATGCAAGAGGAGAGATTGTGTACAGAGGGAAAGCTCAGCTGCAACCCTAGATGTGTTGGTGTTCACGCTGAGAGCTGTACTATTCGGCTACAAACTCTATTGGCATGGGCATGGGCACACAGGTTGCTGCTGCAAGATACCCACTGCTGGTGGTGGTGGGGCATGCTTACATGTGAGAGGCTGCATACAATTACAAATAGCCGTTAGACACAGTCTGGCGCACCCTGGCCAAAAACAAGTAATGACCCTGCATGCACACTGATATCGTACATGTTTACCTTGGAAAGGCTGGCCAATAAGGAACTGATGAACCCAGACAGCAGCTGTGATTGACTGACCTGATGAAACACACATACAACATACACACGCAACAACAATGACGATGACGACAACAACATCATCATCATCCTAACATTGATACAAAATACGCATGGAAAAGAGAGTAAATACAAACTACTGAAGTACACGTATTGTAGTCACCACTCCATCACCAGTGTGTCAACAAGCGGATTCCACCGGCCCTCTTTACCATCTTCTCACATACACCGCCCTGGCAGCAACACCAGTAGAACTGCGGTTGGCTAGACTGGAGACCAGCACATTGCAATAGCCATAGATCTAGCAGTGTCCAGCTGAAGGTATGCAGCCCCCCCCCCCCCCTCACACACACACCCTGCTGAACAAGTTACGGCGCCCTATCGTTAAGCATCTAGCCGATGCCAGTCACTAGCAATGTACTCAGGGAATGAAGACAAAAACCATCCGCCTGCAGCACAGAATACCAGGTCTTAGTAGTGTGCTCTCTTTGCTGTAAACGTGGAGGGGGTCTCTAAGGGAGGACTGTCAAGCTCAAGAAGAGATGACCGAACAAGAACATTGTCTGCGCGAGAGTCTTGTCATCCTTAGTCTAGGAGCCAGGGGGTCATCAGAACCTACCCTTCAGACAGTTGTAGACCGTCGTGATGGGTAGAAGAGGTGCACTGAGTTCTTGTCCACTAACTTTTATCTGTATAGATAACGAGTACCGTGTTTGCCCGATTGTAAGTCGCACCCCCATTTCCAGGTCTATGTCATATCTTTGAAGAAGGGCTGAGGCTTCCTGCAGCTTCATCTCTGAAAGGAATTCGGGTGGACACACCCATTCCCATAGCCCTGCACATCCGAACCAGTTCAGTTAGTCTACAACGTTTGGGCACTTGGCCATCGTCAGGTAATAACAATGAATACCGTGGAAGCCACACAACAGCAGTATATATACGCAGAGTGTAGCGCCAAAAAAAGATGCGAATTATGTCACCTAGTATGCAGAAGCTATGTCATATCGTTTCAATAGATTCACTTCAGTAGTAAGTCATGCTCGATTGTAAGTCGCACCTCCTTTGTTGGCCATGAAGTTAAGTGTAAAAAGGTGTAAGACTTATATTCGGCGAAATACGGTATGTTCTAAATCCTGTCGATGAAAGCCTCTAAACCTAGGAGAACTGCCAAAATGTCAGTTTCCATGAATAAGCCATGCCCTCAGTGCTATGATTTTCTTCAACGTTTGACTGTTGTTGCACGTTGGTTTTTTTTGAATTCTTTATTCTCACGATGGCACCATCGCCAATAAGAGATGTTTGTTGTTGTTTGAAATCTTTTATTCTCACGATGGCGTTGTTGTTGTTGTTGTTGTTGTTGTTGTTGCTGCTGCTGTTTCCATTGGCTTCTCACTGTCCCATTTTCATGACTTTCCAAGTTTCTCATGCGCATCTTGTCATATTTCTTATTTTCCTGTCGTGCCCGTCACACCTCCATGGATATCAGACCAGTCATGCCATGCAGTACAACTGGTGACCTGTTTTAAGAGTATGCAGTTGTGGCGATGACGCAGTGTGCCAAACAGCGTACCAAACATGAGCATCCAATCATGCCAATGTGCACGCGTTCAGCCTCTACAGTAGTACATAGTAGATACTAGGGATCATTGCAAGCAGAAAAGCTGAGAAGTGTTGCCTGAAGGCTTGTTCATACTACAGCTCGTGTTGGGAAATCGCATTGCGCGGCTGTCGCGGTGAAAAGTTTGACATGAGCTCAACTTCTCTGCTCCATCATGTTACCATGACCATATGCATTTTCGCGCTTTTCCATACTGTGAAGATTATACGAACGAGGTGTAATGGAATACACTGGCTTTGCACTCAACAAAAGAAGAAAAAAAAGACTTCTGCAGACCAGCAAACACAATCTACATTGTAAGCACACTGCGATCGCTGTTGTTATTGCTGTATTATTTTATTTCAACTGCTGATCACTACTATACAGTGCCCAGGCACACACTGTACACAGCACATTGTACACACTGTACACATTGTGCACACTGTACACAGCACACTGTACACAGCACAGCATACCTTTCACAGCCGGAGTACACAGCATGGAAAGCCAATGTGTACATGATTGTACATGTAAGTGCATCATACACACTATAATAATCATGTTACAGCAATTTTTTTCCCTACTACCGGCCTCTTGACATGTTACAGCAATCAGTTGCTGGGTGTACCAAGTCTTGTAGTCAGAGCAGCAGCAGCAGCAGCAGCTCTGGATGAACATGAAGTGATGGTACATGGTTTTAAACCTCCTCCGGGTTAGGTGCAGTGGAAATACAGGACGGATGTTATGTAACAATACAAGCCAGGAGATTATTAGATAAGAATAGATGGTTTCTCTCCTAGATGCAGTAAGGCAATTGCTCAAAGGTACTAGTACTTGGTCTCACAGTAGTAGTACTAGTAGAGAGTGTGATTGCACTGTGAGCAGACAGGAAGACAAGTAGACTGTTACAGGTTCTTGTCCAGCCGCAGGGGAGCTACATTTCTCAGCACGGTAACTGTTACTCGCCTGGTAGTGAGACAAAGAAACAAGTACCCCTACAAAATTGCCTTACTTGGTCAAGTAGGAAGCCATCTTGTGTGATAATCCCCTAGCTTGTATTGTTACACATAACATTCTACCCAATCTGTCCCAGAGGTCACAGAGCTCTAGTGCTAGACTACATACATGTACATTGGGCCACCAGACCAGGACATGTGCTAAGAGCTGGCGACAACATAGGATTACCCACGGCCGGGCTAGCAAAGACCCCAGACCACTGTGCAGGTACTGTGTGCATTGCAAACACCCATCACACCCATCACACCCATCACACAGACACACACACACACATACACACACACACACACACTATACAAACCAGAGCAGCACCTGCAGCAGTAGCAGATGAGCAGCCTGAGTGACTACTAAACTAGTACTCATCAGACTCAGCATACTGAGCACAGTCACAGTGGTGGTGGTGGTGGTGTCCTGGAGATGGCATGGCTAAGAAGCCGACACTATTCCATGGAAAACATGTAAATAATACTGTCACAGCTGTCACCCATCAACAGAAACTCCTATGGGCAAGCAATTAGCAAGCAATTAAACTCCCATGTAAAGCCGTCTGGCAGGGAGCGCTCTGACATGCAGATCTCGCTACAATACAAGCCCTTCTCCAGTTCCGGACCTTACTTCAAGCAACTCCAGGAAGCCCCTAGCCTACACAGACCACTGTACTATATTCCTAACCTCCAACATAACCACAGACAGACATGCAAATACACAGACAGATACACCGCCATGCCGCCTAACAGTCCTTGCAAAAGCTATGCAGCATTCTAGCAGATGGTTACACAGCCACAGGGGATACTGTTGTACAATACACAAGCCGGTAGACAGTGCTGCACTGTGGTAGTCATCACTGCCTATACATGTGTGTCGGAAGTGTAAAATAATACAACACTCCATTTTTCTTGTGTAAAAATTATTACTACCATCCAATTAACGCCAATAATGTAACTCATCACACGCACACTTACGCACGCACACACACACAGTTGTACTTCTACCATGGAGAGTAAAGATGCTACTACCAGAAAATGAGCACATATGCAGTACTGCTATTGACTGAAGCCCACATTGCCATGCACACGGCACACACAACTGGCCAAGCCCCGTGGGGCATGATGTTTGTTTTCCTACACACCCCGGCCCCTAGAACAACCCCAGTATGGCAGTGTTATGCAAATAACCAATATTAATCTTTGCTAGAGTCAACGACCTACTCAAAGGTAGATAGCACATCACAAACACAGCATGCAGTAACCCAGCATAACTGCACTGCCTGCACTGGTGTCAGCATTGACACAGGTCTAGTGCACACTCTACAACATAGTCCCCAACCACTTGAGCATGCCTTATGCCAGTTATGGACAATGACCTGGCACAGCACACTGGATAGAACCCAATCATCGTGTCCTCAGTGGCCAGATAGATAGTGATTGGAATGTGCCCCCCCCCCCCCCCCCCCCTCAGAGTGTGGGAGTTGGAGGAGCCAAGCCGCCAATAGTCATGATAGACACCTGTCCCCTACCCTTGCTCCATGATTTCAAAAACAATGCATGACTGTTTGCTCATTTGAATAATCAACACAGTGGCAAGCAAACACCCTGCGTACAGTAAGTGCTTTCAAAGTACTCGTCTATAACTAAGGAGAGCAGCTGCTGGCCAGTGGATCGGACCAGTGGATCAAACAGTTTAACCTTCACTAGCAGTGCTGAAAGTTTGCACATGCGCGTGTGCGCGCACACACACACACACACACACACACACACACACACGCACACTCCTACACACAAACACACACACACACAAACACACACACACACACACACACGCATTCAACTGATGTTGAGTAGAAACTAAATCGCTGCAAACTGGCCAAATGAAACTAACTAAAAATCTGCAGCCACCTGTACAGCCATCTACAGGTACATATTCTTTGTCTTTCTTTGATTTCATTGGTCTCTCACTAGACTCATTGGTCTGTCATTGCACCCTCAGGGAATGCCTTCTGTGGCCAAGATTGAACTTCGATTGAACTTATTACTGAAGTAGATGAATATCCTAACAAGAGAATAATAATGGAGGGGGGGGGGGGGCTAAAATTGCCCAGATCATGTTTCACCAAGATCGGTGCCAAAGGGCTCGAGAGCTACTCTTGGAACGTCCGCAACGAGTCGACCTGGATTAGTCACAATAAAACCTCATTCTACCTTATTTGTAAGGAAACTCTGTCCGTAGTGGTGTTGAACACGGTGTGCAGAGAATACTACCACTACAATGTACTGTGGAAACGTGTACATGTCGGTGTACATGTCGGAGTATAATACGCTCCGACAAGTACACGTATAATATATCGCTGCTATATTATATCAGCGATGATCCAGTGAATTTGAAGAAAGTAATCAATCTTTAACTGGTT